AGAATTACAAAGGTATTGTCCCTGCTGCCAAACAAACAAGGTATATTTATTTTAATTATAACTTAGAGGTAACAAGTAATTAATAGGTTGATAAAACCAATTTTAAAATATGAGTTACCATGAAGTACACTTATTTCCAGATGTTTAGTAATTGTTCTTTAAGATATATTTTTGTTTTAATTAAGTTCCTGGTATTTGAGAAAACAATAAAATATACTATAACATTGTTTGCAAACATAAACATAAAAATAGTGGCCCAATATATCTGGGGCTGTATTTTGAACGCATATTATCGTATATGTTTGTATACTGTCCTTAGACACTTAACGAATGTTTTTGCACATATAAACCCCGTATAAATATAATGCAAATTGTACGGTTTTTAAATAAATCCCTCGATATTTATTATTATAATGTTAACTATTTTTAAAAAAGTTGTTGTTTTGTTTATTCTCCTAACTAATGAGTAATTACTATCCATTTTTTTAGTTACAAAAAAAATTGAGATAATTGACATGGTCAAAATTGTACTTTTTACCTCCATGATAAAGAAAATATACAGAACAAATACATATAGAAAAAAAGTTAAAAAATTCTATTGATCGTAATACCATTGCCTTTTCAGTTCCATTCATCAAGGGCGTGGTGTAAGGCTATGCACTTGAATTCTTTCTATAGCGCTTCCAGCCATCACACAATCCCAAAAACCAATCTTATGCTTCATCGACATCATGTTCACATTCTATTTTATTTAAGCTACACTAGATAATAATTTGTAGGTTTTAAATAAATATATTTTTTGTTTTATACATTTATGTTACAATACCTTATTCATTTTTAACATTGTCAGCAGTCCACAAAATAAATTGCTCATAGTCATCTGTCTTAAAAATTCAGCTACTGAATTCAATATTATTATAGTAATTTATTTAACAATATCATAAGAAGATTCAAAACACTGAACAAATTTAGGCTGTTTTGCACATGTAGTGTGCACACATCAGTTTAATTAATATGTACCTAATAAGTTACTATGGTTAAATAATTAAAAGCCGATTAGATATATTAGACTATGTACTCTCCAACCAACACATTTGTAAATTTAATTTTTTCGAATTATTTACCTTGATGCCATAATGCTCTGAATACGCGTCTATGGGTAATTTATTGATTTTGCAATGATGTCATGTTCTTTTCCCGTAGGTACCAAAACTGTTAATAGCAGTATAGTGTATAGTTCAAACTTATAAGACATATAACACGAATGTTATAATTGGTTCTTGGTGTAATTATTGGTCAGTAATTGCTTAAACGATTAAAAATCGTTTACCAATTCACACACTTCTAACTGTTGTTTATGTTCTGGCGTTTAAGCTTATAGTTTATTAAGTTCACGCCTCTCAGTAACAATGTATAACAATATATAAATGTAATACTTACAAAACTATTCACGGCACGCTAAAAAAGTAATTTATATAGATACATATAATATCTAATACAAGAAAATATCACAATATTTGTAAATGTTTATATTTAACATTACTTTTTTTTTTTATAAAACCTTTATAAAAATCTATATTTTAAATTTGTCTTAAATACCTTTCACCCGAACAAAAATATTTGTATAAGCTATGTTATAGTAAGCAACGTTTTGTTTTATAGTTGAGCAGTTTGAATATATACAGTCCTCTTATCGACCTAACCTAACTTCTGTCTTAAGAGTCTAAAAATTAGACTGAGAACCCTTTATTCAAAACTAGTAATTAGCATCAAAACATTGAAAATTAATTGAGTATTTTAAGCAAGTTACCACTTTCGAATAAACAGGTAATGGTAGTCCAACTGCTATTTTTTTAATGCCTAACAAAGTTTTATTCACCCAAACTTATAAATATAAAACTTACTTTTTTTGGGTTTACTTTATTTTCCGAACACACTCATCATGCATTTGCTCATTTCAAGTTATAATCTCCAGACCCTATATATTTAATTCCTTTCATTTTGAAACTGATAATAGGTACAAGGCTTATAAATTATATAGAAATGATTTATGGTGCAAAATGAACTTACGCAAACCTAACACAATATTAAGACAATTATTGTATTATTATATATTTTTGGCCTTGTAATTACAATGTTTTAGAAACGCGGCAGTGACTTTTCGCCAACAAAACAGTAGCATTTATATACATGACTCCCAATACAGGAAATATAGCAAAAGCTTAAGAATTACCTGTAGATGTCATGACATTTTATTGAAAAAACAAAGGAACGGAAAACAAATGCTAAGTTTGCAAACATACAACGTGCTTCCGTAGAACCTTATTAAGTTAACATGCCATAAGCATAATAATAATAATATAAGAATAATATATTTTAATTGTTGATGTACATTTTTAATGAGTATTTATGCTGTTTAACATCATCAGTTACAGAATTTTAACCCTTTCCTTACTGACATCCTAGTACGAGGATTTAACTTTAAAAATCGAATAAAATATTAACAACTTACCATCATTATCAAAAATGTCTTTAAACATAAGTTCTAATATAGATTAATAATAAGAAAATCGACACAGCTATATTGATAATTAATATCAGTCCGATACGTAAAAAAGTTGTTGGTTTGAATAAAAACCCTCCCCGTGACTTCTTAGTGATCTATTTAATACATAATTTTGAAACGTGAGTCTAAAAAAAATTTCACATATCGTGAAACAACTTTATAACAAATCAGATATATTTTTGAGGTACACATTAACGTGCGGTGGGCATCTCGCAATCGTATACACTAAACTATTAACATATGGTTAATATGATGATGACAAACCGTCAACAGGTGTGCCATGCAATGTTCATTAAATTTAAACGTTACAATATTAAAAAATATATGTATATGCATATCCTATCAGACCTGTTATATAATAATTAATAGACCATAAAATAACCTATATCCTTTGGCTGAATGTAGACAATGTTCTAATTTAAAAGCGATTAATGTATGTTATGTAAATTTATTAAATAATAAATAGGTACATGTATTGTATATTTTTAGCATTTCTAGAAAATGTGTTATTTTACTTAGTTGATAAATACGGACTTTAGTATGTTTTTTAGAAAAACTAGGTTCACACTGACAATAATAATTAAATATATAAAATTTAATATAATTTTGTTAAAGTATAGTTATAATATTTTTTTAAAAATATAAATATACTAGCTTTGCTCGTCTTACAATCAAAATACTATTCTATCCCCAGGATTTTTTTGAAGATAATCTACATAATAGGTTTTGTATAAAAATAATGTTAGCTTGAAACAATGCTACCAGCTTTTAAACTTTTTTAAATTTAGGCCAAAACTTAATTCCAAAAAATAATGAAGTCTTTAGTTTTACTTTTTATTAATATAATTTATAATTACTTAAGTAATTGTTTTCCGATCTATTGTAAGAATAATGTGTTATGTAAGTATACCTGGTTTCTTCACAATTAAATAAGGAATCAGTTAAAAATATTTTCAACATTTAATAAAAATATTTTAGGTTACTATTAAGGTTAATTTATCAATGTATTCATAAATGTAATTAAGCCTAAATTAGTTCAATAATAGTTAATTTGTAAAAATAAAAATACTAGTTTATTCCCCTTTTTTCTTCTAGTGATTTTTTCTGTTTTAAACTATATTTATACCTTCAGAAAATTAAAAACTAAACTTTTTTTTTTGGAAAATTGAAAATCAGTTTCAGTAATCAAAAAACAAAATGTAATATTGTATAGTGGCATTGTCCACTACACTACACTTCACGTCAGTTTTGTAACGTCTCAACATGATAAATATTTATTAAGAACTGGTTATCGAACATTCGCCATAATATCACGTCTAGTAGAATATTTGTATTGCAATTAAATACCAGTAAATTAAAGTTGACGGTAATAATGAAATCAATTTAGTGGAAATACTTTATTATTCATATAAACATAAAATGGAAATACTACAAAGATCTCGCCGTGTTTTCACTGCGTTTCTAAATTCAATGCCGTAAATTTAAAAAAGAAGATATAATATTGAGCAAGTTCGGTTGTTACCAATTTTTACATAAAAATTGTGGACCGATTATTAGTATAAATTGTATATTAATTAAAACAGTTGAAACTACCAGATATTAAAAACAAATAAAGTTAACAACCCTATTGGTAGTAATTAGTGATAGCGAAATCGTTAGCTTCTAGACCCATGGGTAAATATTATATAGCCAGTGTTCATACATAAAACGTTTGTTTATGTTTTAATTGTATATAGAAAATACAAATTTATAATATGTAATAAATAATTTGGTGTTCCACCAAATTATATAGGTGTGGTTCAATAGAATTTGTGAAACGAGCAAAATGCTGATAGTTTTGATATATATGCCTATGCATAATGAATTTGGCGTTGTTCCATGTTATGTGCTAAAGAACTTACAACTTATTTAAGTATGGTTGGTTTTGTAAAATAATTGTATACTATATTATCTTCGGCAAGTATCATAAAGAGTGGTCTATATCGCGACAACGGTTTTCGATCAAGTGCCGACGGTCGGTACAGCGATCAGACAACGTGACGGCTGTAGCGGTGGCGTCCTACATGCTCATCGCAAGTAACAAGTGTGCGACAGCAGCAGCAGGAAAATATTAATTGCGGACATGCCGTGTGCATTGTGCACGGCGTCCGTCGCCGCCTTAACGGCCGCGGCGATCGGCGTCGTGAAAATGTTGCTGCCGCATAAGGTTATCAGCATCGCGGCGAATCGGAGGGGTGGCCGTCGCGGCGACAGCAGCTGGCCGTAGCGGCGGGGGAAACGGCCGCATCCGTCGGTAGGGGGAACCCGTGGAAATCCCCATCGGGCGGCTGGGGTGGCCGCGGGCTCGGCCGGACGCAGGGTGGCTGGAGGGGGGGCACGAACGGCGGCCGACGTCCCTTTATATAAAGAGCCCGAGTGCCGGTACGGGGTTGTCTTTTCATTCGCATCCGAGTGCACGTGACACGCGTGTTCAGCCGCCGGTCGACGTAAACATACTTGTATTTGTTTCGGGTTCTCTAGCCGTTAATAGCGACAAATAGAGGATAAGCAATTTTCCGATTTTTCTCGTCCGGTCACAGAAAAATCCGAGAAGTCCTACTTCGAATACTCCCTAGTATTCGATAATCTGTTGTCGATTTCGAGAGCACATCTGATAGTACACGTTTTCGAAAGTCTATTGTATATCTCTCGTCGGGAAGAGATTAATAACCACTATAACGAAACTAGACAAGTTGTCGACCCGCGCATTATTTGCAAAAATTTTTTTTAAACTCGCGTCGCCCCGCAGTTTTTTTTTGGTGATCTAATTCACGCCGGATTTTACGCTGGAGTTTGGAGCTTACGGAGTGTTGTTGTATAGTCTTGGAAGAGGAAAAGTAGTAGCCAAAGAAAAACCGCAAGTAAACATGGCACTTGCAGCAGCCCAGAAGAGCCGAGAAATGTTCGCCATCAAGAAGTCGTACAGCATCGAGGTAAACGACATTAATGATATTCTATTATTATTTCATACTATATGGTAAATTTGGTATACAGTTTCCCCTTGACCAACAGGAAGAACTAGATTTTTTATTTATAATTTTCAATGATCGGGTTTTTGTTGAGCAATGCATAGTATGAGATGTCTGTCTTTCGTTATTTTTTGTACATGTTAAACATATTTTATACCTGCGGATGGTCGGGACAAAATAGTAATAAATTACCGATTAATTTGTTTTTGTTGAGCAGCAAACGTAACCTGCTTTAAGAAAAGCAACGCGGTAGGTATATTAGACCAACTAAGAATGCGACAAAAACAAAATTACCGGTTATTACCTATTAAACTAACTAGTTCCACGTGGACCTTTTCGTTTACAATTTTGACCGGCAGTCACGAATTAATGTTATTGAGATTTATTATGGCGCGTCTTGAGTAGTTGTCAAACGGCTTCCGTGCATTACACTTAACGCTGCATCATAATTCATGTTACACACATAAATAATAAATTATAATAATATTATGACTACTGCTGTACGCGCCTCATCTGGTTGGCTGGCGCATCTTTTTGTGAGACGGCGTTTTGTGTATGCAATCGACATGCCTCATCCGGTTTATCTTCTACCCTCGGGAGTTGTTTCTGCCGTGTACCGGTAAACAAACACATCAGACTTCTCTGTGTCGCGTCTATACAAATCGAAACGACAGCGACTTTTTCCACCGACACCGGTCCGAAGGTCTTTTTTTGTTTGGTCTTCAAAAACACTTGCACGATTTACAATAATAATACAATTTTATATTATAATTATGGTGCACACAACGCAGCTACCAGCATCAGCTATGGCGTATCGGAAATGTGTATCTACCGGTACGTTCTCCGAGCAAACGATTCATACCTCTCCCTTTCAGCCTTGCCATGATATGGACAAGAACCTTGGGATTTTTCATTTCCGGAGATTCCGCAAAACGTGATCTATATTATGTTATTAATATCATTAACATCGATATCGTTTATTTAGCGTTTAAAACTCGTTCATATTATACCCACACATACGACAACCGGTTGGTGTTGACAATCCATATTATAATATTTTAGTTTCCCATATCCGGGTGTAGGTATATTGTTGCAAACGACTAAATATCAACTTGATCGTACTTGCCTGCTTCCAAAACATGAAGTCCCGCGCCTGTCGTTAGATAGGTATTATTATTATTGTTATTGGATGTGGTGACCGGGTAAGTATTTGTAATAATATGTATGTTAATATGTAGTAACAACACCGGGGAGATTACAACATTGTAATATTAGATTATCAGAGGCCGACAAACGTGACCAATAAACCCATCGTGCGCGCACACCATTATTTTCACTTCCGTCGTCGACGGCGGCTATGGTTAATCGGCCGTGCAAAATACCGTTGACCGCGTGCACTTTCATTTTTCAATTGAACCCGGGTAACCGTGCCGAGAAAACAAAAAAACCAAAAATAAATAAAAACCTCAACACGTGTATATTATAATGTATATATATATATGTACCTTTTCTGTAATTTTTTCACTGCACAAGAAAAAAACCGGACGACAGAAGTCGTTGAAATCCCTCGGACCCGGACGGTGCGAGTCGATGGCGTCCGAAAGAAGGGAATCGGTTGTGTGTGTGTGTGTGTATTAATTTTAGGTACTTTGATCGAAAATATAATAATAATAAAAACACCGGCGACGACGATGTCCTTCCGCTGGATAACATCCAACCGGTAACGGGACGCCCTTGTTTCGCCTGCGTTAATAGTCCATCAGCTAGGTCAAGGCAAACCGGAGAGAGACTATAGTCTATAATGATTTTAGACGGAAAAAAACTCGTATAATGTCGAAGAGCGAACGCAGCGATGACTAAATTACAGAAACAATAATTAAAACGAACAGCCATGCATTTCGGCTAATTATCGGATTTTCTTTTATCATTTATTTTTTATTTTTTGCTTCGTATTTTTATCTCACCGTGCTATTACGTTGTATCGAGTGGAGAACACCTCGTGCACGTCATTGACCTAAAATCTTCCGTTTTTTTTTATTTCTTATACTTCCACTCCTGTTTCTCTTATTCGAAAAGTCACAAGGGCGTGTAATGGATCAGTGAAAACCGTTGAGCGGCGTGCGGAATTCCGAGGTCGAGACGTGGCCTTTTGCTCGAGCTTTAAAGCCGTCGATTTTTACCTACCGTTGCGCGACAGCCTATTGTATTATGTCCATATTATAAACGTTAACGAACGGTATGGTCGAACTCTCTGCAGGGTACCGCACCGGAAAAACCCACAAAAGATTGCGTTATTCAAGTTTCAAATAAAAAAATAGTCTTGACTATATCAGCACGTATGCCAGGGTCCCGCTCAGTGCACATAAGAGTGTTAAGCCGGCTGAATGACGTGCATCAAGAATAACAATTTTTCCGGATTTTCCTTTCACGGTCACATCGCCTTTTTCTGGCAGCTTCGTGTGATTTTTTTTTATATACCGTCGTCCATTATCATACGTGACCGCGTGAAGAAACTGTGCGCAATAAAACGACTCTTTCTTTTTTGATTGCGCCAAATAATCTAGAGTGGAGAAAAAAAAAACATCAACCTTTTTTTTCTTCTGCGCGTATAATATACGTCTCAGACAATAGCGAAATACCGAATAACAATATAATGATAATGGAAATAATAATAATAATAATATCAAACTTTTTTCATCCGGCCTCAACGCCGACGCGTGGGTCAGCTAAACAAACGCGCACTGACTCGATGTCATACATATTATATATGCTTCTCGTCCCTTCGTTTATGTGTGTGTGTGCGTTGTTGGTGTTTTTGACACGATTTTCAAATTAAAACCCGACGTCTCGAGAGTAGGTAATTATTATTAATCCACGTCATCAGATAGTGTCAGTTACATTGCACCACCCCATGTGAGCCACAGCCCATACCTGTATACGTATAATAATACTATTGTTGCGCGTTCTCAACACGATTATTTCGTCTGACTATTTTCCCCTATTTTTTTTTTTTTTTTGGTTTTTTTTTCAATATACGTTATTAGGTTTGAATACCTACCGTCGACACTACAGCACTGGGAAGCTTTCAAGGTGATATCCGAACACAATGCATGTTAATACATGATCATTATTATTACTATAATTATTATACTGCGTGTACGAAATAACGAGCGACGTTACGTCGTACAAAGTGGTTAAAAATGTAGGTAATAACAACAATATAATATAATTATTATAGTCGTTGTTGTTCCCTTATCCGTCCGAGTAATTATTTTTAGCTTCGATGTGATTTCATTATGAATCTCTTGGAAGTTTAACGTTGCTTAATATTGTTTTTTTTAACCGTTTCCGTGTGCTTTCAGAATGGATATCCGGCAAGGAGACGTTCGCTCGTGGACGACGCCAGATTTGAGACGCTCGTCGTCAAACAAACCAAACAGGCCGTACTCGAGGAAGCCCGCGAATTGGCAGACGGTAAGCGACCCTGATGAGGCGATGATAGATAATTCAGTTTAACGTCGAGGTGGTGGACTTAATAATTATTATTCGTGCCCGGACGTCGGGTAATAGCCGATAGGTGATGGTATTGCAATATCATTACACATTCGTTGGTGCCAAAAAAAATAATTAGTAGATACGTTTCCGTTTTCCGGGTAAAACCGGAACGGGCGGACCTCCTTGACGGTTGTCACTTGCCGACGATACCAAGAGCAACGCCGTCATAAATCGGCGACAATACCCGTTTCCGAACCATTGATGAGCGAGAGTGAGAGAGATATGGTCTGTAACGATCGATAAAAACAATAAAACGTGTTGACGCGATTACTATATTGACACAAAAAAAAAAATCCACTCGGAAATGAAAAAAATAATATGTGGTTGACATTGTTTAAGGGTCACTTGTTTAGTGTGTGTGTATGTGTCTTGATAGTTGAAACGAGCGGACACGGCTATCATTACGTCGTCGGCACGCGTTTCTGCATAAGTCGGATGTCCGACAGCTCAGCCGGTGTTTGCTGTTCGGTGTTAGCTTAGCTATAACAGCATTACAAACGTTAACGTTCATTTTTTTAAAAACATTTTTTTATATATTTGATTTATTTTTATTTTGACTTAAACGGTCGACTCGTATCGCCATGTACGTACCAAACGACAAAATGGCTACCGTGTGTTGCTTGTGGCTGTTGGACGCCTCTTTGGCGACCGACGCAGCCGTAACGCATTTCGCCAGTCAACTGCAGCGTCAACACCAAGCTCAAAGTAAGTGCGCTGTAGCCTGTAGTTTCATCATCTGTTGGTTTTTTTGTCGTCCATTCGTTTTGTTTTGTTACATCGAATCTGGTTGATTTTTTTTTAATTAATTAATGAAAATGTTTTTTTTTCGGTTCGTTTTTTTCTGCTTTTTTCTATTAGAATTTTGTTTATTTATACGCGACACCACGTTGTAAATGTCATTGGGATCCGTCAATTTAATACTGCCGCGACGTCAAAACAATAGCCGAAAAACCACTTTTCGCCTCGCCGAACTCTTACATAATTTTAGCACCATCATAATATTATTATTATTGGAAGTATTTGTTATTATGCAATCTGTGTAATAATGACGATACAAAACATAATAATAGTAACAACAAAAGTAATAAAACCAGTTTTGATAAGTTTTTTTAATGCATCCATTGTTATGATTTATGAAGGTTAAAAAGTGTAACAAAAAACCATCTTCGGTTTCGATAATTGGGAAAAAAACAAACACCAACGTCTATTTTATGTATACAATACATTTTGTGGTTTATATTTGCTAGAAATACATTTGTGCTAAAATTATGCTCCGCTGTACTCAATAGCCATGACATGTTTTACAGGCTTCCTATCATTTTTATTGCATGAATTTATATGTTATTTTATTTTGCATGCGCTCTCAAGTATTATTATTTATTTTATTTTCGCTTTATAATAATTATATTTTTTATTAGTTAACCCATTGGAATACGAAGACCAGGGTTTTGAATCTGAAGAAAAACTCAACGAACAAGGTATATTTTTAATTTTCTTTAGTTGTTTTATTTTATTTTATTTTTGCTTTTTTTTTACAAAATAGAGTCTTTTACCGAAGAATCGTCTGAACCGTCGTCGGAATATGACGACTCAGGTAAATAAATTATTAATAATTATAAAGCGACTTCCCAAACAAAAGAAATAGACAAAACCGTGATTATTATTTGGAATGGGAGAAAACTCACTTTATTCATACGAATAAATAAATTATTTGGAATATTTTTGTGCAATTGTGCATTATTTGTTCAATCATTCTTATGTTGTAAAACTCGGAAATTAACGATCCGGTTCAAAGTCAATTTTTAATGGTAAATGGGAGAAAACTCACTTCCGATTTCTCCCACGTTAAAGTACAAAGCGTTTACAATTTTATACTTCTCTGCCCTTTGATACGTCAAATAATGTATTTCGAACGAAGAAGTACCGATTATATACAGGCGAGTGGTTCAAAAAAGAACCGGAACATCACTTTGGCAGTGATGAAATTGCGCGGTCTGTTCATCCTATTACCTGCTCTTCTTATGTTTCCGGAAACCTATTATTCCATTTCCGCAGTGGATGGGCTTTAATTATATCGCCTTCGGGTTTATGTTATCCACAGATGCTGGACTTACAGAGGAGGAGGTACTATTGGAAAAGTCTGCAAGCCAAGACAAAGATGCGGAGTTGGCCGTGCAGAAGACTACTTTGGTGCTGCGCTTACGCGAAGACATTGACAGCTGCTTCGCCAGATTACTCAACATTATTAACGTAAGTTTGTATTTTTGTTTGTAAACGAACTTTATGTACAAAACTTAGTTAGTCTTTTTTGGTTTTAATGCTATTATCTGTAAAATCGCATTAAGCCAGTTCCTCGTTTACCTAAGCCTACACAACATGTATTTCACGGCTTTTAATAGTCACGAGTTGTATTTGGTTGTAAATCGATAATTTTTTGTTCGTTTTTTTTACAGACCGGAAAAGGCAAAGTTATCCACATTGAATCAAGACCGTCTAAGGAACGCGGAGTTAAATTCGACATTTTGGTCAAAGTGGACATAACTAGGAAACATTTATTATCACTATTAAAATCCCTCAGACAAAGCTCTACATTGGCCAGCGTTACGGTTCTAGCCGAAGACAACACAAACGTTAAGGACCCGTGGTTCCCGAAACATGCCCGCGATTTGGACAACTGCAACCACTTAATGACTAAATACGAACCCGAGTTGGACATGAACCACCCCGGTTTCTCCGACCAGGTTTACCGCGCCCGGAGGAAGGAAATCGCCAACGTCGCTTTCGATTACAAATAGTACGGTCGCGTTTATTCACATACATTTCTATTGTTGTGCCTTATCCGGTACAATAAAGAACTTTTGTTAACTAGTCGTTTTTTTTATGCAGCGGTGACTCTATCCCGCAAATCGATTACACCGCCGACGAACTGTCCACGTGGTCGGCCGTTTTCAACACCGTATTAGACTTGATGCCCAAGCACTTTTGCATGGAATACAGGAACGCGTTCAAATTGCTGCAAGACGACAAAATCTTCACCGCCGACAAGATCCCACAGCTGTACGAGATGTCCGATTTTCTGAAGAAACACACCGGCTTCACACTTAGACCGGCAGCCGGTTTGCTCACAGCCCGCGATTTCCTCGCCAGCCTCGCGTTCCGTGTGTTCCAGAGCACCCAATACATTCGGCACAGTACCACCCCGTTCCACACCCCAGAACCGTAAGTACAGCATTTATGTGTACCCATATGCGTTATGTTATTGACTGGCAAATCGTTTATAAAAGAAAAAACGTATGACCATGACGCATATATTTATAGTAAAAATAATATATAAAACGCATAAAATAAACGATATCGTTAAATCGATGAGACCGTAAAAACGTTATTATGGCCAGCAGACAACATGCACATTAGAGTGAAAAAATTATACTTAATACGCTAAGTTTTGACAGTTTTATTGCCCCGGACAACCGCTGACTAATGACTATACCGGGAATCAAATTAAACGCGAGGCACTAATTATACACTAAAAATTATTACATTATTTTAGTTTTATTATTTTACATTGTTAGTTTGCGAATTTTGCCAAACACTGACTGGTCGAAATCTAACAACGAATAAAGACTGAGCTGTTACTTGCATTTAAAAATGTGGAAGGGGAGGAGCGTAATTTTTTTATCTGCTCGTCTTTCTTTCCTTCTTAGAATTAAGAACATAAAAAAGTAATTAGTCAAAACAGGTTACCGATCAGTTTAATTGTTGGTAAATAATTATTTTTTATTAATAAAACAATTCGATTTACTAATAGGTTTACTATTAGATTTACTAATGATTTTCAAAAATCTAAAAGTACCGTAAAGAAACAGAATTTTAATAAAAGTATACCATGACAATATCGTTTAATAATTAACACTTACATGTAACATTTATTGCAAAAAATAAGCGCAATTTGTTTTCAGAAGTATTTAGTACGCGGTATTTTACAAAGATCATGGCGTACAATAGATAATACAATATTATATTGCCAGGCGAGCTGTATAGTCAATTTTGATACACAAACGTCCTGGGGGCACGAGCGCGGTACGCAATTGCGTTAATATGACTATTGGCTTACATTAATGAGTTGGGCAGTTAAAAATAGAATCTCATGTAGTTCTTAAAACATTGGGTTATGACCATCGGCCTAATGAATGCCGAGCGTTTAAAAAAAAAAAATTTTAATATTACATACGAGTCTCCAATCGTGAAAATATACCTTATTATAGTACGAGTGTTATTAAAAACATTATGTAACAATAATAATTATCAACAATACCCATAGCAATAGTTTGGTCATGTTTGATAATGTACTTACATACAGCACCGAAGGGCACAAACGAAAAGAACTAATTGAAAACGGGTTTCAAAAAAAATAACGACTATAAATCGTTTTTTTGTGGACGCTACCCACCACCTATTTATTAAAAAGTAAAGTATAGACAATTTTTTACAAAATTTTAATTTACAGCCAAAACTACAGTGACAGAAAATATGTATATAGTTAATACATTAATAAGGATTCTTTGTTGCTTATATTTTTTGTCAGACTATCATAGTAATTTCTAAAGAGAAAAATAAATTTTTTTCTATCAAGAAAGTTTTGCACAAATCAAAAAATTTGCCTTGGAATTGTTTTGAAATCGTCAAATTTCACTGTAAATAGAAGGTAACTTTATCTGAGCTTAAACGTTTTTAAATTTTCAAAAACCCAATCCACTGATTTTTAATAGTTTATTAATAAGAACATAAAACTAAATATAAACATAAAAAAACAATGAGTTGGTGTATCAAAAAATTGCCACCTTTGTATAAATAAATGGATAATATTTCTCCTATGCTTCTACGAACATTTGGTGAATTTAGTACTACCACAGCCTTTACAGTATTCAATCGCGTAAACCATGTTTTCACATTACAAACTATGGGTGGGTGACGCTGCTCGTTGCAGTCTTAAGAGGACGCTCTCAAACACATAGAAAAAAGTAGGTATATTTCAGGAATGAGGTTTTAAAATAAGTACATATGTTAAAGAACGTTTAATGAATAAATTCGTTGTGCGACCAGGCATCAGTTTGGTTGTAAATTATGTTCTTGATAACAATTTTATTGAAAAATACCTTTTTGCAATTCAACTCGTTTAACGTCTTGAAGTAAAAGCGTTTTACATGATTAAATATAAATGCACATTTGTGTTATATATTTATCGAGATTTGAAATGCGTTCCAATCGTTATCGGAGACAAATTGAACGTTTAAGTCGACAAGCCGATTACGGTAAATTTCCTACTGTTTCTTCAGCGTACAGTAATAATACTGATTGAATAGCAGAAATCGGTACTTAGGTATAATATAGTTGCAGAGTATCTCTGTATGCCAACGTTTCAAAATGTTCCAAAAGAAGGGACAGGTGTGCACGGAGAGGTTATGTCAGATTATGGGTAGGGGATGAACGGCGAACAATTTATTACTCGAGCTTACTAAAACCAATTTTATTACAATAAACGGCGAATAAAGTGTTTCGTGATTGAATTAAATATGACGAAATTGCCTATCCTGATGGCACACCGTCGTAAGGCCCCTTATAGAGAGATCGGTATCGTTAATTGATTTATCTCCTTACCGTAATGAAATTCCAGGCTAATTACAAGTTCCACTTGCACTATAATACGATTATCTTCAATGAAACGCTATATAGCTTTTGATCGAGCCATTAAGACTCGATTTTCACGTCGTAAAAGCACACTAATGCCGCGTGAAGTTCGTTCGATACGAGTTTAATACATTAGTTCTTATTTGTTTTTTATAGCGATTACATCCACGAAGTTCTTGGACACATGCCGTTATTGGCCGACCCGAGTTTTGCTCAGTTCTCACAAGAATTGGGCTTGGCCTCGCTGGGAGCGTCCGACGAAGAAATCGAAAAACTCTCGACCGTAAGTTTTGTGAAACTCAAAAAAAAAAAATGTTCAATACGTTTTTAATACTCACTTACCCACGATACAGGTGTACTGGTTTACCATCGAATTCGGACTTTGCAAGGAACACGGAGAAGTGAAGGCTTACGGTGCCGGACTCTTGTCTGCTTACGGTGAACTTTTGCACGCAGTTTCTGGCAAACCCGAACTCAGACCGTTCGAACCGTCTATCACGGCGGTTCAACCGTACCAAGACCAAGAATACCAACCAATCTACTTTGTCGCCGAAAGCTTCGAAGACGCTAAAGACAAATTCAGGTAAATATTAACACAACAGTGGTTAGTAGTTTGCTATTGATAAATAACACTTATCAGCGTGGTGAGGGGGGGAGGAAGAATCATAATATCATGAGTTGATTTTTAGCGTGAACATTACCGGACTGGTTTAGGCTATCAATTTTGTAAAATGGAAGCGAAAGTAAGTGGTAATAACGAAAGGGAAATGAATTGCTTCGGTTGTTTCGTTGTTCCATTGTCGTCAAGTCAAAATAAATTTTTATAAAAAAGTTTTAACTCCGGATATATATAAGAGGTAAAAAAAAAGAAAAAAATATTTGACTTATAAATATTCCAACTATAAAATTAATGACATAACTTACACAACAATTTTTAAAAATCGCATTTTCCCTTTCAAAGTTGAGAAAAAATATACATGTTTCTCATTTTAAAATTATGGTGTCTATATAACGTTTTAAAAATAATCGAATTAATTCTAAATTTTTGTCTAAATGGATCTACTATAAATTTATGAACATTTAGATAGTCTTCCTGAAAAGTTGATATTTTTTAATTATTAATACCTATTAAATTATATTAATTCATAATTTATTAAATTTATAAAAATGAATACTATTATAAATTGTTGCAATTGCTTGGTGTACAGGAAATGGGTGTCCACCATGTCACGACCTTTCGAAGTCCGTTACAATCCACACACCCAAAAAGCAGAGATCCTAGATTCCGTCGAGCAACTCAACAACCTGATGACCCAACTAAATTTAGAAATGTTGCATCTCAACACTGCAATGACCAAATTGAAAATGAGATCCGGTTAAATGGACTATATTCCACCGAATTCATACGACAACCGATTAGTATTGCTTTTAAAAAACGCGTTTTTAAATGTAATATTTGATTATGTACGATTTGTAACTTATATCTTTTATCATATTTGTGTGTCTTCGGCGTGTTTCTAGTCACCGGTGACGATGGAACAACTTTTTGTTTATTCTACCGGCAAGATCTCTCGGAAAATAATGTTTATTATTATTTATTACATTTATTGCTCATCATAAGCTAAACAGATATAGCCCATGCGTCGTAACTCCTAGTTATGAACGTATGCACGTTACCTTATTTAAATTTTACAAATAATAATCGTCATTCGTGACACTTCAATTACCATTATTCCATGATAAACAATCATTTTTTCTTCCTAATAATATTTAAATCAGCAATAAGCCAAAATTATTGTATAGATACTTTAATGATAGTGCTATAATATCTAACTATATAAATATTATTTTTCTTATTTATTCTATTTAAAACATTATATTATTATTATTATTATTATTATTATTATTATTATTATTATGTCACTCAAGTGTCTTAGGCGTAGAATCGTAATTATTGTTTAATGTGAGAGCTAAGTATGTGTTACTTCGGTATAGTCTGTAAGCTATTCTCGCTATAGTATATTACATAAATATTTTTAGTTTTATTTAAATGGAATTTCTTTTTCTTTTAATTGAGTTTATTAAGCTATGTAGCCCACAAGGCTATTAAGCAACATATACTTAAAGCGTAAAGATAAATAGAAAATAAACTATTGTTATTTCTCTAATCTATACCTAGAGAAATATATATACCATTGTTCATAAAATTAAAAAAAAATCAAATATTATATAATAATATATACACGTATACTTAATATGTAAAGTGTTGTGTTTTTTACACTAAATAATTTCCTATCTAGTTTCTATAATAATATTATACGGTCATGAGTCATGTAAGTATACAGAGTACATATAATATAATACTGCGTAAGAACTACATACTGTAGGAATGTATTACATTTTAATTTTAACCTAATTTCCAACAATCTAGAATTGTTACCTTATAAATTAGTACTATTTTTATATATTTCTGAAAAATATAGCTGGCATACATTTTATTTGCCATTCTTATAATAATAGTTGGCTTATGTTATCAACATTTGTATGATATTCATTTTTCTATGACATCAAGAGTCAGCTTGTTAATAAAGATACGTATATGGGATACAACCATACTATAATATTAAATTATCACCTTAGACGTATGTAAATTGGATTTTTTTTTTGCATAGAAATTCTCTCTTTTTTTGTAATTTAATAAACTACATTTTTTAGGTCAACAGTAACGGTTCTGCTCTAAATAATCGTTAATACGAGTGCGACAACATTTAAATATAGGAAGAAAAGTGAGAGTTAATAATATTAAAAAATTTAACAATTCCAAAAAATATACATCACGTATATTATTATTATGGTTTATCAGAATATTAACGTGGCGCATTTATTTTAGGATACACAGTACATCGTACAAATATTGTGTACATGTTTACTAACACGGACAATGTAATTCAGGTACTGGTTACTCAACTATATAGATAGTTTCATAGGATGTTTAATAACATGGTGTATGGGCGTTAACTCCTTTAATAATAAATATCCACTAATTGATTAGCCGGAACGTTTAAGACTGGACCACAATTATCACGGTAGATATGGCGTAGTGGCCATATAACAAAATGATAAAAAGTGATTTTTATATAACTTACACTATTATTAATTTGTATTTCTTATAAATTATTTTATACAACGTAAGTGAGATATACTCGCCGTATATACAGAAGACCTACTAGCTGTACACACTAGTGTACTCACTGTCAGTAAGACATATGTTTCGTTCATTATATAAGGGAATTATCTCCTGGTAATTGAATTTTGTAATAACGAGCTTATTGTAAATTGATGCGTAGGAAAACAAGTGTTCACTCAGTCTGTTTTCAATTTTTTATTTATTTTGAAATTTTTTGGAGTTGCTTTTCTTTTTTAATGAAATATATGACAAACTGTGACAATTTGGAATTACACCACTTTTACAATGAACGGCCCATATAAAAAAAACCACAACACTCGAAAAAGTAAAACCACCCAAGCTGGTGTGTGATGACAGAGGAGAGGGGATGTGTTAGCGGTAACGCGTTACACCGGACCGACTTGTTGAATTGAATGTGCACTATAAAAATTCAATAAAAAGAAGAAATTTACCTAAAAAGACAAAATTTAACGCGACCTTGGTTGCCGATCTGGCGAGTCAAATTAATAAAAAACGAAATATTATTAAAAATAGCCGATCGGGACTAAACACTGTGTGAATATAATTAATAATGTAGATGCATGTATTATATATTATATTTTTAAACAATCAAAGAATATTGGAAAATTAAATTTTTTTTTGAAAATTATTGTTATTGTTAAATAAAATTAATATTATCAAAATGTGGAATATTTTATACTTTATTTTTTGTTTGCATCATTAATTTATGAAAAAAAAAGAAATTGTTAGATGGCAAAAAAAAATTTATTTTCAGTTTCGCTTTAAATTATTTTAATACACTCTTAATTTGATGCCTCCACAGTCTGGTAAAAAAACGTGGCCGTTGGCATCAAAATTAAGACCTGCAATATTGTTGATGGTATTTTTTCTATCTATGTCGAACTCTTTTACAGGATGTAGCCATTGAAATTCCACTAAACCCAAAAAAGAAGTTAGGACCATCCTAATGTCATAATGCATATTGATATAATAACTATATAGTTCCTATACAGGTAATTATCATTACCAACCAGCAAGACAGTTAATGGTAACGTCGCATTTCAAAAAAGCTGTGCTAAAAGCAGCGGCAGATTTATGTATTGTCTACAAAGGCAGTAGTTTTTTGCGACAATATTTAAAAAAGCTACAATTTTTTTAATGACTTTATTTTTATAATTTTAAAATATCAAAATTAATTCTAAGATAAGATTGCAAATACAATTTTTGTAATATTTTTAAATCCCCCTCTGGCTGAAATATAATGTATTATGTGTATGTCTTTTGACTGAAAGGTTCGTTGAAAATGTCCGTGGTTTTTCTATCGTAATGGAGGAGAGGAGCAAAGTGAAGTGAAGGGAAGAAGGGACAGATGTATTCACGATTCAATATCTTCCTTCGAGGAAAGCATGTTTAGCAAGCCGATTATAATATTTACATGAGTGTTGAATATATTTTATTTTAAAAGAATAATGGTTGTGTGAAAATTGCAGATCCCACTTGAGCCATGGGATGTAAACTATAAACATGGTTTGTCTTGGCAACATGAAGTGAAATCAACCTAGTTACGATTTAAGATGTGATCCTAGTCCTAGTCCTGGTGGTACTCCTAGTTGTTAGCCGGTAGGTCTTTAGTCTTTATATTACCATACTTTCGTTCAGCCACCATCGTGCTAATTTTACCATATATACAATACACATTTTGAAAGTAAAAACAGAACATAAAAAGTGATAATATATTGTATAAATATAAAAGCGTTTTGATTTTTCTGTATGACATTTTTGTGCAATATCGAAAATTTAATAAATAGTGACGCATACGGACAGGAATGCGGTCGCGGTCGTTCATAATAATATAACGTCTATCTTATGCGGTCCCTGCCACGTACATTATGGACACCGTGGGCGAATCGGTATGTGCAAGTGGAATACCGTTAAGTTTAAATAATTAACTGAATAAATATCGTATAATATAATAATGTGTACACATACGGCAATGGGATAGGATACACACATGCGCCTTCGCCTTAAGTACAACGAACAAAACAGGGTTTGTATTTTTAGATTACCGCCGTGTCGCCATCACCGCCGCCGCCATACACAGTACCTCGACACAGCTTATTCCACTGCACTGCATACCGCGCAAGTCTATCACCGAGTCTTCCTCGTTTGCCGCGGACAGGACGATGGACCGAAATCGCGCGTGACTACCATAAAAATAAAACTATTATATTTTTCATAGCACCCGTGTAAACACCTAAGCGTGATAACTAAGTCAAATTATTCGTATGTAAGGGTTTTTGTGTGTAGCGTAGCAGAATCTGCGTAGCAACGGATTCTGACAGTAGGTATATTTATATTTTATTTTTGCAGTAAATTATTTAACGTGAGATGTAAAACCATGTCGTCGAATCCCATCAGAGGAATTAGACGAAAAAAGTCTTCGTTAACCGAAGTCAAAATTGCCGTACTTGGAGCGCCGGGAGTCGGCAAGAGTGGTGAGTACCATGTTATGTGCTAAATAAGATAATATAATATTATTATTATGTCTACTTTACACTTTGTATAATAATTTCTCGTTTAAAGCCTAGTAATAATCATTGTTTTGTATAATAATAAGTATAATATAAATAAATGACTATTGTTTTAAATAAATTATTATCAATGTATATTGAATATTATATAATTTAGAAGTATAGGAAATCGGGAAAATATTTTTTTTAATATTATGCTCCTATCCCTAATAATGGTTCTTTGTAGCTAAAACTTAAAATAAAGTTAAAAAGAATACTTTTTGACTATTCTAATTTTCAATCAATAAACTTGTGCAATTATTAGAATATTAGAGTAAATATTAATACTATAATATAATATACAAATGTAATGTAATTGCCCTCATTACGCATATTTATGATACTATTAAATTTTAAATACTGGGGAGGTTAGGTTAGCAATTCTAGTACAAAAATTAAAAATCCTAGTTTATTTCTTTAATTAATACTGTAAAAAATATCGTTTTTTATTGTATGATCTAAATTTTTATTTTTTGGTTTCGAGCCAATTTGTTTTAACTCTTTTATTATATTTTTTATTAGCATTTTTATCTTTATATCTGTTGATCTGCAAGATTGGCTCATTGCCCACATAGTTTAATCATACTATGTTTGTTAACAAAAAAAGTACCAAATTAAATAGTTTTCCTCCCATTATTTTGTAGCAAATTTTCGTACTATATTAAAAAATACAGGAAATTGTGTATACAATACGCCCTTATGGAATAAACTACTTTAAGTATGCTTCATAATATTTTATTGGGTGGGTGATCCAATAATCATGATACTATATCATTTTCAATTGGTGCATACTAGAAGTATTATTATACATTTTATATGATTTCAGCGTTAACAGTGCGATTTTTAACTAAGAGATACATTGGCGAATACGACCATCAATCGGGTAAGTACTCATTTATTTAAATGATACACAGGGTGTAACATGGACTAGACTTTCCAAACTATTTTAATTATCCCAAGATATTAAATATCAAACAGACGTAGCTCCCATATCATGCTTTTCTGTCTTTATTTGTTAATAAATGGGAGGTGGGATCGAACTCAACAGATTTTTATACTTAAACTATATGCATTTTTGAAGAAGATACATAAAATCGTTAAAAATTTGGCTAATTAAGCTAGTCTATTTGGTAAATCGTTTGTTTAACACATAAATTGTATTCAATTATGATTGCAGAAACAAGATACAAGCACGAAGTTATGGTCGATGGCGAACCGATTCTTTTTGAAATATTGGACACCTGTCCAAAAGTAAGAACATTTATATTACATTAAGATATATGCTTACAAAATACATAAATTCATAATAAATAACCTTATTATTCTACCTATTTTACAAAACATTTATACTTTGTGTTGCTTTATAATGTATCAAGTTCTATAACTACTAACATTTGTGTGTATAATTATTGTCATCGTGGTCATAATATTGTACATAAAATAATTGTTTTTAACAAAAATAGTCAATATAGATAGAAACCTAAATGCATAATTTTATATTGTTTCTTGTTTACGTTGTTTGTGTAAAATGTACACTCCATACTTTATGTAGTCTAGTGCAAATGGGTCAATATCGAAATAGTATCTGTACAAACAAGTTACCTGTTAATGTTAATGTTTTAGGTATTTAAAAAAAAATACCCGCACGTAAAATGAACTATTTAATAAAATATATCTGATACGCACTTTCAATGCTTGTCTTCCAATAACTTTTCAGCTATATTATAATTTATAACACGAACTTATAATAACAGAAAAGTTGTTTTATTAAAATCTTTGAAAGTAAACAAAAAACCTACTATTAACTTAACAGAACTCTTATATTTTATAATAAAAAATTATTAATAATAATATTAAAAGCAACTATTTTGCAGGTGGTAGGTGCTTCTGTTAAAGGGTCTTGTAAGGGAAATAAACATTAAAATTTAAATCACACCATTAATTATTCTCAATAAAAAAAGGGAAAGCTTTGCAAAATGATGAAGCCTTAAGTCCTAACCTTTGAACTTGTTGATGGTCACATAATGTTCAAAATGCTTTTAAAAGCAATAACATGAGTTATTTTTTTATTAATTTAGAATGACGAAGAGATGCCACTGAATGAAGTCTACAGTTGGGCGGATGCGTTAGTTTTGGTATTTGCCATAACTGACAGACGTTCGTTTAATTATGTGCGCCGGGTAAAACAAACTATGTTAGATACATTCGAAATGCCCGTAGTGTTGGTGGCCAACAAAGCCGACATGGTACACTTGAGACAAGTGAGCACCGAAGAAGGTCAGTTTAACACAACTCTAGGTCTCTAGCTAGGGACTAGCTATATACTTGTCCTCAGCTACAGGGGCTAAGTTTGATCATTTTACCATGACGTTCTGGTCTAAAGATCCTATTCCTGTTCGGGTCCATTATTGCGACCTATAGTTAACATCATATTGAAAGTATCTTAAAAAAGAACTTTACGAGCTTATGAGATTATATATTTTTACGTATCAAAATATTTCCAAAATTGAAAGGCTATTGAAATAATTGTGACTATTGTAAAATTATAACCTGAGGTACAAAACTAAGGTCAGTATGAACAGTGGTGTATTTTTATTTCAGGGGAAATTTTAGCCAAAGACTTTGAGTGCTGTTTTACCGAAGTAGCGGCCGCAGAACAGGTGGGCCAAATTGCCGAAGTGTTTTTGGAAGTTTGCCGGGAAGTGCTGAGCGTCCGCCGCAAGAACAAACAGTCGCTACTCGACCGGATGTTGGGCAGTAAAACGGCTGCCGTAAAAGCATACGCGCGTGGCAAGAGTGACAGTGCTTTACCCAAAGACTGACTTATAATCTGTTTACTGGCTATTTTGGTAGTATACCATAGGAAGTAACGCACGCACATGCTAAACGCAAATTTGTGCAATTCTGAAGCCAGTTGCCAAAATGTTCATTTAACATCGATCATCGTTGGTGATTCTGATTTAGCATCAATTACCTAAGCTGACTACAAGCTGATTTATTAATAAAAGACTATACATATGCGTAGGTAATAAACAAATTTATGTTAACGTATCGTATACAATTTTAACAACATTTGGTAACAGGGTATTTATATTTTGTTAATTTGAACTAATCCGACGAGATGGGTATAATGTGTTTTATGCTTGACAAGTATAATCATAATTCATAGTAAATCATATTCACACGTTATCCTAATAGTACCATCAGCGAAGTCAATAACTAGAAGGTTTAGTAACAAAACCACCGAGATGAGAATAATATGATACGTTTATGGCATAAAGTTATTTACTTGGAACTCGACTGTCGTTTATAACATTCAAAACAAACTATTAAGTATAAAGATTAAAGCCGTCACGGTTATTTATGCTTATTGGTAAATGTCTTATTCCAGCTGAAATTCCTAATAAGGATTTCCAGGAGAGGACACTCGAAAATACAATTTCTCTGTCAACAGATCTTCTATTGTAATTTTGAGTACTTATATAATATGCTGTACTTAATTTCAATGGCCAAATGTGCAATATCTATTTGTACCTTATTTTTGCTCGAAATATAGTTTAATTATTATAAATTATAAATATTGTTATAATTTATAATATTATTTTACTATTGTATTATATATTGTATTATATTGTATATATTGTATTATTGTATTTAGTCATATGTATAAAAATGTATATGTTAAAGTACTCCAGTATTTTTTTATAAAATTAAATTTGGTGTATTATATTGTAAAACATACATGTTAGTACCTAAATTTAGACTTCGTATAACACATATATATAAATATATATATATACATATAATGTATATCTGATTATTTATTTTGTAAATAAAACTGAAATTAGACACATGTACTATATATTTATATATATACAAATTAAAAGAAAATGTCAATTGTCATTTTTTGATGTCATTTGAAAGTCAATTCCAAAGAATTAAGTTCTGCTATTCAGTGAATTTTTTTTTATGGTGGTTAGTTTGATTTGGAAATGTTATAATATTTTAAAATATTTAATGTAACAAAACAAAATTAAATGTATATATTATATTGTGTGTGTATATATTGTAAATTGCTTACAATATTTTTTGCATGTATAGTATGAAGTAAGTAGTAATGATAGTAAAGTACCTATTATGAACTACAATTATTTTTAATTAGGTATATAATAAATTTTGTTTTATAATTAACATATAAAAACTCATATTAACTTGTTTTGATTTTTATTAAATATAATATAATATATATTATATAAAAAGGGTGATTTACTGATATCATTAGTTTGTACTTTGGAACACTTTTAGTTGTCATCACAAACCTAATATGCAAATCTGTAATTATAAGTCATTAGAAAACAAAGTATAGGCGGATGTAATTGTTTAGAGAAACAATGTAATATACCATGAAATATGAACTTCGTTTAAATTTACACATCTGAAGTAAGACAAAGAAAAAAGAAAGTCCTTTAACTTAAAAAAAAAAAATAACAAAATAACAAAAATCTCAAAATATTAAAAAAAAATACATATTTATGCGTATCCGGTCAAAATTGCGAAACTTTTACTGCGACTGTAATTATAGCAAAATCAATAGAGCGAAAACAAAATTAGCAAACTGTGAATGTAGTTAATAGGGATTACAAAAATAGCGAAAATGTATTCAAATTATTATATTTTAAACTAATAATTTATTATGTTCAATGAATATAATGTCCAAAAAGTGTTAATGACAAAAAAATTAAAATACAATAAAATAATAAATAATATAATGTTAAATTTTTTAAAATACTTGCAATTGAAAATTATAAGCAATACCCATTAAAAAACTCAAGCAGTCATTGCCATCGAACATATTTACCAAATTTTTAATATTCACGTAGTCCGTGCTTTCTAACTAAAGCTCTTTTTAATGAAACAATTGTAATATTTTTATCATCATCATTGTAGTAATTTTCAGTATCATATAACGAAACTTGTTATAACCTGCCTGTGTGTACTAATAACTATAAATAATTGTATGTAAAAATAAAATATCAAGTTTTTTTAAAATCCAAATAAGAACAGTAGGTACTTGTTTTGAAATTTGAATAATAATTTGAGGAAATAAATCTGGTAGTTTCGTAGTCTGAATATCAGGTACTTCTGGTTTTCTAGTAAATTATAAATTTATTTAAATGTTTAGTTATAAGTTAACGAACTACATGTTACATGTAATAATATACAGTAGGTACTTACTACCTATCCTACTTTGTAGTTTAAATACAATATAGTTAGTCCTTTAATTGACATTCAAATATAATATAATAAACATATTTATTATTAATTAAATAAATATTAATAATTAATAAGTAATAGCATAACAAATTATACACAAGTAAAATAGGCTTACCTATGTATGTATTCGTACTAATTAAATGTATACTAATTAATAGGTATTTTTTTTTTAGTATTGTGTTTCTGACTTCGATGTAAACGATTTATAATAATTGTTTTCATCAGTATGCTGTATGGCTTAACAAAAGTATCATGTTTAGATTATAATTTTCATAAGGTCTTGGAAGAATATATTTTCTATAGAAGGCAAAGTAGAAAACTTTAGAGTATAATAGTTATTAAATTATTTATTTAAAAATCCTGCAGTACTTGAGCGGGGTGGTTCGAATTTCAATAAATCTGGGAAATGTATGACTGCATAAATCACCATTTAGGTATTGTAATCATGGAGTTATACCAATGATGAACTCCACACACGTCATACACTGCTAATTTTTAAATATTATTATTATCATAACATACCTATTCTTATTGTACGAATTCACCTGTACAGAATACAGATTGTACATTTTTCTAATCAAATATATTTTAGAACCCATTGGACGTTTTTAATTATGTACTTATCTTATAGGTAACCATTTGACTAACAGCAGAACGGGGACAAGTCTACTTTTATCGATGATCCTGACATCTTTTAATTTTTAGTACTAAGCACACGTACATAAGTCGTAAACTGCGGAAAGAAGACAAATACAATAGCCCAAACTACCAAAAATAGTAAGTAGACAGAATTACTGTTTACAACAGAAAAGGGAAATGTTCATAACAATATTATTTTTATTTATAATTTAAGTGACATGGAATAAATACATCTGCAGTCTGCTAAAAAGTGACGAACAAAACATATATTATTTATAATAATGTGGTCATGATAACAATGTTTTCGATAGGAAGGAGACATGTTTATTATTTAGTTTTCTTCTCTTCTTAAAAACTAGAAAAAGTAGAAAGTCCCCTTACCGCATTTATTTATTTATCGTGGCTTCGAATTTAGATTATTGATGTGATCATATCAGTTAAGTAATAACCGTAGCTACCTGATTATGATGCTATCAATGTTTTCATTTCCTACATTTTCTGCTAAATGATAACATCGACTGACGAATGTTGACTGTTGAGACTTGAGTGTCATAAATTCATAATAGATAATAATAACTATTTTACATAACATAATAGCTATAATGAATCTTATTATTTACCAATTATTATCATTATGATAATAACGGTAATAAAATATACCAACGTAGTATTTAAATTTAAAATTTTAATTATTGATGATCCACTTCAAGCGGGTATTCTAATTTTGAATAGTTAATTTACTTGGATGAATTTCGATTTTCCTATTTAGTGTTATTCATTACTTGTATAAATTAAAACTCTAGTTTAATCATATATTAAGATGTATCCACCAACGTACAATGATACAAGAAAAAGATGATCATGGACATTAACGATCAAATGATAATTTATCCGAATAAAGGGGTCGATCCACATAATCGATGCTGTGGTGGATCCTTATGGTGTATACAAGTAATTTTTGTTTTCAATTTTACAAGATAAAGCATGTTAATTTTTTTTTTCCTAGGATATATGTGGGATTATATGTGCAATATTTACATGGTTATTGATACTGTATGCTGAGTTTGTTGTCACTTTTGTTACTCTTCTACCATGTCCATATCCAATTTTTCAATTTATAAATATGGTGATATTTCAAAGTTTAGCGTTCCTTGCTATGGCATCACATTTACGTACAATGTTCACTGATCCAGTAAGTAGAACTGTACATAATTATATAAAATACCATTTTAAACATTTTTATTGAAAATTTGAGATGTTTTTCATATTTATATGAGCTACCTTACTATGTCATAACAAAAAACTATTCAATAAAATGTATGCTAATAAAATAATACTGAACTCAAAATATAACTAATATTATGTGAAGTATAATTACAATGAATTCTATTAAAATCTTTTCTTTAGAATCTAATTTATAAAAATAATAAATAGTTATATGAATAAACAGTTAAATAAAAATATATTTTATTGTGACTCTATAGTTATATTAAATGTGTTTAAGAAATAAGCTACACTGTATTATGTTTTAAATATTTTTGTTGCAATTTTTAGGGTGCTGTACCTAAAGGAAATGCAACTAAGGAAATGATACAACATTTAGGATTACGTGAAGGTCAAGTCATATATAAATGTCCAAAATGCTGCTGTATTAAACCAACAAGAGCTCATCATTGTTCAGTTTGTCAAAGGTAAAAATGATTTAATTGAAATAAAAAATATCAAATGTTTTTTGTTTTCATTTTCATTACAAGAACAAAAATATGTCGTAATTAGTAAAAATGTGGGTAAAAAAAATATTATTTTTATGGAATAATAATTTTTAATGAGTTAAAAAAAATCCTTGATTTTATGCATGGACAAATTTATTAGGCTTGAGCCAATATTAATTTTCCTGATATCTGATATTTTAAGCCGATTAATTTCTGATACCGATTATTCTATCATAAAACATAAGCCAACACTAATAAAAACCGGTATATCGGGCCTATTAATTTGATATCCTATACTACATCCGATATGAATTATGTGACATCAAATAATATGGTCTTTTTGTGACAAAACTAACGGTACCCCTGTTAGTTTTGTCGTTTTAGTTTTAAATTTTTTTTTGAGAATTATGAGCGAGATATAGGATATCAGATCGTGCTGATACTCAGCCCTAAAACTTATTAAAGCATTTTTGAGCAAATTACTCGGATAGAATTTACTAAAAATTCAACCTATTCTAAATACATCTTTAATCAAGATATCCAGCCTAAGGCTAAAGTTGGTTTTAAATGATAATATTCAATTTTACCTTTTATATGTACAGATTGTATCATACTTATTGAAAATTTAACATTTTTAATGGTTATTACAACTTGTGACTAGAACCTATTTTGCCAAGTTATGAATAATTTTAGTATGATGTAAAATATTTTTTTAGATGTATTCGAAAAATGGATCATCATTGTCCTTGGGTTAACAATTGTGTTGGAGAAAAAAACCAAAAATTCTTCGTACTTTTTACGGTAATTTAAATTTTCTTGACAAAAAAATCAGCATTATGCTTATTTCACACATTACGCTTATGGTAAGCATGGTTTTTATATGCCGCATATGAATTTGGGACAGACATGCCTTATATATGGATCATAACAAACGAGTGTATCCTGTATTATGCACTTAAACCTGAAAACACTTAAATATCATATTTTCTTACGCTACATGTGTGAAATGGGCCTTAAAATATTCTTCATTGTATAATGTTTTAATTTTTATACTTCCAGTTGTACATTGCTGCTATGTCTTTGCACGCATTATACTTATGTGTCAGCCAATTTGTTTGGTGTCTACATTCCGAGTGGAAGCAATGTTCTTGGTATACTCCTCCTGCTACAGTAGTATTTTTAATATTTTTAGGGTTTGAAGCATTACTATTTGCAATTTTCACTATGGTCATGTTTGTCACGCAACTTCAGGCCATATGCTCTGACGAAACGGTATGTACTTGTTATCTCGATAAAAAAGTTCTTTTTACTACAATATGCAATTTTATAAATGTTGAAAACATTTTTGATTTAGATAAATACAATATAATAAAAGAACATAATATTTACTTTCTTTATCAAGGCAACAACCACAGACGGGGTTAAAACCTTTATTATTAACTAACTGTTACTAAAGTCTAAACCATGAAAAATATTTCCTTAAAATAGTTTGAATAATCAAGCATGTTACACATACTGTTTTATATGAATTGATAGTTAATATTTTTTCCTTTAGGGTATTGAACAATTGAAAAAAGAAGAAGCACGATGGATGAAGAAATCAAAATGGAAAAGTTTACAATCAGTATTTGGTAGGGTATCAGTCACATGGCTTTCGCCGTTTTCTCGACCGGCACCTAAAATAAAAGTAGATAACTATCTACACGTCTAGTATAACACTGAAGAGCAGTACAATTTTGCTAAGAACTATGAACTCTTTAACATAGTTTTATTTTAAAATCTCATAATTTTGTATTATTTTACATTACAACTAGTGGACTTGAATAAATAAAATCAAGCAAATCCTTTTTTTATACTAAATGACAAACTATATTTATATGTCAGAAAGTGTTTTTTTTTAATTGTATAAAAACAATTATTTTTTAATCTCTCAAAATGGAGTTATAACATATTTTCTCTTAAATTATAGTTCTATTCATTATAGTGGTAAGGTTTTGGAAAATTATTTTTATGTTAAAAAAATATATACTTTTATACTATTTTTATATTTCCTTAAAGTATTTTTTTTGTTATTTTAATTTTATTACTAAAAAAAATGTCTTATTATCGAAAAAAAAAACAAAATTACAGCATATTTATTGATTTAGTCAAAGTTGAAACGTCTTTTACCATCAAATCTATAACCGTAAGCTGGTGAATTTTTAGCGTCTACAAGAGCTGGATTTCTGTATTTATAAAATGAGCCATGACCATGAGGAGACCTGGATGCTCCGTTACTGACTCCATATGCTTCTCTTGGATAGAACGCTTCAAATTTTGCTCCAAGCACAGTATATACGCATATCATCACTAAAATCAATTTAACCTGAAACTGTTTTGGAATGTAAACAATAAAAATAGTTTAAATCTCTGCAGATTGATTGATGAAACCAAAATTGTATTCAACCTTAGCTCACACTAGATATACTTAAGTTAAGTTTCGCTTAGAACAATAAATCCTGACGATTCTGTTTTAATATACAACACCTGACTACTCATTGAAATTGAAATAGTTTCATATGAGAGTTAATGTATTAATTTGAATAAATTTATTAATAATAAATATCAGACATATTTTATTTACCTTCATGTTGAGTGTAATGTCTCAAAGTAAACTCCAATGTTATAATAAAATTACACTGTAGTTTCATTGTATACATATATATTCATTGTATGTACTATTGATTAAAAAGTAACAGGCCGTGTTCTACTCCATACACCAAATGAATAACACAACATCACTGCTAATTCACTTTCTCTTAGGTGACCATGAACTAAAATAGTGGGATGGGTTCCATTACAAAAATTCAATTTAAACATTATATTATCTTTAACATTTATTTTTTATCATATAAGAAATTCGCTTGATAATTTAAACAAATTTTAAACGCCAACATAATTTATCACTTTGATATTAGTAATTATTCAAATTATTTGTAAACTTCTTGTTATATCTGAAACAAAGTACAAAATAATATTTTGATTAAATAAAATAGTAGTAATAATGAGATATTTTTTTGTTTATTACTTTCTACAATTAATTGTATGGCTTTAACAGTTGGAGATTCGGTATGGTTCTGTAGGAAATTAACCCCTTCATCACAGCATCGACCTAATGTTGGGTCAAACGGAACTGAACCAAGAAACGATACTCCCATATCGAGTGCCATTTGAGCTGCACCACCAGTGTTTTTCGGAAATATTTCAGACGTAACTTTGCATTTAGGACAAACAAAAGTCGACATGTTTTCTACAACACCCAATACGGGTAGGCCAACTTTTTTAGCAAAATCTAATTCTTTGCGAACATCTAACAGCGATACTTCTTGAGGTGTAGTTACGACAATTGCCGAAAAATTGTCAGTACATTTGAGGAACTGTGCTAGCGACAGATGTTCGTCAGATGTTCCTGGCGGCGTATCAACAATCAAATAATCTAATATGTCACCCCAATCCACTTCGGTCAGAAATTGTTTAATCATGGCTGAAAAATAGTGTTATAATTGTGACTAAATTATAGATAAATATACAATATAACTTATGCAACAAGTGTTATTAAATTATATTGTATAAATAAGTGTACAGAATTGCTGTTTGTCTTGAACCCATTAATTCTTAATAATTTATCAAATTACTCATATTTTGTAGTCGAAGTCACTCTTCAAACTTACTAATATTTTCTATATTTTTTTAATTACAAAAGTGTTAAATACTTAAATCGTTCAGTAGTAAGAAAGTAAATAATAATACCATTTTTCTTTGGCCCTCTCCAAATAACTGCATCGTCTTTATCTTCCAGCAAAAATCCAACAGACATAATGGATAAGTTTTCTTCAACAAACTTTGAGAAAAACATTTTTTTAGTTAATTCATAAATGTTTAAACTATATAAAAATAGCTCCAGTGTCATCACTATGGGCAGTTTTTTAATTTCAATTATGTAAACTTGATTTATAACATTTCACTTGTATTACGTATAAGGTATATTTTTTTTTTAAGAGCACTTTTTACAGTGCATACAACTAATTTTTAAAGAATTAAACAGTTTAAAGAAAAAAGTTGTCTTTAAACTGTCATTAATTTAATTTTGAAAATTGAAGGCGTATGAAAAACCCTTACTCTTTCAAAAAAAAAAAACAGCCAAATCTGATAACTCTAGAGAGGCGTCTTCACTTCTCGTAAAGCATGTATTTAAGTAAAAAACATACCCAGCGCCTTAAGTCAAATTATACAACATTAATTAATAAATTTAACATTACCACTGGTGACAATCCTGATCCACTTTGATGTACCTAATAACATTTATAGAATTATTTTAACTATATTATATTTCATCTGCAAATGGTAACTAAAACATATAACATTAAATACACACTTTTTCATCTTGAACGCCAAAGACACATGGAAGGGAAGGTCCACAAATGTCAACATCTAACACACCGACCTTTAGAGAAAAAATATATACAATATTATAATTTTGTTTATAAGAAAAAGTTCATTGTAGGTTACATTTAGTTGTTCGTTTTCACTTGCTATTACTCGAGCCAGCAAAGAAGTAAAAGTGCTTTTACCAACTCCACCTTTTCCAGACAGCACTAAGATCTTATTTTTTATCGAGGACATTCGATACTTCAGTACCTCTAGTGCTAAAAACAATAACTTCAAATTCAATCGATATTCAATATTTTATATCAATAAAACAGATACAGTGTTTATATTTTATTTTATACTCAATCATTTAATTTTTACATGAATCTACCTTTATTCCTAACTGCTACTTTTTACTCTTATTTTTTTCAAATAGCTGAACTCGCTTTTATACATACACCGTACTTGATACATTTATCAATATTCTCATTACATTTTTTTAATCTCTGTTCAAACTCCAACAAAGATTTTCAGTGTCAAACTAAAAAATATATTTCAACATACTTACCAGGATCAGGAGTTTGAGTAACTCCAGATGCACATATATTCTGATTTGGACATCCTTGGCACGCAGAAGCTTTACCAGCAGATGTGCTCTCTGTACCAGGGCAATCTAAAACATAGTATATAATATAATACTTTTCAATGCACTTACATTTTCTTCGGAAAATATGAAGGACACAGAGGAAGAACGGTAGTAGTCCATTTATGAATATTTTAGAGTATAAGGAAAACAATGTTCATGAATTCCTCTCTCTCTTACATAAGAACAAAACAAATTACATTTAGTGCTATTCTAATAAAAAAATGTATTTATTTAAACAATCTATTGACATAAATAAAAAAAATGAATGGCAAATGTTAAAACTATTTGAAAATAAAAATGTTCATAAATGGACTACTACCGTTCTTCCCCTGTGCCCTTCATATGCATATACTATTGTGAATTAAATTTGTTTTAAAAGATACCTTGTACATTTGTAAATTAGTTTTGTTTTTGTTATTATTATTAGTACCAAATTAAATAATACTGTACACTTACGACTTGGCACATTAGGATCCATGGTTCAGAAATTCGATTTTTAGAAAAACATACCTTAATTCACTTCTATTTCTTTATCTATAATTATTTAAGTAAGTACAATTCAACTGCAATTTCAAAACTTACCTAACATGGGTTAGTATTAAATATAAAAAAAAAGTAATATTTTTAATCTTATAAAAAAGACAAAACAAATTAACAAATATTATAGTTTGTGTTAATACTATAGAATAACCAGAAGGGAAACCTAGGCCGGGACTGATAAGTTTCCGACGTTGTTTTTGCCGATTACGTATAGTTTTCACGCTTTTTCCTGGAATTACCCATGGTCCATTATTGTCAATCCACAGAATAATTAATAATTTGTTATTCTGTGACCAAACTATTATAGTTCGACCAATAAAACAATACGGCAATCGGGCTTTTTCGGCGGCTCGTAATTTTTTTAAAGTTTCCCTTCTGGTTATATAGTAATAGGAAAATAACCTGAGGACTGATAATAAATGTTATTATCAATTGTAATGGCCGCAACAAGTTTTTAATTGTAGGAACATTTAATTTGCCTTTTGGAACTATTATGTCTCAGCCGGCGTACATGAAAAATGGCGAGTGGAGACCCAACGACCAACTCTCATTTCTTAACTCCAAGTAATGAAATCCATACAGATGTCGTGAACAACGTGATAGATTTATTACACGAAAATAACCTTGGTAAACGATTTATTATGAATTTGTGGGAATCGTCAACTAAACTGTTTGAATAGTATACAAATAACATTATTTTCATTAATAAACTTCTTCTTAATTTACTATTTGAATTGAAATTTATATTATTATAATGGATTTAAAAAATAAACGAAAAAAAATTAAAACTTATTTTTGCATTTTATCTTGCTAGTAGACTGTAAATAGGTTGTCCAGTAGTAGCTTCTGATAACAAATAGGTATAAATGTCTAGCAATATAGCTTCAAAGAGAGAGGTTGAAACCTAATATTTTTAGCAGGCAGCAAAAATTAAAATAATACTTAGCGTCCAATATGGAAAGAAATAAAATTCCTGTATTTGTAATCAATCAATACTGTTATAGTTATGGTCTAATATTTTATATTAGCTTCAATTTTCATTTAATACATGCTTCACTTTAAGCAGATGTTATGTGTGAGAAAGGGGAGGAAATTAACGGAAGTAAAAAAAAAAAAATTAACAAACAACATTATACTTGTATTCCTAACAATACAATGTCATAGTGGTTAAGACATAAAAACTGATTCCATCTTGTATTTGATTAAAAATTCCTACCCACTGTACATCACAGATTTTCTACCACTGTTATAACACAAGCTTTTACTTATTAGCTAGAAGAAAGCATTTGAAACTCTAACATAATTAAAAAATATTATAACCGTTTGCTAAGTATACCAATATATTACCAAAATATAAAGTAAAAGGTAAAATAAATTATTATTAGTCATGATTTTTTAAAAACTTTATAGATATAATGTAATATTGGCTAGTCCAGCGGTTCTCAAAATGTAAGCACTAGTGTCTTTACAGGCATGCTACCACGGAATATAACCTGGTATAACAATTTTTACTTTTTTATGATTATTCATGCTTTGACTTAGGGAAGAGCGTCTTGAGAAAACCTCAGTTACAACAGGGGCACCGAGAAACAAACAATTTTAGGAATCACAGGACTATTCATTTAATATTAATAAAAATTAAAAAAAACTGTATAAATCAAATGTTTAATAAGATAACTACTATACTTCTATACAAAAATTATGATGAAATCTTAATTTGATGTTAAGTTAATTTTTATTACAAAAATTGGAAATAAAAAAAATATATAAATATTAGAGGCAACTTTACATATTTATATATATACAAATATCTTAGAATATTACATTGTCATATTGTTTGTCATATTTATTTAGTCCAACTGACTTTAGGTATATCAAAGTGTTCAGTAAGGCTATCAAGGTGTCTATTAAACTCTTCAACTCTTTGTTTATGTGTCATAGATGCCACTTTCATAATTTTTTCTTTTTGCTATAAAACAAATATTAATTAAAATCATCAGTTATAAAACAAATATCATTAATTCTATGCTTACTAATTTTTCCTGTTGTTTCATAAAAGCTAACTCGGCTTTGGTTGGAGGTACATAATGCTCTTTTGTTTTGACTTCTTCAGCTTTTAATGCTTTATTAATTTTCTCCATTTCTTTTTCCTTATTGTTCTTCTTTTTTTTCCTGTTTCAAACAATTGTTTCACTTATTTATTTTATGAGGTATTGTTGTTTAATTAAGTAGAAAAAATCGTCCAACTGATAAAGCATCAAGGATTTTGATAAATAATATTTATTAATAAAAATAGTGAAATATTCTTGTCTTCCAAAGATCTTACATTATACAGCTATTTTAATAAAAAAGTAACAACAAATTTGAAATCTACCTTTAAAACTCTAAAAAAGGAGCAAAATGCATATTAGTTAACATAAGTCAATAGTAATAGGCTCGGATTTTTAGTATCTTGGTGTTTATTTGTTAAATATTTGCTTTTTTGCTATTTGTCTTACTTTGGAATAAAGTGCTCTTTCATTTTATAGAATTTTTCTATATAAATAATTTGAAAAAAAGCCATACCTACCTAAAAACTTAATTATAGTATTGGTAATTACTTATTGTTTCTAAACATTTGATTTGTATATAGTTATCACCAAACTTCCTTTCGGTATAAAATGTATTTTATTTTAAATTGGATTTAAAAATTAAAAAATGTAAGAAACCTATCTTTATTGAACTTTTTGAAAAATTAAAATCTGTATCCAGATTCCTTATTGCATTGGTAGATCAATTAATACAATGAACAAAATATACATCTAAATTCCCATGTTAGATAGACAGAGATGGGAATAATTGGTATCCTAAAAAATATATTTTATGTACCTACTCGCACCGAAGAAATAATTTCAAATAGATATATTAAGCAGCCTATTCGAGATTAAACAATGACTAATGACCATGTATAGCCACTGATAAGCGTTATATAGGAAAAATTAGTGACTAAATAAATAACGTACATGTTTTCCATTTATTTAATTTTTTACTCCCCCCAACCCCCTCTATATAAGCATATCTTATGCAAGGTGGAGGCGGACCACATTGTTTCACAATGCTCTAGAAATTGAACTCAGTAGTTCTGTGAACTGAGTTTGACACCTTATACAACTCTACCGCACACATTGACAAATGTACTTTAAAAAATCATCATCATCAAGCTTAACGGGCCTTTAAGGTTTAATGCTGCCATTATGAGATGATGGCTTCTAGACAGATTCGCTGTCCGGGACGGGTCATCAGTCCGTCGCTGGAGATGGCGGTTCCTTTTTAACTTATACGTAAATAGAAATATCTACTTTAATAACAAATGTTTCTACCTAGGCATTATGGTTTCCATTAAAGTTATTGAGAAGCATTACTCACTTTTTAATTCCAGAATCACATTTTAACCTTAACCGTCCGCCTGATGCTACCTCGTATTCCGACATCGCTTATACAATTTTAAGGTAACCTTTTCTTAATAACTGGAATAAAATTAAATTGGTCATCAAATGGTTAAATAATACGTTACATAGCAAGAAAGTGTAATATATGGGCGTTATACCGTTTACAATATCGGAATTGGTAAATAAGTAAATTTTGTGATATCTACAAATTTAGCTTAGTAGTTTAGTACTTCTTAATGTAGTTCTTTTGTTTATTTACATTACGATTTACGTTCTTTGGCAATATTTGAGAATCGTGATTACAAATCGAGTACAGTGTGGTCAAGCTAAAGGCTTGAAATTTACCATAAAAATTACATAGATAGTCTGTGTTATTTAAAGTCGTTAAGTATGTAAGTAAATGTATTTCATTTTTTTTTTCAGATACAGAATATTTTTGTATGATGTATTCACGATGTATTGTTTTAAATAGATAGGTATAAAATATCCATGATGTTTTTGCCTTATTAAGCGGGCAGCTGATAACGCTGTTGGGCTACTTAGAATTCTTATCATTGTTAACAGGTTATCATTTATCATACAGCAGTGATAATTATGGTTTTGAAGTTTTTTTTCATATGTTATATTGTTTAGTTATTACTTATTACTCTTTACACAAAATACAGAATGTATTAAATGTCTGAATTATGTCATTTTCCATTTTTAACGTCATTCAATTCCATTAATTATACAAAAATTGTTTTTTTTTTATAATTATACATTGTCAAAATGACTGCACCATGTATGCATGAGGTTAGTAAAATTAAAAATATTTCATTAGTAGTTGAGTATTGCGAGTCTAAGTAAAAAGTCGATCATTAATGCGATTTAGTTTTCAAATGAATTACAACTACAATAATTATAATGTTTATGAATTAAGGCAGTGTCGAGATTACAAATATAGTGATGGAGCACTTTTATATTTTATATAATAATTGTTGTATACAAAATAAAAATATTAATCTTATGAATAAAATAGAGTATTGTAGTCTTTATTTTCATGAAAATAATACAGTTACGATATCAAATTGGACTATTTATAATATTATAGAAAACTGACAGCTAACATTTGACAGACAACACTTTACTGACAATTAATACTGTTAGTCACCTAATTTCGATTAATTGTTATTGATTTATTACCACTGTATTTTTGTTTTGTTCTATGTTTAACAGTGTGAAAAATGTAAAATTCCAATTGAGGGTTATTCTCAAGAGTTCATTAAACGAGTAAAAAAAAATGCTGAAAAAAATTTTGAATGTGAACTCTTTATACAGCGATATAACATACAAAACACTACAAAACACCGAGTTACAGAATGCCAAGGTTGTCTTGAAAAAACATGGAACCTATTGCCGGAAAAACAAAGTAAGTGTATTTTCAACTTTATATCTATAATATTTCCCCTATTATCCATGAATAAATCTATATATTGTATTGATTATGTATGTTTTATAAACAATTTATATATCTATAATATGTTATTGTTATAGATAAACCAAAAAGTGACAATTGTATTCCAGAATCTCAACAAAACAGTTCCGGTTTTAATAATTTATTATCAAATCTAATTTTTAGTCGATTAGGATTGGGTCTTACATTTTTATTCCTTGGAATATTGTTGTCAACTTATTCTATGTCAACTGACAATAGTGCGGATTTACGTAACGACACCTTAGACATAGATAACTTTAAGTATGAAATCAATGAACAGAAAAAACAATTCCCGTCACAGAGAAAATGGCTATGGAATAAACTCAGATCAGGATTCCGGAGACTCCTCAATCCCGGCGAACCATTTGTTCTTTTACTCTTGCATGATAACAAAATGACCTCCAATTGTTTGGCGTCAATGGTGGGCACCACATTTAAACTTAAAATGCACAGCAAGTCCAACAACATGTTGTGGATGGATGGTTCCGACTGGAATAGCAACAACACATCACAACAAGACGAAGAAGACATAATTTACCAAAAGGTAAAAATTAAAATTATTGTGAATTATCTATTTGATTTAAAAGTTACTGACACATGGAATCTTATTAAAAACAAATCATTTTAAATCTGTATAGTAGACTAATATAATTAGTTAGTGTGTTACTAGTAGAAATATTATCTGTAAACAAATTTTGTTGTAAGAAAAATGTAAAAACCTATTATTGGTGAGCATGCATGGATTGAAATATTGATCACTAATCGTGACTTAATCTCCCTAATATCTTCTATTCGTTCATTGCTCTCAGTGGCATCATTTCAGATGTTTACCAAGAGGTCAAGTTTCTATAATCTACAAGGCCATTAAAAAAATGCTTAATGCCCTTTAATTACTACTATTTTTTTAAGTGCATTACTTATCATAAAGACATATGGCTAAAAGCTTACCAGCTAATGATTACCATAATCATTAAAATAATAATATAGTATTTAGAAAAGGAATTGAAGATAGACTTTTTAATATTAACTAATATATTCTCTTATAAATTAAAAAAATATTGGTATTATAAAAATTAATAATATTAGTTGTTTGACCAGGGCAATTTAAGGTCACTTGTTAAGTAGCAATGCACACCCTGATACCTCAAATATCGTCCAAACATAACTGGTTCTCTATTACCATATATAACTCTTTTTCTATAGATTTTCGATTGGGTTAGCTTTAGATTTAGTATTAGTAAGATTATAATTTGGTATCGCAAGATTTATCATGTACTAGGTCCCTCGTAAGCCAAGTGTAAACTATAGCCTGCCTGTACCTATAGGTCAGGATTGTTCACCTGTGTCAACTTTTATCCTTTTGCATACAAGAATCTTATTTGCTATAGTGGTGCATATGCACATGGTGTGTGATTTTCAGTTGCTGCTGCTCGAGGAACACGAAGTGCTGGTCGTGGAAAACTTCCAAGACCTACCGTGGAAAGCGGTGAAGCCTTTTCACTTTTTTTGCGACGCCTACAACCCCAAAATCAAAAACGCCGTTTACGTTCTTTTGCTGAAAGTGGACGGCGACCGGTTGAACGATGCAATCAATGAAGGCAAAGAGGTGGAAATGGCCGAACGGGCGATTAATGCAATTTGGCCAGACATGCCCAACGACGAAAGGTCGCCTCTCATCTCCAGATTGACGACCAACGTGGGCATTGTCATACCCGAGCAGAACCCAGAGTGTCCCTACTTGAAAAACGGTGCTAAAAAAATCGATCTAATTAACATATCCTAGGTCCCTATCGCCGTCATATCGTGATAATCACATTTTATTAATATTAATATGTTTTAATTATATAATGTAACATTTTCCTCAAAAACTATTGTTTTTTTTTTATTTAATGCAATAAAATTATGACCTGTATAAAAAATACATGACTCCCGTGTTTGAGCAATTCAGTTCGAAACGAGCAGATTTTATTTTTCGTTCACAATAATATATATATAATATTATTATTCATACGATTATTTTTATTCTAAATATTAAAAACATTTTATACATAAAAAAAAAAATGTTTGGTTGTGTAACAAATTGCCGGTTTACCGGCGGACGAAGGGATCATGACGAGAAACCGTGGCCGTGGTCGTAGCTTTGTGCGTAGCTGGTGTGCACGGCGTCGTGTGGAGTGAAATGTTCCACCGATTGATGTTCGTGGTGGTGCTCGATCTTAACCGGCACGTGAACTGGTACGTGGACGGGCACTTTGACGGGATAGGGTACGTGTTTTTCAACCGGGTAGGGCACGATTTTTTCGTAGGGTACCGGCACGTTTTTATATACGTTGTACGGTACTGGCCTATCGTACGGCACCTTGACAGGTACCGGCACGGGTTTCTCTACCGGGTACGGGACCTTTTTCTCGACGTGCACGTGTACCGGGTACGGACGGTCGTACGGCACCTTCACTGGGTACGGTACGTGCTTGTACACGGGGTACCTGACAATTTTCTCCTTGTATACGGGGTATGGTTTGTCCACGTGGTATGGTATCGGTCTGTCGTACGGCACCTTGACAGCAACCGGCACCTTCTTCTCTACCGGATACGGTTGGGGTTCGTACACTTTGACTGGATACGGTACCTGCTTCTCCACTTTGACCGGATAGGGCTTGGGTATGTGGACGGCACGCGGTTTGTCCACCGGGACCTGGACTATGTAGTGCACCGGTTTCTCCACTTCGACGTGTACTGGCACTGGCACTTTTTTCTCGATCACCGATACTTTGGGTTCTTCATAATGATGATGATGTGCGTATCCATAGTGCGCCTGCTGGTATCCGTAGTCCGCTTGCTGCTGTTGATGACTGAATCCGTTGTACTCGCCACTGGCGCCAAACCCGAAGTCCGAGTCATCGCCACTACGTTTGGACTGTTGGCCGGCTATAGCAGCCGACAGGCAACCGCACAACAACAATAACAACATCATGTCTGTGATGAGGTAGTACACCGTTTAGACTACCGTAAAAAAACGCAGTTCTTATATATACATTAAGGTACAACACTTTTGCTATCCTCTCCCCTCGGGCTTTCACTTTGAAGTCACATAAGGCGTTTTTTTACTAACTCATAGTAAAGTATATTGTTGCCGCGCATTCCGTCTAATATAACTCCATTAACGCTGTATGACTTACGATGGTAATAATATAACGATAATTGTCATGCTGGGCTGCTAACTGTAATTAGGTACATCGGTGGTACGGCAGCAGTGCATGTAGAGTTGCATAACGCATCCGGCAGTCAATTACATGTATGGTGTCATCTAATAGATAATTGTGATGAGTCGGTCAGTAGTAGACATTCTGTATAATATAATAACATGATATATATCTGACAACGTTACGGATGCGCGGTCCCCGAGTATGTACACAAATACACTTTCTGTCATACCTTGGCGTTACGCATTCATCGTAAAGACTTGTTATTGTTTACACAGCATAACAAATGTACTGATAATCCGAGAAAACTGGCGAGGAACGACCAGCTGACATTTGTCTTGTTACAAAGAACTCAAAGAAGGTTCGCCAACTCGAATCCTATATATTATATACGCTCGTGGCGTACAAGACCGCAACAATAATCGCCAAACAACGGCTAGATCGAGCACTCGAACGTGTCACTACCAGACGCCAGCTTATACTTAAAAGATAGGCTACCGCTTACCTCCTGGGGTTGATATTTCGAGAGAGTCGACAATCGACAGATCATAAAAACTGGGCTACCGTAAACGTTCTCCATATGATTAAAGATCAAAATAGAACAGAAAGACTTCTGTTTGTTTAGATAAGACGAAGGCGACACGTACGTATGCTTTTCTACCGTTTAATATACCCACGTATTTAAGAGCTTTTACACTTTGTAGCGTTTAATATGTAATACATAAATTAAAATTAAAATATTTGAAGTTTTAATAGCTTTTAGATTAATATTGGATATTTTTCATGATTTTGAAGAGTGAGTTTATCAAGTATTGGACATCCTTCGACCTTCGGTATACGATCCAAGACTAAATGATGAAATCCGCTCAGTAGTTATCGTGGTTTAGACAAAACCAAAATTGTTGTAAAACCAATACTTTTTACCTCTTACTCGAAACTGAAAAATAATTGCACGATTAAAAACAAAATACTGATATTTACAATTTTGTTTACTATTTGCAAGGAAACGTTTTCTTGGAAGTGGTTTATATAATTTGCATGCCCATTGCCCAAAGAAAACGCTTAAAAAATAGACCATTCATTTTGGATAATATAAATCAAATATATTACCATTCGTCAATTAGTAGCCATAAAAAATAAACAATAATTTATTACCCGTTTCACAATGACTGTAGTACGATTAATAAGTACCAGCGCATTACACTATAATATAAATTATAATCATTTGAATGGACTGCAATATAAAATTACCTGTAGGACGTAGGTAGTAGGCAATTACTTGTATGTAAATTAAATACAGTTTCAGAATCTATATTATTATTTATCCCAATTCACACATCAACAATTATAAAATATTATTTGATAGATGAGAACTCTACTGATTCACTTTAAACCACTATTAAATAAATTATTTTTTATTTGAAGACTGACCAAGTGAATAATATAATGTTATGCATCGTATAATAATATATATACTATAAGATAACATTACAAATTATAATTTATAATGTTATCTAAAATAGCATACAACCTTAAAAAATTAATTTTTCTGTATAATTTAGATTCATTAGTATGTTCTAAATTCTTAACATTGATTATAATAATGTTTTCTCGAGGTTTTCAACTTTTGATGAATGTTTTTTTTGTTGCAGTATAAATAAATTAGTTTACGACCTTAACTGTTAATTTTATTCATTACCCGTTAACTGGATTTTATGATATTATATAAGTATATTACTATGTATGTATATATATATATATATATATATATATATATATATATATATATATATATATATATATATATTTATTATTAATAAGGAAGTTATTTTAGACATTGGTTTGACTAAATCTTCATCGTGAAAAAATATCGTTATTACCCGTTTTGATTAATTATTATTCAATAAAAAAGTTTAATAGCTCATACATTTGCAGACAGATGAATACCAATCGCATATTATTTTAAATTTAGCATAATTATATTATAAGATCAAGGATTTAAGCATTCTAAAGATGAAAAAATGAGTATGTCTTAACAACGTAAAATATTTGAAGCTATCGAGTATTATGTATATTAATTATTATACATAATACATAATTATTTTACAGCTATTGTAAAATAGTGGATTTGTTGAAATAAAATAGCACTGTGTTTTCATAATTCTGTATAATAAAAAATACTTACTATCGAATAATTAATTCTTGTTATGTTTAATACAATCTCTAAAAAATTGTGCACGGACACGGAACACTTTCTTTCGCAATTCGCATACTTAATTATTTTCAAAAACAGAATGGAACCGTTTTAACGAACAATATATATAAAAATAATTTACGCTTAGTTACATAATATTACTACATCAGAAGCTCTGTATCAAAACGCTATCGGTGAGCAGCAATGGTCAATACAAATTAAAAACTATAATTTTAAAAAAAATGTTCGAACGCTTTATTTTACAATTTTTTTTTTACTCATTCAATTAATTTCATTCAGCGTTTAAAAAATTACCAACTTGAAAAAACAAGTAATTATTTTATTGATAATTATGAAATTTAATTACAAGTGCTTCAACTGTACAAATCTTAAGTAAGTTTATTTTTTTACAACAATTGAGTACTTCGGAAATCATTAAAATTAAAATATTGTACAAGAACTTGTAACTATATTAAATTATTCCTATATGCTTACTAATATTATGTAATAGTATGTATATTAGTACGACATATATCTGTTTTAATCAGGTTTTAATTTAATTTTCGTAAGTCAACCATTTTTCTTTTGATATGCCTATGATAGTCCAGTCATTAAAAAATTGTTTCTAAATAATGATGCAGACAATTGCGCGATAACTTTAATATAATTATTTTGTAACTTGAGCTGTATATACGGTATAATATATGCAATATGGATATTTCATAACTGTATACAATTTAACTATTTCTATAGTTATTTGACTAATCTAAAACAGTAACTAGTAGTATAATGTATTCGTCTTAGTGAAATGTGTTACCCTACTCTCCCGCGATTGTAAGATGAGAAATGCGGGAATGAACTTATAGGTCATTCAATTTTGTAGTATGTACGTTGTTTTGTATAATGTTATAATTCATGCTAACATGCTCAATTTTTGGTTTGGAAATGTTTACATCGTTGATATTAATTATAATCAAAAGCCTATCGGCAGTGTTTAGCAAGACTTATTAGTTATTGGTAAATATATACGATAACGATAAAAATCATTTCCGTTATTAATTAACAAATTATAGGTAGTTAATGGTTTAAATTGCTTTCCATAAGAGTTTTAAAATTTGTTATTTGTTATTTTTATAATAAAGATAATTTTGTAGTTATAGTTTACATTTTTTGGTGAATATATCGATTAAACCGCTTAACATTCTATAGGTAACTAAAATACAATAAATATAGGGATGGCACTACAAAAATACATTTATTTTTTATTCGTTAGGTAAACATATATTAATGCTGTTGCACATGCCTATTACCTGTGTAGTGGATTAACAGTTGGATACATTCTCAAAATCCATATAAATGTGCATATAAAAGTATCTTTGTGCCTATATGATACTTACAAATACTGCACGTGTCGTATGAAAATACTATAATATTAATATGTACTTTACGGCTTTAGTAATAGCAAATAACATTCGCTTTAAAAAAAAACTCGTTTGCGCCACAATATTATATTGGACAAGGACGACTAGAAATACATATAATATTATTATTATGATAATCGGTGGCGGTAACAGCGCCTCTAATAAGCAGTTGGATAAAAAGTCACCGCACTTGTAAAGTTACCGGCAAATGGGCTGCGATTGTGTGGTTTGAATATTTGTTTTTTTAACATTAGAATAGATACGCGTCGGTAACATAAGTATTTCTATTTTGAGTACTCCCAAAATCACGTACCATGGCGGATAAGCTACTGACGGCCGTTTGCTGTTTGTTTTTAACGTGTTTCTTGTTAGTTCCAAAAACCGTTGAATGCGCCAAACTACAAGCTCTACCGCTACGTAAGTACCAAAATAAATTTAATTTCAAGTGTTTAGAGTGAAGTAGGTGCTGAAAGTTTAAAAAATAAAAATTAGCTATTTTCTATGAACAAATATTTTGTCAAATGACAAGCTTTTTTCCCCCGAAGCCAAAGATTTATCTTCCTAGAGTATTTTTTATAAAATTGGGTACTTAGTACACCCTGAGTATAAAGATATAATATTAATTAACGTATACTTCGTTAATAATTTTTAACGAATTTATTCAAAAGTACATTTCCGTAGCAGCTGATTAATGATTCAATTATAATTTACTATCTATAATCTATATAATAACATAAACACAACACAACGCAAAAATAAATCATTAATTAAAAATCCTCGCTATTCCTACAGAACCTATAATTAACATGTATACATACATACTCGTATCCTGTTACTTAAAAAAACTCTATTTTCGTACACGAATAGAAGAAAGCTCCGTACCATAAACAGATTAAATATACATTAATTACTTGCAAATTCTAAGGCAAATATGAAATTGCGGTATTTTATTCAGTAGTTATTTTTATTAAAACCCATTCATTGAGATTTAAAATACTATCATATTTATATATATACCTATTTGACATTTATAGGAGTTGCATTGATTTAATTACATTGTTTATACAGTGAAATACTTAGAAATGAGAATAATTGAATACAGATAGTTAATTTTTAATAGAAATAGAAATAGAATAGTAATAGAAAACCAAAACTATCTTTATTATTTTAAGATTTTCATACAGGATTTTTCTGGGAAAATAATTACAATTTTATCATTTTACTTTTTGAAAATAGGTACCTATTTTTATTAATTGTATTGTACACTATTATAGATTACGGAATATTTACAATTTTTAGTATTTCCAGGGTGCTATCAACTTTTAAATCAACTTAAATTAACTTCTTAAAATAATAATTTGTAGAACATTTTGGCTGATTGATAGCCAGTTTTCAGTAATTATTTTTAAAGTTAAAAGAGTTTATTAATTAGGAAGAGAGGTGAAGCGCGGTTGAGGTCGCGAGCAGATAAAATAATACTAGATCTTTCTCCGGTCCTAAACTTTAAACATAAATGCCAAAACTGGTTATTGACCAATCAAAATTGTCAGCAAATTATTCTTATTTTAAAAAGTTAATATAATATATGCGTTCTCGTGTTCCAAAATTGCTAGCGCTTTAGAAAATACTAAAAAAGTAAATATTTGGTAATTTTTATAATATTATAAAATAACACAGGTAAAAATGATTTCAAAAAGAAAAACTATCAAGTTGTAATTATTATTTTTCGAGAAAATAGCTGTCTTACGTTAATTTTATCACCCGTGGTAGGTATATTCCTAATTAAACAAAAACGTGCATATAGTTTTTACTGCGAATACACTAAGTTTGTGTTTATGTATAAAGTTATGTAAGTTTTTAAATTGTTAATAAGATAACGACGTGAAATATGTCATAACATAAAAAAACAGGCTGCACGTCGTTGTGAAGCAGAAAGATCATTCGATTTACATATTATAAAAATACCAAAAATAAACTGTAACTTGTAATTATATATATTTATGGAGTTTTAAAGCTATTGAGTAATCATTTGTAATAGTCGGTATCGAGTACAGCTACCCATTAACTAGTTTATAATAATGTATTAAAAATTATAATTTAAACCGTTTGCGCCTCAACGATTTGAACGTCCAATATAAATCACATAATCATTAGGTTTTATGTAATTTTCTTAATTAATATGCATAGAATTATATAGACATACTAAATATAAACGATAACGATATGAACAGTTCATGTTAACATGAATTTTTTAAAAGTAAAAATCTTTAATGAATATTATTTTATTAGCTTCTAGAAATTGTGTTATTAATAAGGAACGAGAGTACCTACTAGTAATCTAACAACTAATCGCATGATAATTATTATTCCACGTTTACAGCCAACTTTTTTTTTGGGTTTACTAATTATATTGATAGGATGTACCTTCTAAGAAAGCCATAAAACAAATGTAATTAATTAAGTTATGGCTAGTTATTACAGTATACATGTGACTATAAATAGTACCTGCAGACATTCGGTGAATAACAAATATAGAGCAACCATTAGATCAGTACCAACAGTTTACAGCATTCAGAATTATGAAATGATCTATATATATATATGTGTGTGTGTAGTTCATACAATAAAATTTGCCTAAGGGGTAAACACAGTACGAAAAGCATTGGCTTACGTCCTTCGTGCAAGCACCGACCACCAATACGTAAAGGCATACAGTTATTGATATGAACCGTATTCTGATTTTCTTGGTATTTTATTACACCGCTTAAGTATGTTTTGTAAAAAAAATTCGGTGGCATTGACACGTTTATTAAGTTGATCACAAAATATATCCATAATAATTATTTCGCTGATGTTTAGTCGTTGTCGCTCTTGACCGTTGAATGATGAAATAAAACATACTTGTTTTCGCTAATACTTATGCAATTTAATCAGTATACTCAGCATACTTAAAAAACGCAAAACAGTTTTATTTTATATTTTTTTTTTCCAAGTAATCGCTAACCTGGGAGGTAATTTTTTTATATGGGCTTCAGAGGGGGTGAATTACTATGTAGTTTAAAAAGTATGTTTTCGAGAAATTAACTCAATAGACAATAATACATGTATTTAGGTATCCTTTGAACTTATAATACCAAATATATTTGTCAATTTTGTGTTAACGTAAGACTGATTTGGTTTCAATCAGACACAACCAGAGCTGGTTGCACAGTAACTAATATCTTTGTCTGAATTGGTTAATTTATGAAACAATTTTGATACCTATTTTGTTTACAATGGTTCATTATCATTGCAGCTTCATACATAGGCAAAGGTTGCCTTCGAGATGATCCGAACCTAAACGAATGTGTGGTGCGTAAGGGAGCTCCAGTGATTGAACGGATTGTAAAGGGAGATCCAAAATACAGGATACCGAAATTAGACCCGCTGGTTATTCCGGCGATGACAATCCAACAAGGTACCAAACAGGTGGGATTGACGATGACTTGCAGAAATTGCGAGTTACACGGACTTAGGGAAACTAGATTCGTCAAAGCCAGGTCGGTACAATAAACCTGTAATATGATATGTGTAGTATATACACATATAGCGAAGGATTTGATTGACTCCACTCTTTCTTATAACAATAGTAGTTGATGATAATATTATATAATATGCTTAAATCTTTGTGCGCTTAGGGTTGACGAAAAAAATAGGCATGTCGAATGGGATTTTGAACTCGATCGATGCATGTTCCTCGGGCAATATTCTATTGCAGGACAAGTGCTGATATTGCCAATCAAAGGTGACGGCACGGCTAACATCACAGTCAGTGAGTAAAAAAAAATTCAAATTATTACAAACAAAAGTATTATACGTGGTATACAGTTGCATTATTTTTATTGTTAAAATTTGTTTACAGATGGAATAACGTTTACGTATTTGTACGACTACGATTTGGCGAAAAGACCCAACGGAAAAGAATATGTTGATATTACTAAGAGTGAGTTAAAGTTTAACGCCAATGGAATGAAATTGAAATTGGACAACTTATTCAACGGCGACAAACTATTAGGTAAATAACTGTTGTATTAATTGGTTCGCCCTACCCTGCTAAAATTAATTTATATTAATGTCTGGTATATTAAATGGCATTAATATATTTATATTTTTTAATTAATTTGTCTATTAATGTTAATTAATTAGTATTATTATTTTATAAACATATTTTGGTTATATCACGGGTGATACAATGAGCAGTGTAGGGTTAAAACATGTAAGGAACATAGTCTTTTTTTTTTACAAGTTTCGAGAAAATTTAAGTTGACGATTCAGGTTTACAACAAGCCAACTTAGTTGTGCGAATCATTAAGCCAAAACCTTGAAATTTAAGGTGCAAGGTTTCTAAAACGTTGGTAGACTGGTCAATCTGTATATAGTGTTCAATAAATTCGATCATTATACGAAAGTAACCTCGAAACATTTGAATAATGTAAAAAATGTATATTTACTTTTCTAATTAACTGCTCAAAAAAAAAAAAAAATTAACGAACAGCATGTCAACATCTTGGCCCTTGATTATATTTTTTATTACGTAATATAAATAGCAAATGCTTCAATTAAAAATAATTTTATAAATTAAATCGGATAGAAATATATAAATTATTATTGAGCGACACCAATATACCGAGATATATTTTACCTAGAACCAGGGCTTGAAACATTTATAGAACATTAAACAGTTTATTAAATTACCTAGACCTATAAATAAAGAGTGCTTCTATGAAATTAAAGACTGGTTAAAAAACATGTACCTACTTAATGAAGGACGAGTCTCGGTAGCTCGTTGGTAGAATAAAAAAAAACATTTTTTTTTTGTTATTAAAAACGCTTTAACAACTATTCATTACCAAAGTAAGGTCAAATAAGGACATGCTACAGACGTTTTATTGATTTAATATTTAGTGTAGTAGCTTGACACCTTGGACTTGGCTAAAAGATCTTGTTGTCTATGCCGCATATTGTCCTCTATTTTAATTATCTTTTCACTCAATAGTGAAAAAACATTTTTCCTGTAATAGGTAGTGATTTTTTAATTATTCAAAAGGACATAGGTACCGTCTTGTGCTTATAGGCGCAACTAAAACTACATTTTATGGGGTGCTAGAATTATGTATGGCCGACTAAAAATAATTAAATATAAATACATGATTAATTAAACTAAAAATACAATATTTAAAAACAAAAATTTTAACTGAGTATGTACATTATTAAAATTCTATGCGTACAAATCAAGGACAACGATTGCTGTTTTAAATTTGGGGGTGATAATTTTTAGTCTGGAGGTGCTTAAGTTTCCCTAGTTGCGCTTATGAGTTATGCCTGTGTTTGAAATAAATAGGCGTTATTTTACAATACCTAAACGGACGCTAAAAATCTAAAAATAAGTTGACTACCTCAAGGGAGGTTCCCTCCTCTTTAAGTCGTAATATATAACACGTATGGTAAATATAACATATATTTTAGTATACTTATTTAATTTAAAACTAATCAGATTGTCGACGTCTCACGTCATAACAATTATTAATTTATTTGTTGATAACGTTTTGATCAATATAATTTATAGGTGACAACATGAACGCTTTTTTAAATGAAAACTGGAGAGATCTGTTGAAGGAATTCGGACCGGCTATTGGTGATGCTTTTGGAACGATTATGAAAAACACCCTTGGATCAGTTTCGGATCTAGTGCCCTATGATTTCATATTTCCCACCAGTTAATAATGCATGGACCATTTTTGAAAACGTTTAAATTTTAATTAAACATATAATGCACTTATATAGTGCGCAAAAGATACTTGCTGCAAAGACAATACAGTATAGTAACTCCGTTGATGCATATTCCAAAATGCACATAGTTATGAGTTATACACTTATTCAATATGTAATTGGCGGTTTTAAAGGGAACGGGAAAAAACTGTATAAAAAATAATAAAACCCTGTCACTTTCCGAGGAGCCTACCAACCGATTTTATAAATTATCTTTAATTATAAAGACTAAAGCTAAACGGCTTATTTTGTATTTAGTTACGTTTTAAAAAATGTGTTGTTTAAATTTTTACTTTTATATAATTGTTTTTTTAAATAAATCGAACTGATTTTCTAACAACTCATTAAAAAATCGGACTTACTAGTTCCCATTAAAAGTCATCTAATTAGAAAAAAAAACAAATTTATTCTTCTATGTCTCCAAGGTTAATTTATATTAAATATTGCCTACATAATAATTGTGACTTTTCTGTTACTGTGGCCAATAGTTTGTTTAATGTTTGTTCCTATACTATCAGCTTAATTCAAAATTGGTTTCGTATAATACTCGACAGAATAATATTATAACTAGTGATGTGACATAAATCCGGATTCTGAATTTAAAAATTCGAAAATCCAAATTCTGGATTTCAAAATCCGAATTTTAAATCTCAAAATCCGAACATCCAAATTTTGTTTTTCACAAAGCTGATTTATATTTTTTGAATATAGAAATAAGATTTTTAAGTTTTTATCTAAATTGAAATGTATATAATATTTTTTTTATGTAAATTTTAAGATATATTTTTTTTTAATTTAAAATATGTTTGTATAATTAATTCTCCCAGTATACATTTTTGGTATCGATAAGCTGTAGTTCGATATAGGGAAATTTATTAGAAATAAACTCTCATTTTCTCTCCAAAATTATAATTGCAATATTCTTGTTTTTCTTTATGGACACTTATGACACATAAGATTATGATTTTTAGAATATTAGAAAACATTTAAAAGTTTTATCTTTTATAGTAATTCATATAGCATCATGAAACATTAAATTAAAATTTTTAATTTAACCTGTTACTGAGGAAGAAAGAAGATACTAATAATGTATGTGTAATAAATAAATATATATATTTACAAATTGCCGTGAAATTTTGTTGGAGTTACCCTTTATTTAAATACTTTTGAATGTCTTAGATGATGAAATATCATTTCTAAGGCTGAACATAGAACATAGTTGCTACCAGGTATCCTTGATCTTAATATTATAATCTTCACATGCTGATAAGGGTTTGGGTAGTTATATGTCGCTTTGAACTTTTAACATTCCAAAAGGATTTGTTAATCCATCCGTCTAAATTATTTGTATCTGGTCGCGGTACAATTTTAAAATATATAAAATGCAAATTAATCGGATAGCTTAACTATGCTTCTTTCCACTGATTTTGATAGGAGGGGAAGATTAGCGAATGCCTACATTATTTAAGAAACTTACCAGCCAAATTTCTTAGTTTGAAAGCGTTAGTTCTCGAAGTCTCGTGATGTCGCTTGTACTACCTCTTATCCGCTATACAAATATAATTTGTTTATACATTTTCGAAACAAATAATTATTATCAGTATTGATACTAAGGTGAAACAAATACAATAATAAACAAAGATCTGAAGTAATTTATGTGTTTATTATTTAAGAGATCGATTTACAGACATGTTTCGATTAATCTACAATAACATTCTTTAAAACAAAAATTGTATTTTAACTGATAGGTAGGTGAAAATCATTTATAATAATGAATATTATAGTTTATAAATTATGTTACAAATTAGTGTGGCTTAAAATATAATATTGAAACACTAAAAAAATTGCACTACTTAGAACTTAATTAAGGTTAATAAAGAGACTGATTAAGAACTATTGTTTGTTGCTTATTATATTGGTTATTACGAAGTATGACATAATTTAAATAAAAAAATAAGGTACAATTAGTAAGCTTTCGAATAAAGCGTGTTTGCCAACTAAGAATAAGAATAACTAAGAATAAGGAACTAGTTCTAATGATATTTCACTGGCTTTAAAATTGTATTATTATTAACTAAGTTTACTCTCATCAGTTTATACGGAACTTATAGGGTAATATAAACGCCTATTTCTAATGAAAAATAACGTGTTCGAATATGAAATAGTAATAATCAGACACCATAGAAGAAAAATTACGATTCGCAGAGATCAGCAAAATAAAAGTTTTAATTTTGTTAAATGCATTATGATACTTAAGTAATATATTATAATAATGATTTTTTTTAAACAGTTTATGTAGTAAAATGGTCAAATTTAATTTATTTTCAAATACCATAAAAACGTTAAAACGACACCACTGTTTTTAACATTATGCAAAAAAGTGTTTCTATTTTAAAATGTACTACTTAGAAACACCACATTTTAAAATACTACACACTAAATTAATGCTGAACTTCCGCTGTCAATTTAGTTGTCTTATGTAAAACTTCTAAGAGTTATATAATTGCAGTTATGGGGTATTTGGGGCATGTGTAAAATAAATCTAAAATTATGTACACTTACAACAAAATCAAGACGTTAAGCGATGCGTTTATCAATTTGTTTTCTAATACTTGGGAGAGCACTTGGACCATATTTATGTTATATTAAATTAGTTATAAACTACTCTTATGACAAGACCGTACCCTATCGTTTTATTACGCTAGCGAAATCTCGATCTCGTACTATAATATGCTTCTTTTTTTTATGACGACCAAAACATTAAACTATAACCTATAAATAACTTACAATAACCTATACTATTATATCGATAGTATAGTGCACAGATGTTTTGGATATATTTTATTTTTTAATTTTACAGAAACGGTGTTTTAAAATGTAATTTGTGTTTAATAAACTTGTCAAAACTATATCTTTGAATTTTAATATTTATGCATATAATGTATGTAAGACTTTAGGAGACTTTCTATTGCTAATATAAATCTCAGCTTCTATTCATGGCTCATGTGCATTATACCCATCATGGTTAATGATAAAACTGAATACTTAACTTACCCTTACGACAAGACTGGGCACACTGATACGTGATAGTCTCCAGTCTTGTACTCTATTAAACCACCTTAGCTAAAAAAATTAATGATAATTATACAACTAAATAGCTTAAAATTATAATAATGTGCTGGCGTTACACCTCATGTACCTAACTATCCTTAAGACAAGACCAAATGCATGTCAACGCGAATTTTGGTCTTGTACTCTATATATATGTCTGTTGTACAAAATTTGTGTGGACCATATATCAATGTATCATGCTCTAGGCTTTATAATTTAATACAAATTCCTACACCTAAAATAGCCTAAAATATCAATATAAATAACTTATACTATTCCTTACGACAAGACCGAGCACATTTGGTGATGCTACCTTCGGCCATGTACTCTAATAATGGGCGCGTTTTGTGTGTAATTATACCAATGGCATTTTTAATAACTGATAAGACATTTTTTTTAAATTTCAACAATAAGACTTTCCTTACGACAGACCGGACACATTTTACTACGGTGTGACCTTTAGTCTTGTACTCTATATTTTAGATTGCTCATAACCTTATTTTGCATTCATTGTATCGAATCTCAATATAATATATGAAATAAGACCTACACCATCGACTAAAATATTATGATTACTACTTATAAACTGATGATAGGACCGAACACATATTATAACAATTTGGAGATTCGACTTTGTATGCTAATTTAAAATTATAATGACACGTATGTCTGTAGCTTTTAATAATACATAATATAAAGTAACTTAAAACAAAAATAAATATATAATATACGTTTTTTATCCCAAAACACTAAATAACCTATGGTAATTAGCAGTTTTTTTTTTGAAAATATATGGTAATAATTAAAAATGTGGTATTCTCAAGTAATCTTGAGAAATATTTGGTAATCTGGTGGTAAAAATTTTTCAGTGTTTTATCCTATACTTATACTACGTTAAGATAAGACCCAACACAAAAAGTGATGTCAGAATCAGGTCTTGCACTCTAATATGGTATCTTCCTTCTTGTATTGTATTCGATATTTTATTAGAAAGAAAAAAAAGCTTCCATTTAAAATAAATTTAACATTATACTAATAAAGGCATACTAAAATAACAACTAACCTTACGACAAGACCGAACAAATTACAATGTGATTTGTTCTTGTACTCTAATGCATTTCTTTTTTTTATATTGAATTCTACGCCTAATGTATATGATTATATAGTTCCTTATCACAAAAACCAGACGCATCTTTTTATATTTATTTTTAGTTAGAATAATTTAAAAAATGTAATTTTTAAAAACATAGACTTTCTTCTAAACACTCATCAAGTAGGTACACATTCACTTACATAACTCTTAAAAAAACTTAGATATTACTTGTATAATTAAAAGTTATTTACACTTACAACATGTCAAGAGTCCTGTTTAACAATGTTGAACATGTTATCTAATTCCCACCGGTCATTGGACTTATTGATAAAATGTTCACTTAAATTAATAACTCATTTAAATAATAAATTAACACTAATATGTTAGGATTTATAACAATATGTTTGTATTTAACCTTTAGATATAGTTTTCTTTCGGTAAACATTAAACAATATTAATAGTATATTAGCTGATAAATAGTTAAAATATTATAATTGTTTTTTATATAGTTAAAGTTGATACATTAGGACCAGATAAGGTTATAAACAAATAGGATGAATGTAACCAAATTTTGTTTTTAATAAATTGATTGAAAACTTGAATTCTAACTGAATCTGATACATAATTAAATAAAATACAAAATCGTTTTTTTTTTTAATAAAACAAAAATGTATTTACAATTGCCCGATTTGTATTGTAATACCCAATTTGACATACAAGTAAATGTTTTTTTTAAACTTTATTATGAAAGATGTATTTGTTGAAAAAACTAATAAATAATTGTTAGTGTAAAGTAATTATTAATTGTTATTAATGATGACATGTTAATTAGATAGTATAGTAAGTAATAAAAACTGAATACATTTTTTTAACTTAGCATGGAAAAAAACTACCACGAGGAAAAGACTATTTATTTGTTGGCTTTTTATTAAACACAAAGAATTAGTAAGATTTTAGTTCTAGAACTCTATTGTTTTATACTTGAGATCATCAAAAAAAATATTAGCATATAATTAGTATTTGACTATTAATTTTATATTGTTATTTGTGTACTTAACCTGATTTTAAAATGAAAAGTAATCAAATTTCAGAAATAACATATTATTATCATACACTTACAACAAATTCAAATAATTAGATAATGAATTTGTTTTCTAATTAAAGCACGAATCCTTATTATTAATAGCTTACAAAACTAAAAAAACTAAATATAAGATAACCTTAAAGGAACAGGAAAGTGGCTTATAATTTTAATTATATTTTACTAACTTATTTAAAAAAAAGAAAATATAATTATATATATTATATAACAACTTAAGTATACCTTATTAGTTATTTAACTTACTAAAATGTAATATATTTACATACAATATATATACACTTACTGCAACTTCATGTTAATTTGAAATTAAGGCTTTGAAGTTGACTCTAATTCCAACATTTTCTTAGCCAATCGCATACCTAATTATGTTATAACTTAAGACTTCAAATAAATGTATTATTAATAGTATGTTATTAACAGTACAACACTATTTAGAGTTATACGCTTTACTATTTAAAGTAAAAACATTTTTCTAAAATCCAATGAGCCAAAAAGGTCGAATTTCTTAAATAATGAATATATTTTCATAAAATGATTTGCAATACCGTACCGTATTGTTAGCAAAAAACAAAACATAGCAATATAATTATTGTTCCAACTGATGAGAGTAAATGTAGTTCTATAAGATACAACTTATAACAGTATCACAGTGTTCTTTGAGTATCAAATGCATCATACTAAGAGTATAAATAAAACATAGGAAGGATATACGTATAATCTAATTCACTTAAAATATGTATAAAAAAAACGTAAATCGTAAAATACATATCATTTTGAAATTTTTGGAAAATGTAATTTTGGCTATCTAAATAATTTTTTCCTAATTATTTCTTTTTAAAAATTATTCATTTAATAAAAACTTGATTATCCTTACACAAATTATAAACTGTATATTAATGATAACTCTAAGTATTAATACCTTATGGTTACTTTGTTTAACTGAGAAGATGTTATACGTGTCTTTTATTACAATTCTTGTAACACAGAAATCTTTATTGTTAATGTTCAACACAAAATGGTATATTATATTTTCATCATCTGAAAATAAATGGAAACACATTTACAAGGAATTAAAGCACATCTATATTTGTAACTTAATTTATAACATATTTAAAATAAAACAGATTGCTATATCACTAAAAATCATTCCAAAAATTCTCTATATATTTTAATGACATGTTTCATATCTTATCCACGTAGGCCAAATATGTTTGTTGAGTTATCAATTGATGCTAATTGATCTCGTAACTATCATTTGAATCGTTTAGTCTTATCCTACAATCCTATTCAACTTATGAAGCGAAAATTTGGATTGAATCCTTTATGGGATTGCTAAGAATGAAAAGACAGCACCTCAGCCTGATCAACTAAGTGAGCTAAGTGAGGATAAGACATGTACATAATTTATTTAAAATTTTTCGGTTGAAGACCATAATTTTTATGTATTCTTATTTATCTACACAAAGAAATCATTTTTTTATGAAAATTAATTAGGTACTATTATTATTATATTTTATTTAAATAGTATAAACATTACATAAATTGTCATGTCATGTTTCCAAATAAATAGTACTTAATTGACACTAGTCAAATTCGTAGATATGATTACTTCAAAAACTAACAACATGTACAAATTGTATTGAAGTAGCTGGAAGCTGGTGTGTAGATAAACAATACAAGTTCAACAGTGGCTAGCTTAAAAGTTGCAAACTTTAAGTTATAGTTTATAGCTTAATGATTTGCCACTCTATGCCCCCTGGAAATTATGTTAGTTCCTATGTTTTGGAAAAGAAATGAATACCAACTTCATGTTTTTTTGTTAGAAATTGGGTAGTGGATATTAACATTTATAGGGTTTATTTGAGTCATTTAGAAACATTTATTTTTTCTTACATCTATTACTATGTACTTTGAGAATGTTATTTGACATGATATTAAATGAATAGCTTCATGCAAAAAAAGGCCTAAGTCACCATTTTATCAAAAAACGTGATTATTACAGCTTCGTTATCACTTTACTTAGACACAGCGATTTATGTTAAAAAAAAAATTAGTCCCATTACCAGAAATTACTAAGAAAATTATTGATTTTTATAAAAAAAGGTCTAAGTCCACTATACTTAAATGCTAATAATCTGGACTGCATTTGAAAATAATAATATTGTTTTACAGAATGTAATTTTACTGTTTACTACCTATTAACTTTGATAAAGCCCTTATATATTTATACATTTTGAAACAAATCAAGTTTTTTTCATTTTTCCAAATTTAAAATTAAAGACTAAGACCCTTTTTGCATGAAGCGATTCAAATAGAAAAGTATTAATATTAATCAATAATAATTATACTTACAAATATATGATTCCATACACCATTAAACAACTAGGTTCATTATTAGTCCCAAATAATAAGTATTTGAATCAAAATGGTTAACGAATCTAATCTTAGGAACGCACCAAGAACTGAAAACAATAAAACATTTTTTTTTTTAGTTTTGAATATGAGTTCTTACAATTTAATTATAAGGATTAATTCAATGTTTTAGGCTCGGCGCACACCAAAGCAGTGAGGTTGTAATGAAATGGCCAAGAGGTGCCAAAAAGCACAACAAAGGAGTGTGGCGCGTAGAAACGCGTTAACATTTTTATCATAACTATTAAAACAATATAACAATGATAACCATATAAACAACAATTTATATTAATCAAAATAATTGTGTTATAAAATTATAGTTTTCAATTTTCATAGACACTAGGAATTCTCTATTATCTACCTAAAATTTTAATTTATTATTTATATGAACTATCCATTTCACAACACAAGTAGGCCCTCTACTGTCTCTACGACCACCAAGAATTAAAAATAAACTATTTTTTAATAGTTAGCACGCACATTGTAGACTTTATAATGCAATAACTCATACACATAGAAGTCAAAAAACCTTTTTTGTAGATAATTATTTTTTCTATAATTTTTCTTTGAAACTTTTTATTTATAAGCCGGGCTTAAGAGGCCTATATTTTTATTCAGACACCATTTGTTTATTCCAATCTACCTTTTTGACTCAATGTCAAGTATTATGTTATTCATAGAGAAAATATTGATAGTAACATTTAATTGCATATCCAGGGGGGTTTTAAATATCCCACTGCTTTTAATATTGAAAAATTAAAGACAATACATTTTACTGGTTTCTCAACTCATTATATTAGTTATATAATGAGTTGGGGAGATGTTAGTAAGGGTTTATTTCCAAAAAAAAACCTTAAATTACTACCAGGATAATGAAAGTGTCCCACATACCTAATAAAAAAACAAGTCAAGCTTAGTGAAATTTAAATTAAGAAGTTTGCTTATAGTACAAAATTGACTAAATCAGACATTACAGCAGTTTTCTACAGATAGCCTTTTAACAGGTTACTCAGTAGAGGGAGCCTGTTTACGTCATCACAATATAAGAATAATTAAATTAAAAACTGAATACTACTATTCCACAATAACTTTAAAAATTAGTAATTCAAAAGGAAAATGAATTTGCCTAACTAAGTTATTATTTTGTTTTTACTCAGAAATAGGTTATAATTCTACATTATATATTTATGGGTTCTCTCAGATGAGGGAGCCTGAAAATTTCATCACAGTAACTAAATTACCTACCTCAGAAAATTTAAAATTTCCCACTGTTGAATAATAGAAAACTATAATTAAAAAAAAAAAATCCTTAAATAATGTATTTTTGGTTTTACTCAGATATAGGTTAGAATTCTACATTATATTTAAATGGGTTCTCTCAGATGAGGGAGCCTGAAAATTTCATCACAGTAACTAAATTACCTACCTCAGTAAATTTGAAAGAGTTTAAAATTTCCCACTGTTGAAAAATAGAAAACTATAATTAAAAATACAAAAATTCTTAAATAATGTATTTTTGTTTATACTCAGAAATAGGTTATAATTCTACATTATATTTAAATGGGTTCTCTCAGATGAGGGAGCCTGAAAATTTCATCACAGTAACTAAATTACCTACCTCAGAAAATTTAAAATTTCCCACTGTTGAATAATAGAAAACTATAATTAAAAAAAAAAAATCCTTAAATAATGTATTTTTGGTTTTACTCAGATATAGGTTAGAATTCTACATTATATTTAAATGGGTTCTCTCAGATGAGGGAGCCTGAAAATTTCATCACAGTAACTAAATTACCTACCTCAGTAAATTTGAAAGAGTTTAAAATTTCCCACTGTTGAAAAATAGAAAACTATAATTAAAAATACAAAAATTCTTAAATAATGTATTTTTGTTTATACTCAGAAATAGGTTATAATTCTACATTATATTTAAATGGGTTCTCTCAGATGAGGGAGCCTGAAAATTTCATCACAGTAACTAAATTACCTACCTCAGAAAATTTAAAATTTCCCACTGTTGAATAATAGAAAACTATAATTAAAAAAAAAAAAATCCTTAAATAATGTATTTTTGGTTTTACTCAGATATAGGTTAGAATTCTACATTATATTTAAATGGGTTCTCTCAGATGAGGGAGCCTGAAAATTTCATCACAGTAACTAAATTACCTACCTCAGTAAATTTGAAAGAGTTTAAAATTTCCCACTGTTGAAAAATAGAAAACTATAATTAAAAATACAAAAATTCTTAAATAATGTATTTTTGTTTATACTCAGAAATAGGTTATAATTCTACATTATATTTAAATGGGTTCTCTCAGATGAGGGAGCCTGAAAATTTCATCACAGTAACTAAATTACCTACCTCAGAAAATTTAAAATTTTCCACTGTTGAATAATAGAAAACTATAATTAAAAAAAAAAAATCCTTAAATAATGTATTTTTGTTTTTACTCAGATATAGGTTAGAATTCTACATTATATTTAAATGGGTTCTCTCAGATGAGGGAGCCTGAAAATTTCATCACAGTAACTAAATTACCTACCTCAGTAAATTTGAAAGAGTTTAAAATTTTCGACTGTTGAATAATAGAAAACTAAATTTAAAAATACAAAAATCCTTAAATAATGTATTTTTGTTTATACTCAGAAATAGGTTATAATTCTACATTATATATTTATGGGTTCTCTCAGATGAGGGAGCCTGAAAATTTCATCATTGTAAACAAATTAATTTGCTGAACAGTTTATCACTTATAACATTAACACTTGAACGGATGGAGTGGCTAAGTAGATTAAGGTGAGAAAATGAGTCTTCTTCTTAATCAATCAACCAAAATTCTATGTAGTTAATTAGAATTAGATTAGTTAAAGGTTCTATTAAGATATATATAAACAACGTACCTAATACAATTAAATATTTTATTACAAGCTTTTTATTAATAAAGCTATGTATGAAATATGAAGTAATTTGTTCAGATACTTTTTACTTATACCACGTGTACGACCACAGATGGATTGTTAACACTTACTGTTCAGAAGCAAGGTCGACATTAATCTCATGCTCTTGCCCAGCGATTTTCCTGTCGGGCGTGTCGGCGTCCGTTACCTTAGACGCAAAACATTTTTTCAATAGGTATGTAACCAATATGGAAATATGGATGAATAATGAAATTTACTAATTAGTAAAAATATAACTTCAGGAAGCCAAGGCAGCCGGTGGAGCCCGGCAGCTGTGGCCGCCACCAGGCGCCAGCCACGCGGCTTACGGAAACAAGATACGATTTAACAAACTAATAACTATAGTATAGAGAACATACTACAGTCTACACTCTACAGCCTACAGAGTACAGTCAATACAGTCAAAAAAATTGAAATTTAATCTCAAATCAATTGACGATAGCATATAGGCTATAAGACAATGTGGGTACTAGAATTACTGGAGGGGATACCTACGAATAGTGTATCCAACCTAAAACTATCACGAGCAGTCGCCAGTTTGGCGACACTAGAAATGCACTAGAAATTAATACTATTTAATAAAAGTATAAAACCTTTATAATTTTACTAACAGGCTAATTCAATTATATTGATTTTACCATTAGACATTAGTTGATTTATGAATACAAATTAATGAACGATTAAAAAGTAACTCAATTATTCCACTAAACAATTTAATTTCTGATCTAACAAATTTACATAAATAATTAGCAAATCAAATTATTCTATATTCATCTAAAAACAAAAAGAATAAATCAAATATAAATATAACAATAATAATAAAATCGTAGAAAATTATTGTGTTCATTTATTTATTTTATAAAACTAATTTTCATGATAAAACTAAAATAGTATACCTGTATTGTAATCTGCTTTTTTAACATAAAATATACATTTATTATTTACTAAGTATAAATATTGACTATGAGAATTCAATATGTTATATTTAATATTGTAATAAAATTATAATTATGCATAATAAAACATTAAGCTGTTAATATGGCAATTGAAAATACTAAAAAAATACAACTGCGTTGTTAAACAATAAATCATTATTACAATTTTTTATTTAAAAATATTAGTATCTTTTAAGTAGCATACACCTTATTATAAAAGCATATAGGATTTTAAATAACACTTGCATTATATTTATATTAGTGAACTAAGGCAGCGGTTCCAATGCGCGCACAGTTGCCGGTTCGAACCTGGCCACGGCATCTCTTTCTAGACAGGCAACTGTCTAGGGAAAGATGCCACCATACACCAACCAAAAACTTGACAGAACCCTGCGGGTAATCAGGCCATTCTAACAAGCAGGCCTCCAATTAGGCCTTCTCGGGCCTACTCTCTAACACTTACACCATAAAAAAAAATTACACCCAAGATTTTTTGATCATACATTTTATTAGGAATATTTAATTGCAAAATTATTTTTAAGAAAACAAATATTTTTAGAGAAAAATAATTTTTAAAAATACAAAACATGTAAAAGTTTATAAAAAAAAAAAATTAAAAAATAACTTAATAAATATGTCCTTAAAATTATGAGACAAAATAATAATACAAAAATATATATTAATTAAAAATTAAAAACAATGTTATCAAATAAATCTTTCTTCACAACCATGGACGCCAAGTAGGATTTGCCAGATAGAGATTTTTTTTGAGTATGGCCTTGAAGAGAAGATTGTGTATCTGAAAGTTAATTATACTTAAAATTTATTTCTATTCAAACAATATTAATTAATTAATACTTTTAAATTTTTTACTTTTCTAAATCATTTCAAATTATATTATAAACTATGAAAATTTGAAGTTATTTATCTTCCATTTTTTATAAAGTTTTTAATTATTTCAAAAAATTAAATATTTGTAGTATAATGTAGTCCATGAATTATAATTTTCAAAAAACATTGGTTCTAAGTAATACTACACATAATTTAATTTTACCAAATCATTCGTAGACAAATCACCGATGTCTTTGCATCTTGTTAAAACACCTTCAACATTGTTTAATACAGTTTGTAGTAGAAGATTTTCATTCATTCCATCAAATTCAAATTCATTAATAGTGATACCCTAAAAACAAAAGTAATTATATATTAAGTAAATTTGTAAATAAATATTGTTTTGTTAATATTCATAGTATATATATATAAATTTAAAACACAGTAGTTTTAACTGGTGAAAGATGTAACGTTTAGTAGTGCATACAAATATATATATAGCGTTACAGTATATACCTTGAGAAGCTAGATCTCCAGAAGTATTTATTTAAAATTGTAAATGGACCAGTCATTATTTTCATTATAATCTAAGTAATGTGAATTATATAAGTAAGTTATTATTTAACTTTTTTCAAATTTCCCTTCAAAATCATACACAATTTTTGTATCAGCTTCAATGCAATATTGGTTTTATAATAAATTTTTTTTTTGAACAATTTTGATTTTCCCGTTAATTTTTGTTGGTCATTTAATATGCTATAAGCTAAACAAATTTTATTTGAAACGTTTTTAATTTAATCAATTACTGTACTGATATTCTGAAGATCCTTTTTACAAATGAATGGCGTTATGCAGAAAGCAACCAACCCACAAAAAAAAAAAAACTAGATTTTAGTTTAACTATAAAACAAGTGTTTAGTTTATAGTGTATACTACACTAGTTAAACTAAAATCTCGATTTCTTTTTTTGGTGGGTTGGTTGCTTTCTGCATAACGCCATTCAAATATAAGCATATTAATGATCGATTTACAATTATACATTGAATACAATTTGTGACGTCAAATCCCACTTAACTCCAGAGGAAAAAAAAAGTATTTTACCCCCCAACATAACTCCAAAAAATATTAGTAAAAATGGGCAATATCATTACAATGTATTATACTTGTTTTAAAACCATCGACCCATCCACCCACTAGACCTTTATGGCTGCAGAATTTTTGCCACCTCCTATACCCCCTCCCTCCTATACACCTCCTATCTTTTAGCGCTACTAAAAATAATCTAGTGGTTTTATTATCTAAATAGATTATACTATAATAGCAAATCTACCTCCTTTAGAATAAAACACCTACTTTTACAAAAAATAAACAATTTTAGTTAATAATTATTTCACATCCAAAAATGTGGTTCTTATTTTAAATATAAATTAACACTTACGAATTTGATTATATTTTTTAACTCATCGTTCAACAAAACTTTAAGCATAACTTCAACATTGTCTTTGGACTTATCAAAACATTGACCAGTTGCTACCATACAGTTGATCAGATGATGTTTTCGCAGTGGCGTAATGAATTGTTGTAAATTTGATGTAACTCGAAATGGCATTAATTGCTCTGTATCTAAGCTTTCTAAAAAATAATTAAAATTACATTTTATTAATGGACTAAAATGAATATAACATAAATAAATATATTTTATGCAAATTTTAATACAAACCATCTATATTATTAGAAAATTCATAATATTCAGCATTGACCACACCACTTTTTGTATTTATATTTAACATTTCTGGTTTAAGTTTTGTTAGGTTAAATGTATACTCGGAAAAACACAACAATGAATAGTATTCTATAAACTAGAATGTAAAAATTTGTAAAATATAACACTTTTTTCAGTTATGTGCCAGAGCTAAGACATGAAAATGTCAATACTTACAACTAGATATATTCCATTTATTATCTAAAAAACATACCCTATTTATAAATTACTTACTGTTTTACGAAACATCCAACTATCTGAGGGAGTTGCAAAGTTGTTCAGAGTAAAGTCGTTCAAAATATTTTTTGAGCAATGTTTTCTTTGTATTTTGGAAAATACTTTTTTTTCAGGATTTTTAATTTTGACACTTAACTAAAATGTATATAAATTAAATTAAATAATATGAAATTATTGATACAATTAAGAATTACATAAATGTTATACGCATACCTTGTAACAATCATTCAATGTTGAATAATAAGTATCTATGTCATCATTGATCCATGTGCTGTTACTCATTTTACTATAAATATTTAATAGTGATAAATTACTAGGATTACTCTCAGCCATTCGCAAATAAGGAGACAAAGTTAGTACACGTGGTAAGAAAAATTTGAGATTGCGTTTAGCAGTTTCCTAAAATAATAAATTCAGAATACTGAATAATGTTTTATTCTTTATAACTGTAGCACAAATTAATTTTCTTACTTTGTGATTACATAATAAACTATTTGACAAAGAGAATAACTGATGTACTCTTTGTTCAGATTCGTTGAATTCCCCATTAGAAACAATATAAGAATATTCCAAACCATCAGTTCCTCTAATACTTAATTGCTTCACAATAGTACCATGTTTATCTACAAGACGTACATAGCCGCTAAAATTATGTATTTTGACAATGCTAGAAGATTCCTAAAAAAATAATTTGACTTGTATGCAATAAGTTCAACTATAATATTGACATTTGTAATATTACCTTCACATAATTTGTATCTCCTGGCATTCTTATCATTGACCAATCTGCGTTATGGATTTTTGGACATCGAGACTCATGTAAAAATATTGTTTCATAATTGGCAAAGTGTTCTAAGCATTTTATCCATAACTTAAGAGAATTTATCACAATCCCAATATTGATTGAAGTGCAACTAAAATCTTCAGAAAACTTTTCCTTGAATTTTTCATGAAATTTAGATAAATTATCCGGAATTGAAAATGGTTTTTTCATCATAAATTCTCCTAAAAATAAAAGTAAATATACAAATTAACTTATGTTAAGAAACTATCTTAGCTTAACACTACCTGATTAAAAAAATCAGTACAGTAGAGTGAGGATATAGTAGCGACAGAGCATAGTAGGTAGGAAAGATCACTAGTCTTTAGGATTTTAGGAATTATTCATAAGAATACATAAATTAGTAATACAAATTTTAAGAGGAAAATGTAAATTTACATGTCCATAGTTCCTCCGATACCCAGCTTATGAACACTATTTAATAAAATACAACTAAAAACATTGTAATAAAAAAAGTAAATAATAGATAATTTTTGTCATTAAAAAGTGACTACAGATTTTCAAAACTACAAAAAATAAAAACGATAAATGCTGATTTACTATTAAAATAAACATAAAACAAACATGAAGAACGAATATTTAAAGAAATTAAGATATTCATAATATGTTTATGTGTGATACACATTTAAGTAAAATAAATACTTACTATCACTTAAATTTTGATTACAAAAAATCTTGGATATGTTTGCTATGTAATTGAAAATTTCTATTGAAATTGGTACATTCATACTTTTATTTTGATAAGCATAGTCATAACATAAGGATAAGCATTCATGAAGCTTACGACGTAATTCTTCATCCCAACTTTCGCCTAAAAGAAAAATCTAAAAAAGAAAAATATTTTATAAAATAGGAGTTATTCTATTGAGGAATTATGCACAATCAAACTACTAATTGGAATCTTAGTCATTAGCAGTTATATTTTCCGAGTGAACGTATTAAATAAATAGAAATAATTGTCCACCCTTCTTTAGATCCTAAACATAATTAGTCAAAGTAAAATTAGTAGTATCACAATATATAAAATAAAATTTGTTGAAGTCCTTTAGGTCATAAATTCAGTGTTTGGAACTTTATAAATTTGCATGTTTATTTGGAATATAAATAAAATAAGATCTATCACAATACACACGTTGTACATACAAATAGATGTAAGATTACATTTTTTGAGGCCATATTTTTGCATACTTCAAAGTTACTTTTTATCAAAGCTTATTATAAATATTACATTTATTTGAAATTTAAACTTAATAAAAAAAAAATGTATTTAACTTGATATTATGTAATATTATGTTTGTGGGTGTAAGCCAATACAGCAATTTTCTTTGAATGATTTGAAAGTGGCAATTCGTACAGAGGTGGCACTAATCACAAGGGAGACACTAGAACGAGTGTGGACTGTGGAAGAACTTCCTCAAAAGAATTGAAAATTGCCACATGAAAGATGGACATCACCTTCCTGATCTCATTTTTGCTACTTGAAGTAAATGGCTTACACCCACAAACATAATATAACATAATATCAAGTTAAATACATTTTTTTTCTCGAAAAATTAATATTATTTTGCATTTTTGAAAATGTAAAGTGTTTTCGTGGTTACCCTGTATTTCACTAAAAGAAGTTAAAAAAAATTTCAAAAAATGTTGAGGAGGTCGGGCCGGTGACCGCGTAGTTTGACCCAGAATGCATCATATACATATAAATAACAATAATAATCAAGAATTATAAAAACAACAGTATTTGTATATAAATGTTACAATTCAGTGATAAAAAAGAAACATACAGAATAAAGTATAAGTCAAACTAGAAAATAATTTTTAAACATACTTACAACACAATGAATACTTACATGGTGTACAAAATATTCTAGCTCAATATAAATCAAACTTTTTTTGTGTAATAAACTAATGAATCTTTCAATTTTATCAACTTTTTTGTTTATATACTCCAATTCCGTAAGTCTAACTAAAAAAATACCAAGAAACAGTTTATAGTATTAAGGTCATTTATTTTTTAACCATAATATATATATCTAAATAAATGATCAAATAAATATAAACAGGTTGTTCTTACATGGTTGCTCCATATCGGTTTGCACTTTCTGTAAATTATTTGACACATTAAACTTTTTTTAAAAAATTATTTATTTATTTCTAGTTTAAATTATATATATACCTCTTCTTTTATGATTTTTTCCTTAAAGTACATTTTTCTTAATGTTAAATACATTGTTTGTGGACATCTGTATGCTGCCTAAAAATAAAGATCATATTAAAAAATATAACAGCATAAAAAAGCAAATTAAATGTAAGGTTAAGTTAAAAATATATTTTGCATTCAACAATAGCAAAAAACGATACTTAAGCCAATTAATTAATTAATTTTAAAAAAAACTAAAAGGAAACTTGCAGAAGAAATCAAGAAATTACTTTTTCATTTAACCCAATGTAAAAGTACTAAAACCATATTTTTTTTAAGGGGAACGGAAAGCGCTATTTATTAAGGCAAAGTATAGCCAATATTTGATAAAAATTGATCTAGTAGCCATTTTTAATATGTTGACAAATTTTAAGGTTAAAATTTTTAAATTTTTTTAGTAATAATACTTTTAAAGTTTTTTTGACATTTTCATGTCTTAGCTCTGGCACATAACCGAAAACCGTGTTATCAAAAAAGCGTTACCACACTGAGATGGGGTTGGGGGTGGGAATGGGAATGAAGATGAGGTTCGGGGTGGAAGATAGGGGTAAGGAGATAGGGGTGGGAGATTACGGTAAGAGATAGGAGTAAGAGATTATAGTGGGTAGGGGATAGGGGTAAGATATAATGGGTAGGGGATAGCGGTAAGATATAGGAGATAAGAGATATGTTGTAAGTTCAACGTTCAAATTAGAACTAAATGATAAATTCAAAATAGTTTAAGGGCTCAAATTCTCTATGAATTGTTTTAAGCCAGATATTAAACACTACAATATTAGCCAGAAACTTGATGTTTTAATATACTAGCTTGTTTCTGCTTCTTAATATACTATATCATTATCTATAATTCCACCACTACTCTAAATTTATTTGGTACTTCAACGAGACATGAAAATGCTCTTTTGTGGTTGCAGACTCAGCTGAAAAACGTTTTCATTAATATCTTTACTATGGAGGCTAATAGGCCAATTTTTGATTTGGCAGTTAGAAACTTAGTTTATAAAAAAAAAGTAAAAATCTAAAAACGTATAACAATTTTTTGAATACAAAAATAAAAAATCGGCCTTTTAACCCCCATAGAAAAGATGTTATAATAAACTTTATAATAAAACATTTTTTTTAACTCGGTCCGGTAAACACTTCAGAAAGTGATTTTACGTTTTAGTTATTATTTGTAAAAAATGTAAAGCTTTCCATTCACTTTAACTATGATAAATATTATTAATTTTAAGTAAATATAATGTAATATATTTTTTAAATAATATAGCTTTATAAACGTAATATATATTTTTTAATTTTATTACTGTTCTTCACTACTTTTTTTGCTAACTGCATTTAATTAAATATTATTTGATAAATATGTAAATACATAATAGAATATAAAATAATGATTACTTGTAGAACAATATTGTCAACATTAGAATTCTCGTTGTTAACTAGAATATTTATTAACTCTGGAACCCATGAATTATATGTATCGATGTTAGATTGTCCGAGAACACTCAAAAGTGTGCTGTTTATATCATCATTTGACAATAACCATAGAATCTTATTTCAAGAACAAAATATCATATAAAACAATAAATTTTGGAAATCTACATTACTATATTTTGATACATACCCTTGCAATTAAAAATGTTTTATCAACTTCATTAGTTAAAGGTGATGCCAAAATGTAACACTTTATAGCAGCTGAAGCCATTTCTATGTTTTTTTCAGAACTAAAAATACTCTCCAACATTTTTGCCCATTGAATCCAAGCATTTGCCAATATTTCACAACTCTCAATAGTTGTGTACATTGTATTGAATTTATTGTTTTTTTCACTACTCTGTTGCCAATCACTATTGTTAGAACAATGTGATACAAAATTGTTTTCAATGACTTGACTCCAGTCTGCTTCTTGGTTTGTAGGACATATTTGAAAATTTGCTGACGTTAAAAATGCAATAAATGCATTGTTTGTGTCATTACAAGAATAATATAGTGATCCTCTAATTGCATAATATATTGATTTCATGTCACTTGGAAATGAATCATCATCAAATGTCAACTCCATATGATTCAGTATCTAAAATTTAAATAATAAATCAAATTGTTTCTGTTAGCTACTAAAGTTATCTATATCAGATGGAAATATGTATTGAGCTAAATACTTCAATTTAGTCATAGGAGCTATTCAATTCTTATTGGACATTTTGGATCAATTCAAACGAGTGGTTAAATAAAATTAATATACTATAACAGATCAATTTGTAAAATAAACATTTTTTTATAAAATACCTACATATCTGTCACAAACTTGAGCATGCTCATACCTATATATATTTAAATTTTAATACCCTCCAAAGCAAAACTTGTGCAAGTAGGATACGACCAATATGTGTTTTGAAGTGTTATGTAAAACCAACCCAGTACCTCAAGTACACTGAGTTTGATATCTTATATCACTGTGCCACATACATTGATAATAAAAATGGTACATAATTATTCTTACCTCGTATATTTTTAAATCATCCTTATCTTTAAGCATACACTTGGCTTCTATATTCATTTTTTGAAGCCAATCAGGTAAACACATTTCAGTTGCGTCCAAATAGTCTAATGATTTTAAACATACATCAGTCATGTTGTGGTTTAATGCTGCTTCACAGAATTGTAGTTTAGATTGAATCTACAATATTATTAGATTATAATATCCTATTTATTAATTATTTACGTATTTAATTATAATTTATAATAGTCGTAATTCATCATGTTCTCATGTTTTTTTTAAAATTAAATTAAAAGTTAAAAATTATATTCTGATTTAAATATATATATATATATACTTAGGTTGTACCTCAGCAGTTTTTGTTTTATTAATTTCTACACTCGCTTCACGGAAAATTAAAAATGAATAATATGTTTGTCGCCAGGATTTTAAATCTTTCCAGAAACTAAGGTCATCTCCAATCGATGGATTTCTATTATTCCAAATTTCTACCAATACATCAATATTGTAAATATTTTCTTCAGCCTGTAACCAGCTACTTTGTAAGAAGTGTGCTTCACGTGCTTCAACAACCTATGGTAATAATATAAATAAAATTACATAACCATTAAAAATCTTACAGAACTTAAACTAAAAACAACTTGCCAATTGAGCAGCTTGAAGTAAAGGTATGTGTACATCACAAATGTATTTTGGTAATGATTTCCATCTACTGACAATTGCCTTAGTGGCAAGATTTATATGCTCAATTGCTGTAGTCGTACACTTTTGGTTTAATTGATTTAAAGCAATCATTCCTAGGTAAAAGTGATACTGGAGAAAAACAGATAATTGAAAATAAAAATTATTACAATATGTTGTTTAGTTTCTAAAATATTAATTTAATTGATTTACCTTCCAATTTAATTGAGAAGGCCAAAGAGCTTGATTCTTTTCTATATGTTCCATCATTGAATTATATCGGTGACTGATAGAAGAATCCAGAGGTTTTTTCCATTCAGCTTCAATACTTAGTAAAAAATAGTTTTCATTTGATGATAAGTTTAATATTGCATCCCAATCGTTTAACTCTCTTAAACACCTGTATAACATAATTTTATATTGATACGTGTTATAAACCATAAACAAATTATTTTATTTAAAATAAAAGTACCTAACAATTTGTTAATATATTTATCATAATGAAGTAATACATTTAACAATTGAATAACTTTATGCAATAACAAAAACTTGCTCCATTGTTTGGAGTTTTTCATGGAGCATGAGTAATTTAATAGTATTAAAATAATTTTAGTACTTGATTAAATGATTTTCCCAAAGATTATTTTTTTCTTTTTCACAGCGTGATGAATAAAGGGAACGACTTTTATTACAATCATTATATATCAATTTGCTATAGATTTTAGAAGCATTTTTAAAATCCCCTTGTTGCTCAAGAAACAAAGCTGTTTTAGTTTTAGGGCATTCAAATTTGTATTCCCATAATTCTTCAATAAAGTCATCCTCCTTTAGCAAAGAGTATAATTGGAACAACGCGTTTATGACATCCTTAAAAACAAATATTATACATTTAACACTAAAATTTAATGTGAATCACAAATATCAGTAACTTACATTTTTATCATAATTATCTTTACAGCCTGTACACAATAAATTTTCCAATTCGACAACTACTTGATGCCAAAGATTGTATGATTTTCCCAAATATACTAGTTGATTTCTGCAAAGCAAATAAAATATCTAAACTTAACTTATTCTATTTACAGTAATCGGTTTAAATCATTAGTAATTATAGTAAACAAAATACTTACGGTCGGAAATGTATATCTGGTTCACATAATACAAAGGATTCATAAAAAATAATCATAAAATCATTTTTAAAGTGACTAGTCTCTAAGAAGTTGATAGCAGCTCGTGATAAAGACTTTCTTTGAATTTCAGTAAATAGACTCCAAATACTCGGAAGCAATGATACCCATATTTTTTTAGCTAAATTAATGTCAATGAAACACAGTTGTGCTAATGAAGAGCATACATCACATGTTTTAATTGACTGTTGTAGTGATATTTTCTTTAGCCAATTTAACCGATTCGGTATACTAAACTAAAAGACAAAATAGAAAAAAAAAAACAAATCACATATAAAAATATAAAACCATGTAAAATTATAACAAATTCTTTACCAATTTCTCATATTTGCCCCATTTGTTCTTTTTCAATATTGGAAAATCACCTTGCAACATAGTATTTTTTGACAATAACACTAACAAGAGTTGAATGTAATGTGCAATTGAAAGTTCAATTTTATGACCCATATGATCAGTCACGATAGAATACAATCTGTGATACAGCTTACTCACCACCGTCGAATCAGAAATATTAAAAAATGAGCACCTCAGGTTTGGTATAGAACATTTGAGACCAAAGTCCACACATTCATTAAAAGACCATTGACTGAAAATATAATTGTTTTAAAACCAAAGTTGAAATATGGATATGTATAAATAAAAATATTACTTGTAAATGTCTAAATTTAGTTTGTAACACATTTCAGAACAATTTGGAAAACGTTCTGTCGTGATGATATACTTTAAAATGTAAACAATATAAATGTTGCATGGTGTTGATTCGTCTTTACACAATTTTACCCACTTTTCCATAATCTAATGTGAAAAAAAAACTTAAACTGAAATATCTTATTATTTAACAGATGCCACATCCCAAATATCTATTCCATATATTCACATAGATGACTTAAACCAACAAAAAATGGAAAATATTTAACCAGTATAACACTGCACAGTGACCTTTATAAATTAAAATGTAATCTTGTTATTCACTTACATTTAAAATTGTAATTATTATTCGTTCATCGGTTGAGTTTTTTATGTAGTCAATTATTGTTGATCTTAGAAATACTTCTTCAATTAGTGCCGACATTTTACCCAAAAATAAATAAACAAGTTCCAGACATTTAATTTGCACTTCAATTGGCATATTATTCTTGAAATCATTTGCCTTATTTAAAAGAACTATTAGAACTTTTTCGAAAAATATTCGTTGAGTGACAGTAGGTAGACTTTTAACATGATTTTCTAGTATTTCTAGACACACTGCCTTTATTTTAGTTTTGCTATTATCTAAAACAAATATTAATAAAACATATTACATTTTATACAAATTTAATTACATTTTATAATTAGGCTATAATTTGTAAAATAATTAATTTACTAACTTATATCAAATTGAAACAATATATCACCGATGAAATTAATTATGTCACTTTCTAAATATAATGGGAAATTGCTTTGTGCTGCTTTTAATAATGAAAGACTTAAAGCCATTTTGTGTGGACATTTATTATTGATTATTCCTTCAGTGATAATCTGAAATATTAAATTTGATTTATGTATGTAATTTAAATTTAAAAATGTAATACATTAATAACATACTAGCTTAATGTAAACGTGGAGTTTTTCCAAGCCTTCATTGGTAGGAAAAGCCTTTAAAATATCCGCTACAACTTTAACAGCACCATCATTGTACTAAAAATATTTATATATTAGAAAAATATATTTAATAAAAAAGTGATAAATAATATTACAACAAATCTCATTGTTGTACTATCATGTAATGTATTTAAAATTAATAAATATACTAAAAACCGTTAACATTATTATAAAAATCAGCAATGATAATATGATACTTGTAATTTTGAATTTCACAAGCTGTTGCAACTACAAATATGGGTATTGCTCATTTATCGATTTGATAAATAGTGTATAATATGACCATTAATTGATGTATTTAAAATATTTTTTAAATTTAAATATAGTAGTTCTTGTTTATTAGTTTTTATCTTGTGTATATTTTATAAGACTAACAGTAGTAAAATATTAAAATTAAACAACATTACTTGTTTTATTTGTTGAGGGTTTAGACGATTAATCGGATATTCATTTGGAGTATTACAAGAATACCCACATGACACCTAAAAATTAAATTAAACAGGTTAAGTGCCAAAATATCTATAATATAGAGTGTGTAGTAAATAAATACCTCTTTGTATGCTAATTGAAGGAATTTAATTAAATGATCTTGTAAGGGTTTCACAGCTTCTAACATAAATTTCTTTGACAGAATGTTAAGCATAAAACTAATAACATCGAATGTTGTCAACAAATTTAATAAATTGGCATTGCTATTGCCAAATGCATTTGGGTTTTGGATGATATGATTTTCTTTAAATAAAAAATTTTCTAAAAGTTTTTCTATCCAACCAAACTTTAATGTCACTTCTTGAAGCGTGATTGCTTCTGTGTTCAATATGTTTTTGAACAGTGTCGTACTGCGCTTAGCAAGCTGGCTAATACTGCTTTCTGGTTTATCATCGTGAGTCTAAAATTAATAAAACACATTTAATGAGTATGCTTGCCTATAACTTTACAGTATGTAATAAGAAATTAAAAACAAAATTTGATTTAATACCAGAGAAAAAGTGTCAATAAGCGTAATAATAATTTATAACAAAAATACCTGACATCCAACCATTGCTAAAAAGTTTAAACAGTTGTCAATTGTCTCTGATGAGCTTTTCTTACATGAGTGCAAAATATTGTTTTCGGATTTTCCTTCTTTGTCTTTTAAATTTGACTCAGTGCCTTCAAATTTGCGTTTTATTGGAAACTTCAACTTCTACAGATTAAAATTAAATAAATTAAAACCTAACTTCTATAACTTTAACTTATACATTACATTATTTTCATCTTCGACAGTTAACTCCCATTTAATTATCATGCATGCCAGTTCAATTGCAGTCTTTTTATATTCGGAAACATTGTTATTTTTTGCAATAGGGAATAATGCTCCTAAAATATTACGAATCAAAAACTGCTTATAAGGGTAGAACAGCTGAAAAATAAAAAACAATGAAAATTTTAACTATAAATGACAACAAATACTAAAATTGTTACACATACAGTATTATATTTTATCAAGAATGAACAAATATGATGTAGTGTAGGAATGTTTTGTGTTTCAGTCATCATAATTTTTTTCACACACACTACTAGTGTGTTAACTTCGCTATTTTTCTCTCCAACGGTAGAAACAATTATGTTTAAAGCATAGTTAATAACTGGCTGAGCTTCGGGATAGCTGGCTTTTAAAAGCTCGTAATATATGCCTAAAATGTTACACGCACCGTTAATAAATGGTCTTATTCTTAAAAAAAAATGTATGTAACTCACTCACCTTGGTTAAGTTTTTGTTTTTTTAATTTTTCTGAATTTTCAGATAACATGATATAGGTTAAAATTAAATAACAATGGTATTTAACATTTATATCCATTGAACACCTAACCGATGTGCAAGGTTTAACAGCATTATACAAGGAGTCACTAATGTTGTCATTACTATTTAATAAATCATTGAAGAACAAACAAACCAGTTGACATATGTATAACTTTAGGCCATCATAATCACATCCAACCAATGTTGCTTGAATGTCAATAAAAACCTAAAAAAAAAAAAAAATTATGTATTAAATAAGTGTGCAAAACTTAGCATAATTGTAGCAAGTTTTAAATGCTGACCAATAAAACAATCATTAGCTTCTTGTTTATTTAAACTGAAATATTTTGCTTTGTTGGTAAAATAAAACTTATAAGTTTTCATACAAAGGGTCAATAAAGGAACTAACTTTAAGTATAATTAATTCATAGAATAAACAAAAGTTGTAATCTCATAACTGAACTTAAAAAAAAAAAACACTAGTTATTTGAATGGATAAAAAATTACTTTAAATTTTTTTAAAATATATTAAATAATATACATCACATAAAACATGCAGTACTATAGAAGATCAACAATATATATATATCAAAAATAACTTACTTTATCTAAAAACACTTGAATTATATTTTCGTTTGAGTTTTTAGAGCTACATAACAATAACACCTCTTTTTCTCCCTCTTTGTAGCATTTAAAAAAACAAGGCAAAATAATATATTGGAGAATGTTTGATAAAATATCGTTGTGAGCAGTCTTATTTTGGTAGAGGTTGATGAAATGAAAAAATACTTTTCTCTTCCATTCTATAGAAAATGATGCAGCAATTTCATTTTCCAAAAAGCTTCGAAAAAACTGCAAGAGTAATAATTGTAGTGAAAATAAAAATAAAACACAACAAAGTGTAAATGATAAGACCTACATGAATATCCACTGGAAATCGATAAGTGAAAATAGTCAATAATTGAAAAAGCAAATATAATTCTTCTTGATTATTTTTGTAGTATTCAAGTAGTATTTTAAACAACAGTTTTGGCTCGTCCCATTCAGTTGATTTAATTAACAATAAATTATTATACTTTTCCTGTAGATGGATTAAATATATAATTCAATTTATAAATTGGTTAAGTTTGAAATATTTACATGGTTTTCAGTTACACATATATTTACATATTGGCTCTCCCAACGTTTTGCAAGATGGAAGGCTGTTACCGAAAAGCATGTAAATAAATCATTATTAAAATTGTTATAAAATAATTTCTACAAAATTTCATATCAGATATTAATAAATCTTAATTAATAAATTCTTACTTTATATTGCTGACTTATCCATATATTTTGTAGTACACTAATCATTTTTTTTGAATTGGAAATCCATTTTTTCTCCATACGCATTAAACTGTGTATTATTTTAATGCACTCATAGTGAATGATACTTGAAGGATCTGCCGTTATAAAAACACATAGACATAGATTTATAAATTGCTTTAATGCTTTTATTATAGAACTATAGTTTGATGTAATGTACAAACCATTTCTTGCAGAAGTCAACAATGATTCAATGAGGTTTTCATTTGATGTTAATACATTTCTTAATGCATGACAATTTGGATTACATATCATTAAATGTAATAATGATGACCAACAGGGTTTCTATAAAAACACAAATATTAAATGAACAATTGCCATTAAAAAAAAAATTAACATGTTGTGAAAACTCATACCTTGATATTTTCTTCTTGAAAAAATAATATGACAGATTTATTTGGAAATTTTGATAAACATCCTTTTAGTAATGGGTACAGATTACTTTGTAATTCATATCTCACATTATTTTCATTCAAAATTAATTGACAGATCACTTCAATATGATTAAATTGAGTTGCTGATATTATAAAAATAGTTTCTAATATTTTAGTTAACATCAGTTCATGATCGCTCTTCATAGTTTCTTAAAAAAAAAGAAATAGATATTACTATTAAATACAGCAAGTTAATTCGGAACATAACTGACCAAAATTTGTTTGATAAATATAGCAAAATGGAGTAAAATGTAAAATTGATATAAGACCTTCAGTTACATTTTATATAAGAAAAATCTGGTGGTGGACCAACTTTAGCTATTGACTACAGCACCACTGGGAGCAGTCACAGGTCTATTAGGATTATTATAACAGTTGAAAGTGATAAAATTACTCTCAAGAAACCCCATTCAATAAATTTGAATCTGAGAAGATGGTAAAAAGATTAAATCTTAATTAAAACTTGTATAAATGCAGACTTCTTTTAATAATTTTTTCTCAAAAAAAAAAAAATATATATACATATAATTAACCCCGGATTAGAAAAAAATATATTTATTAGTTTTACATAAGATGTAGCATTAATATCAATGCAATACCTAAAAAATAAATAAGACAATTTCAATTAGATTGCAATAACTTTCAGCATTACATACTTGTTTTATTACAATGCAAATCATTCCAAATATATTTAAATATATCCAATAATGTTGTACATAAAATAATATTTGGGTTAGATGGAAACAACTTGGATAAATACAAAATACATTGAATATTCGCCAATGTTACTGTGGAATAGTCTTGGAATAAATTAATGTAATATAATAGCAAATCATTCACCTGAAAAATAATAAAACAATTATTACGAGTCTACTTTTCATAAAGCCTATTTAAAGAGTAACTTACAATTGTCATATCTAAATTAAAATCAGTTACACATAACTGTAAACATTTGTACGCTGTTTGTTGTAATTTAAGATTAGGACCTTTTAGTGCATCAAAAAATAATTTTAAAATAAATCTCTTTTTTTTAGGCTTTACAAATTGTCGACAATTGACTAAAACTTGTAAAGCAGTTATTTGAAACATATATATTTGAATGGGTGTTAATGATTTAAAGAATACCATAATTGGAGCCTCTTTATTGGCACATTCAAATATGTTGCACAATATAAAAAAATAATCTTTGTGTCTTCGATTTGAAAAATCTACAATTTAAAAATATGTAAAATAAGTAATTAAAATAACTTAAAACACCAAATAGTATCTTACCTAGATTTCCTGCAGGAATAAAGTATTTCATACAAAATATATGTCCTTTCATTATTCCCAATTGGTAATTGAAACTATAAGTATTAAATGATTGTTTTCCTGGAATAGCTATTTTAAACAGCTCGTTATATGGTAAAAATATATCCAAAACTTCTGTTTTCTTGATTTTAGATATTAACTCAACTATTTTGATTGACTAGAAAATAAATTAGGTTTAATAAATATCTTATTACCTACTTAAATAACTATCACATGATAAGGACTTAAAAAGTATATAGATATGAATACATTTTGAAACATAATATTACCAAGTATTAAAACTTACTTGTTCTCGGAGCAGCTCATTTGGACCCACTATGTAGTCAATTAATGCTTTTTCAATTTTCTCAAGTTCAATTTGTTGCAGTTGGTTCGATTGTGTAAGGTTTATAGAATACAACCATTTTACTAAATCAGTCAAATTATCTTGTGCTAACTTAATAACACCAAAGGACATCTAAAATATATTCCATAAAAATATATTAATGAATGTTCAAAATTAACAGTGGGTAATAATAATGGTGACTAATAATAATTACTTGTTCTTTGAAGTCAGAAAAAATAAACATCATTGCTTTAAATGCATAAGAGAAATGCTTCAAATACCAATTAGCAAGACACTCAGGAAGAGTGTGATTTTCAATATTTTGTCTCAGGATATATTGAAAAAAAGTTTGTAGGCCACTACAACCTCCTCGTTTATGAATCCAATCGTTATTGTAACAAAGTTCACAAAACCGTTTTAATATGTATGTTACAAGAGGCAGTTGAACAAACTACAAAATTAAAATATTATATTTTGATGGTAACATAGTTTTGAAAAAAGCTTAACAGTAGGCTCAGTACTTATACCAAGCAATGAGAAACACACATTCAAATAGTATAATTAGATGGTATTTTTAAAAAAGGGTCAAATCATAAATTAAGGCCGTTTATACAAACACCATTCAATTGTATTTTTTTTATAATTTGAATATGGCATACATACAATGTTCCCTAAAATGCTAGATGTTTCCCTGAGTACCATTTCTGTAACTAATGCACCAACATTAGAAATTGCTTCATTCTCAGTGGATAAAACATTAGCAATAGCATCAATTAAAACATATGGGTGAACACTGAGATCGTTTCCTGGCTGAACATCAATGTCATTGCAAATAGAAAGCAAAACTATTTCTTTAATAACAGCAAGAAATAATTCGGAACAATCGGATTTTAATTTATTGTTACCATAACATATCATTAACCCTAAAAATCATATAAAACGTAAGATTATATATCAATTTCAATCTTTTTATATATTTAAAATATTTTTGATTACCAGTTAATGCTGTAATGTATGTATTTTCTATCTCAGTTACTGAGTAACTATTTTTGACCCTAGTAAACAAATTTGTTTTTTCCTTCCAACTAGATAACATTTAAAACAATATTATTAACACTAAATTAATGATTTTAATACATATCACCAAATGTATCAAATGATAATGATAATAGGTACAATAAAATAAATCTAAATTGGTAAGTTTTCTAATAATTATTTAAGTTATAGCCAGGGAGGAAATAGAAATATTTAGCTTTTACATTATTTTTATTAAGTAATTTATAAAAAAACATTATTGTAATACTTTCTAAAATTTTTTATGATCAATAATTCAAAGAAAACAAACACTATCATAAGAAGAATGGGAAGATATTTGGGCATTGCATTTAAAAAGGAATAAAATATAAAAAAATAATTTTAATTTTTGAGAAGTTGGAATCTATGCACCAAATAAGGATAGCAAATTCTAGATTTTATCGCACCTAGATAAAATAAACATTTTTCAAAGTATGCTGGTTTCTAATATCCAAAAAGCTACATTTTAAAACCTACATTAGGATAAAGTCGTATTTTTACTGTTGATTTAATTCGATCATAGAAACCTAGAAATTTACTACGGTTAAATTATAATTTTCCCAAATTTTCTTGATTTTTCAAAGTCTAATGATAAGTACTTCATCTGAAGAATATTTCAAACAATTTTAAAATTAATTTCACTATTTTTAATTAAGTAATAGTGCGCTCGTAATTTTAAGTTGAAAAATATGTACATTTATTTGGTATTTTTCTCAATGAAATTTTCAAATTTTTGACCCAGTAAATACCTTAAGAGTACCATGTCTGATCTGTAGAAATTTTACATGAAGAAAATCTACTAAGAAGATATTGTGGGTCCGGACACACAAAAAAAAAATTGTTAAAAAAACATCATTGTAAAAACAATAATTTCTCGGCTATACATCGAAGCTAAACAAAAGTATGAGCTTACTTTATGTTGGATAAGGCATTTAAAATACCAGTAGCATCACACTGCAAGGATACTATAAAAAACCCTTTGATCACATTCCAACTCTCTCTTGTATAGAATTGATCATTATTAGATTTTAATGTTTCGACAGCAGTATACAAAGCCTATATTATTATATAACATAAACACAGCAATAATAATAATTACATTAATTTTTGTTAATATATTAACTTATAACTTATGTGATTATGAATTTTAACTTACTGTATTAATATTTAACTGCAGTGGTGAATTTGGATAATCTTGAAAGGAAATGGTAATATTTAGATTAGAACTGGTGCGCAAGTTGTCTTTGGTTGAAAAGCAGAATGGCTCAATAATCATATTACGATTGTGACCTCCCAGTTTACCAAGTAAACTAGAAAAAAATGTATTTCAATTTATTTACTAATTAAAATAGCTGACCAAGAAAGTGAACTATGAACTTCCAGGTCTGGTTTTGAGTTCTATGTGTAAACATATAACTGGACAAGAAAAATAAATCAGATGTCAACTATAATAAATAAACAATATTAGCTTAAAATACCTTACAGCTGGAATAGAAATTGATTCATTTGGGTTACTTAAACATTTGCATAAAACTTTAACAATTTTACTCCGAATTGTAAGAGTTGGTTCTTCCAAAACATGATTGGGCAGTACATTTATACAGGATTCCAGTACACAGATTCCCTTAAATACAATAGCAATACTAATTAATAATATAATTAACTAATAAATTGTAAGAAATCAATTTGTTTTACTTTAGTAATATTATAGTATATGTTTAATAATATTTATATAATAGTATCGGATAGTAGTTATTTTATACATTCCATAATATTTAATGACTGATATTATAAAAATGAGTTGTCAGAACAAATAAGGGTTTTCTTTACCTGTAAAGACAATTTTGGGGCTTCTAATGAATATAAAATTACATTCAAAAGATCAATTGTATGGCTGTGTAAAACTTCTTTGTACAAGCATTCACTCAAACATAACTCTGTTAATAAGATCTTTGTTGGTCCACTGGGTAAACTGTTTTGGTATGACACTAAGTCTAAAAAAAAGTATATAACAATAATATAAATAGCATTTGTGTTGTTTGATTATATTTCAAAATGGAATAATAAATAGATAACTTTACCTTTAAATAATTCTTTAAGTACGTTGGAAATATTTTCTTTAAATAGATCTTCAGTGGATTGAACAATTATTAAAAAATTGTTTAATATCTGTAGATAAATTAATGGACTATGTGACATTTTTAAGTACACCATTAATCTATTGGACAAATATAACATAATATATTTTTTAATTAAGAACTTTATAAATAAGTCAATAAATATATAAGAATTACTTTTTAATTATTTGGCAAACATAATTGCTCGTAATTTCTTCATTACTATTTATTTTAAGATTAAGCTGAAGTCTATCGGCTAAATCAGATAAATTTGTTAATTTATCATCATTCATCATATTGTCTAAAATATATTCAAATATTAAGCTGCTGAATGTAGAAGACAACATTTCATTGGTAAAGGCCAAATCAATAAACAATACTTCTAAGTTGTCCTGATACATTTTTTCAATTATGCAGCCATTAGCCATTAAATATTTTAAATGAGAGGGATTTATACAAGCAATCTGCAAGAAATAAAAGTATTTTATTAAAATAAAATATAAATAAAAGTTAAAATAATATAACACAGCATAATTATTTGCTGTTACTAAATTATGGTATAAACAAAAAATATAAAACAAAATATTTTATGTTTTGTATGTCGTATTAGAAATATATTTAAATAAATATTAATGAGGGCCCTGGCAGTTGGCACCATAAATAATGTATTTTTGATGTGGGGGGGGGGGGCCTTCATGTTTTGCAAAAAATAGTTGTTTTTGCATTAAGTACCAATTTTGTTCTTCTTAATTCTGTCCAAAATCCAGCAGAGATAAAATGTTGTTCTTTCAAGATACAAAAAGAATCATTTAATTTGGTTTAGTAATTTTCGAGACAAATAAATTGCTAACTGCAGAAAAGGGGAAAGTCCATTTTTATTTTAATATAATTTTGTACTAAGCACACGTAAATACATTGTTTACTGTAGAAAAGGAGACAAATCTGATTGACAAATTATCAAATATAGCTATCGGAAATTACAGTTTACAACAAAAAGAGGTCATCATGTCAACATCTCAGTTTTTGGTCTTTTATAAACAATAATTAGAAAAACTGGATTTGTTCATTTATACAGTTAGTAATTTAAATACTTACAGCATCTAATACTTCTTTAGTCATCTCTTTTTTTTTAACACTGCAATCATAAATTTTTAATGTTGATAGAGATAAGACTATAAACTGAGTAAATAATTTCTTATTGTGATGCTGAATTGGAACCCTAGCTCCTTCGGTTTTTACCTAAAATTAGAAACAATTTAATAATAATAATAATATATATATATTAAAACTGTATCCATTATTATTACGATAAATTGTAAGATCGTTTTAATTGCTGGAATAACTGTTTTAACAAAATGCTTTGCGTCTTTAATTGAATAACGTATTATTTGAGATGAATGATACCCAAAGGCAAATTTTTTCTCTTTTTCTACAGTCTCACATTCTAAAAAAAAATTGTAATAAAACCATAAAGACTTGTAATATAAAAATTTAACAATATTATGTATAGCTAAATATCACCAAATTTAGTTATACATTCATGAAGAGGATATTTCATGTTTGTTAAAATAAAATTGTTGCAATACCTGCTAAAATTTTAGAAATACATTCATCTGTACATTCTTGAGGTGCAAAATTTATTGAAAATGTAGAACAATTTCTAGAAAATATGAAAAAAATGAAAAGAATATAAATATATATATATATTTTTTTTTAATTATTACTTGTTTATTGGTGACAAATACAATTTATGAAACTGTTTTAGTTTTGCAACAAATATTTTAAATGTTCGATTAAATAATTCAATTAAAGGATTATCATTGTTTTCAATTGTGTTTATATTAGTAATTAATGGATTTGGCCGCTGAATTATATAGTTCAATATATTCATTACCATATTACACAAGTTTATTTGTACTCTGAAATAACAACAGAAAAAAAATAAAAAAATAAATGTTACTTTTATTAACATAAATCCTTAAAAAAAATGCTCACTCAGGTTGTAGTGTGGTATCTAGAATATTAAGAAAATGTAAGTGAATTACACGAACCAAATAATTTAATGGCAACTGACTATGTAAATGCGTAATAAGATGATCAATATATATATAGACTTTTGGTCTCAACAAACTTTTTTGAGACCAACTTTTACCTGTAACTAAGCTTTCATCTAAAAGTTTTTCCATAAATGGTAAAAATTCTGCAACATTGGTTAAAAATCATAATGTATTTTTAACAATTATTAACATACTTCTTTTATTTATTATTAATATCAAAATAACAAACACACCATACTTAAAGTCAGACAAAATAATAGATTCAAAACCAAAAAGCAGTTCTGTACGCAAATTACTGTCTTCTGAAAATATATTGGAACCCAATAAGTTTATAACTCTACATAGTATTGATGAACAATGTAGACGTATGGCATCTCTGTTTTCTCTCAGAAATAAAGCAAAGAAATGCAATAATCTTACTTGGGCATATTTTAAATCTAAAACCAAATCTCTGTACTCAGATCTAAAATTAGAGGCAGTTAATTAGATAGTAATTATTTGAAATACTGTTGCATTTTTTACTAAGGTATTTAACCAAACCAATTAATGTTACTTGTACGGTATTTCCAAGTAGAAGAACTTTACTAGTGTAGAAAAAAATTCACACATTTCAGTTCTAAAAGAATAGACGCTATTGTACATCATATGAAATATTCTCAACATTTGTGCAAGTTCTTTTAAGACTTTAACTGATACTTTTCCCATTGGAATAAAAATATACTGAAAACAAAGCAAAAATACATAAAAAAATGTCTCTGTGTATAAAATCAAATTTGTTGTAGTTGATACAATATTCAAATTGAATTAAAATACGATAATTCATTAATTTTAATTTTTAAATAGGTACTTACAGTGGTAGAATTTTTAGTAATAGACGTAGTTGAGCGAATAGTGCTTATTAATGTTTTTATATCAGTAGTTTTTTGAAAACTTAATATATCTTCAACATGACTAGAAGTACTAAACATGTTTACCATCAGTTTCAAAAATTTACTTATCTGAAAAAATATAGCATATATTATATTAGTAATAAAGAAATAAGAATAAAATCAAAAATGTTATACCTAGTGTGACAATAGTACTTGTTAACAAAAAAAAAAACACTTGATACAATTTATAGCATAATGTACACCTACATCAAAACTATGTTAACTTAAAAAGAAAGTCGTTTTGGGAGTATTGAAAAACTTATTGCGATATCATGTAATCTACTCTATACTTTTTCAGTTAATACAGTTTTCATTTAGATGTGCTATGTATAGGTAATATGTACAGTAGGTAATAAATTATTTTTTTGGATAAAAGATAGTTTTATGAAAATAAAAAAATTATAATTCTATTATAATTGAGCTTTTTCCCAGATGAAAGGAACAGTTATGTTTTTTTATTTATTTATAATTGGACCAAGTTTTGTATTAATAATTGAATATATAGATATGTACTATTACCGAGAAAATAAAAAAAGGACAAATATTATCTTAAAAATTAAAAACTAGTTTTTGACTACTGTTTAGATTTAGTAAATCCTTCCTTATTTAATAATATAATTTACTATATAAGTTATCATTGAAAATAAAATTCTATGCAATATAAATATCATATTTTTAAGATAGATAGTTTAACACAAAATATTGAAAAATTCAAATTATGGAAAAAGACTACAAAAAAAAAAAAAAAAATGAATATATTTTAGTAGAATTATTAGAGAAATTGGCTAGGTCATAGCTAATCATCCTGCATATTGTATGCATAATTTTTTTAATAATGTATATTAATACTATACCTAGTATAATTTCTAATACTATCTAACGCTCTATATTTCTGAGGTTTAACATTTACAAAAATCTTTTACATGTTATGAAAATAATCAACAGTAATGTTATTACTCCCTTACCTCTGTTCTAAAACAACCATCAAATTTAGGCCTAAACGAATTTATTAATTCTTTAAATATCCATACACAAAAAATAACACATTGTTCATTGTCAGTTTCCATAACTTTTAAGCATGTTACCATTATAGCATGTAAAAAGTTTTTCATTTTTTCAGTGTTGCTACAAATTTTATGAATTATTTGAAGTATTAGTTTTCTGATTTTCTGTAAAAAAAATAGAAAAATGTTAGTCAATAATAATTGTATATTTTCATATAAAATTATGACTACAAACAGTCAATACAGAAAATAATACAGTAGTATAAAAAATTATACTCACAAAAGTATCATTATCAGGGGTAAATACTGGTTCAATGTTATTTAAAACATTAAGAAATGCAGAAACCATATTTTCAAAGTAAGTTTGATTCCGACAACAATCCTACAAGTATTATAAATGAACAAAAATGTGTTTTACTCGTATTATTATAGTTTTTTTTTTTTTTATATATAAATACCTCGAGGCAATCTGATATTTTTTGAACAAGCTCTAGTTTCACTTTTATAGTAATAGAAGGATTTACTAGTTGTTGTAAATCAACAGGATTAAATGATTTAGAACCTCCAACAGTACGAGTAGGCTCCATTGTTCTAAAATAAGGAAACATACATAAAACACAGGTTATGCTTTAGCACATAGTTTTTAACAAACAAATTTTTGAGTATGAATAAATAATATATCATTATCATCATACAAACATACTATTCAAATTCTGAATACAAAATTAAAACCTTTACACACATAAAATTAAATAAGTATTTATATTTATTTCTAAACACAATTTTTAGTTGAAATTAAATTTGATTACATTTAAACAAATCAATTTAAATTTAGAAAAACCTGAGCAACACTTGTAGTTATAAAAAGTTAATAAATAATTTTAAAAACCCTCGACCACAAAAAAAATAATACACTTTGGCATATATACACATATTTTGATAGCAATGCTATCATTATCATTAGAGCTCACAACACACTAAGAAGGCATGTACACTTATGATGCCCAATGATGGTAGCATTGCTACTATAATACACTTATAGGCCGAATGAATTGTATTGTTTTTTGTGGTAAAGGGTTTTCTTATATTTGAGTACGTCTGGGTGAGAAGGGCCCATATTGATGATCTGGAGTTGTGGCTAGGCCGTTAAACTAGAGATCTTTAATCTTTCATTTGATCCTAAGATAAATACGATATGTTGCACATGTATGTGTGCTTGAAATCCCCTTTAGGCCTTTTTATTTTATTTAAAAACCCCACATCTTTGAATTATGAAAAGTAGAGTAGTCATCCATGACGACTGCAGAAGTTCAACAATTTGAAAATAGTAAAAAATCAAAATTTTTTTCTTTAATGGCCCTGCCTGAGAAAATTTTGAAGTTCCAAACTATGGCAAATTTTTGGACTTCGAGTATGTTCACTTATTTTTTGTATTACCTATTGGATACAACTTTTTACCTACGTTTTTTGTTACTTAAGTTCTAGTTATTTTTAGTGAGGAAAACATGCGTTACAAAAAAAAACGCTCACGCCTTGTAGAATAAAAAGATTTCAATAATTTTTTTTTGTTGGAAAAAGGAAGGTTTCCTCCAAGGCACATGGGACTTCAATTTTTGATTACATTACTGAAAATCAAGAAAAAATAAGTGTAAAACTAGTGTAAATTGAAAATATTTTTACTTTTATTATAGCGTTAAGAAATAGAATTTTGAAAACCTATGTCCAATGCACCCTGTAGGAAAGATTCCTCTTTCCAACAAAAAAAATTATTGTGATCGGAGTACTCTAAGAGACATGCGAGTTTGGTTTTGTGTTTAGCCTATTCGAAGTGGGTTGTGCGCAAATAATATCATTAACCGCTTGAATTTTTTAATATTAAATCGACGACAAGATGGGCACTATTCACGCGGACATACACAATTCTCTAATTATTACTTATGATGTATTTATCATGGTATTTTAAAGACAAAATGTTCATCAAAATAATTTTTACCAAGAATGTTAATGAAAACGCCTCAATGCATTTTTAGAAGGAGCTCATTAAAATAATCAAACATAGTTATAAGTTAAGAGAATGGAGTCATAGCATTCACTGTATCTGTAAATGATTTAATCACTACTAAACTCTTTATTGTGAATCTGAAGATAGTAAGAAATTAACCTAGTGTAAACTAGTATGGTAAAAAGCCAGCGTTTTATCACTTAACAGAACAGTAAGAATCTTGCATAGTAAAAATACAGCTTAGTGTTATTGTAATATGTAACTCGCTGAGTGATAACTAAGCGAGTTACATATTATAATTTAAGTTGCAACTCTCTCACAGGTTTGCACAGGTTGTACCGTTCTTCAGTTGTGGGTTAGTGAAAAACATATGTATATGAATTATTTTATCATTCAACTTGCTAGTAGTTAAAAAAGCTAACCTAGATCAGTTATCAGTTGCAAACTCAAGAAAGTGTTAGTTGACATTCATTTCAGAAATACATATTATATTGCTTTAATTCCATTTAACATACCCTAAACTATGTAGAAATTTCAAAGTAAAAGATCTTAAAAACAGAATTGTCCTGTTGATTGCTAGTTTAATTAATTCAAGATAGTCATTAAAAGGTATGATTAACGATCTAGGTTAACTAAGTGTATTAGAACTTTTTTTGGCAAAAAAATGAAAACTATTAAATTAGTCTACTAATATGTTGATAATTCTACAATATAGTTATATACAATTGTAGTTGTTCGAGGAAAAAAATATCATAACTATAAATATAGTTTTAAATGAGATTAGACATTACAAGATACAAGCCATTTTATAAACTTATTTGTATGATACATGTAATGTATAAAATCATATTTTTGTCCACATAAATAGAAAATAATACAACTCTAACCAGAACCCTTAGTTCTATAAATTAACAAGAAACTAAGTATACTAATAAAAAAAAAGGTAGATGTATAATCATTTACCACGACTTTTAGGGTCAGCATTATAAAAAAAAAACTGAATTCCAAAAAAAACATTTGAAATACAATTATGTATATTGCTTAATATACCTAGATTTCCTTGTAAAAATAAAAATGATATTTTGGGTTAAATTAAAAAAATTAAAATTACTTACTTTTATTTGGAATTCCGTGTACTTAACTCCTTTTATTTTGATTATTTTCTTGACACTTACGAAACATTGTATAATGTTATCACTTTGGTAATTGACATTCGTTAAATTTAGCCTTTATATACACTAAATTAGCAGTTACTAAATATCACTGACAATCATAATATATTTTATGTATATATGGCAATACTTATTACTTATATAGCTATTCTGTTTAGTGTTTACAACACGAAGATAGGTACTATCTTAGTATCTTAGTTGTTGGTTTACAATATTATAGGATAGTACCTACCTACCTACCTATCAATATTATAAAACTTGCTTTATCACCGGTACCATGGCTTAAATATACAAGGTTATTGCATATCCCCACTTTATTATATTATCAATTCATAAAATGACAGCGTATGGGTACATCATTGTGTTTTTGATAAATATATAAGTAATACCTTTATAAAATAAATGAAATTGATTGGCTAACCCTTACGCTGCCATTTTATTTTTTTCGTCGAAAATTTCGATGAAGAAGGGGTAGAAGTGCAATAACCTAGTATATTTCAATCATGACCGGTACCATGGTACCATGTTTCTACCTCCGTATTGCACCTCCGCCGCATTAAACTGCTGCTCTCTCTCGGTAAATTTAGACAGTACTGCCACAGATTATTTCATTGTAGAGTAATATGATGAATATACAATATTATGGTATAGTGATAAGCAGACCATCATGGTTCTAAAGCCATAGTTCCACAATAAAAATGGAGAAAATATACCTACATATTAGGATAGTTTTACCTTCAATTATATTAAAGACTTGGCGGTTTAACTTAAAGACTATAGTATTTAATTATAAGATATTTTGTAATGAATATATTTCACTGAAAAATAAAAAAGATTTTATTGCTTCTACCTAAAATGTAAGCTTACATTCACATTCTGCCTTCTGGGGTTTCACCACTATAAATAAGTGAACTTTGGGGGAAGGGGAGGATGTTGGTGTTAACTCTGTCAAATATTTAAACTGTCCTACTTCATGTTCTTCAGATAAATGATCTCTAGAACCATCCAGTCATACATCTGAAGGGGTCTTTTCCCTGAAGGTTTTTTTTGCAACACTGTACAGAGTGGTGGAACTGTTAGTAGTCTTAAAGCTAAGAGCTAATATAAAAATGTAATAAAAATCTTAAAAGAAAAATGTAATTTTTAGTATATTAATCACTATTATATTTGCATTGATATATTTATTTTAGATACTATGAACAAATTTCTATTCTTTAATTATATATTTTTAAACTATTTACTATAAGATTCAATTAAAAGATTAAAACACAAAAAAAAACAACAGATTTTTCTTTATGATAAATTATAAATTTTGTTATTAATTCTTTTAAATTAAATATTAAAATAACTTCAATGAAAAAAATGTATTTCAATCGATTTTGAAATAAATCGGTTAAGTTACAAACAATGACAACATTGACTTTTTAAAATAAAATTCTAGGCACCAATAAAATATGGAATGAATCATTATTATGCTAAAATAATTATTATGCTTGGTAGAATTTCATTAGTGAAGTTAATATAAATAGTCTAAAAAATAATACTACTATATTATAGTTTAGTAAATATACAGCATTGATATTTATTCTTCGGTTGCTGTGGCAGCTGTGTTTAATATAACTTCGAATGAAAAAGGAGCAAATGCATAACCAAGTCCTTTGTAAAATTTGCTTTGGAACTCAACCCTAAAAATTGTAATTGCATTTTATGGATTAACAAAATAACACAAATAATAATTGCAAAAAAAAAAAAAAAATATTAATTTACCAATGCAATCGAAGTGTGTGCAAGAATGCAGATAGGCCCTCCATAAGTACAAGAATGCCTACAGTAAGAATGGCCCAGAAACTAAAGACGGCCCATAACCATACACCACCAATCCAAGAGTCTAGGAGAAGACCTTTTCTCAATACCATACTCCACAATACATCAGATAATTCTAAAATAAGTTATTACATATATGTATTAGGATTACATTTCAAAGATGATAAAATAAGTTTAAAGTAAAATAAAAACTTACGTGCATGAGCTAATGAAAGAGCCCACAATCGAAGGTAAGAAGCAGTGTGACTTACTGAGCCAAGCACATACTCAATAGTATGAATGCCTTGATGAATAAATAGTTCACCAATTTCGTTTTCATCGTGACCTCCTGCTGGTGGTGGTTGAACGACGCGACCAGCTCCTTCTGCATCACCATTTTCAGTAGTGGCATGTCCATTTACTAACTGTTTAATATAATTATTTATAGTACACTAAATGTTTAACATTTTTTATTATTTTAATGATGATTCCTATTACCTGAACATGTTTTTCTTTTTGTTGGCGCATGATATAAATAGGTTTTGCAAGTAACATAATTGGAACACATAAAAGAGCAACAAGGACTAAGAATTTTTGCAAGGCCCCCTAAAAAGAAAATGTACAATAAGTATAATAAAAAAGTAAAATTCATTTAGTGCTTTAAATTACTTGTCCTGCAAACATGTACACAGTATTACAATTTTCTAGTGGCGGATTGTCTTTAAATAAGACCATGTTGATAAATGTAATCAAAATAGATGGTGCACAAGCTGGACTATCAGGAAAATCTGTAAAAATTATTGTGTTACCATATTTGTTTTATGTGCATTATACATATAATATGTTGTTTATACATTTTTAACTTACCATTTTGAGGACCATATGATATCCATTTTACAAACATTAACAATACCATGTATAAGAATAGAAACGTCAAGAATATTAATTGTGGGATAAAATCACATAAAACAGATAGGCGATCTTTGAAATATCTAAAAGAATAATTAGAAATAAAATAGAAGCTTTTACTGTTTTAATTTATACTTCTGATTTTAAAAAAATGTACCTATAATTGTAAAGACTGAGAGTTACACCACTCAGCATGTGAAGTACACCAAAAATAATGGAAATTTTCATTTTGTATGCATTTAAAAATACAATTTTATTATCTGCCAGCTATAAAAATTAAAAACTTTATTTAAAAAATATATACAATTTAAACTGTTCATTAAGTAATTTTTCATACCTGCCAAACAGGATCAAGTCCCACAGGATATGGAACTTGATCATAATCTGATGATAATGCAGGATTTAACTGTAGAAATTTATTAGTCAGCACTGTAGATACGTTGTAATTTGTATGCCAATGACATCCAAATAAGTTAAGAGATTTAGAAAATATATCATTGTATATAATACCAGTGTACATTGAAAATAAGCCCATTAGCAGTATAATGTAACGACCAGAAAAAAATATATTCCAGACCTATAAATTACAAATTTATACATATATAAATATATAAACTATTATGTTATAATTGTTTAACTTATTAACAATCATTTATTTACTAACTTCGTTATCAGTTTTTTTGGCAGCTAATGGTTTTTCACGTAAAACCAAAAAGGCAGCAAATAAAAACATTATAGCTCCATGACCAAGATCACCAAACATGACAGCAAATAAAAATGGAAAACTGATAATAGTATATGGAGCTAAAGCAATACATGAAATGACAAAAGTACATAATTTATATAAATTTTTTTTTATTATAATAGTTTTTAATTACTTGGATTAATTTCTCTATAACTGGCTACTCCATAAGCGTCCACTAAATTTTGGAAAGCACTAGTAAATTTATTTGTACGGTTATAAGTTGGTGGGTCTTCAAATGTATCCATTCTGTTTAAAATAGGTGGTACAGAGCTACCACTTCGTTCCTTTAAAAAATTGTTAATTATTAATTAAAATTATTATCAATTATTAAAATTATTAATTGTTACTTTAGACATTTTAAGTAATTGGTAAATATTTTTTATTTTTTTTACTGTTATGTTATATTTTAACTTGGGGCATTTAAAAAAAACAAAAAATGATAAAAGTTATACTGTTTTAACTTACTGTTCCTCTACGCAAAGCAAGTTGAATAGTCTCAACATCAAGTAATGGTACCCAGCACTCAGCAATCAAACATTTTTGTGTTACGTCCAAATTAAATAAGTTTAGTGTATGGTAAATAGCCTTGATTTTAACAACTTTAATAAACCAATTTTTTATATTCTTAGCAGCAGCAACAAGTACACGGTGTCGATGATCTTGGGTTTGGCCCAATACCTAAAATTATCATAAAAATTGAATTAAAAATAAATTGTAATTTGATGACCAGAAATTCATACAGTATTTAGATCTTCTATGCGGGTCATGACCCCCATAGCCATTTCACGGCGCTGTGATGGAGCTTCTGGACATGGGTACAATGTTGCACGAAAACCTTCACAAATTTTCCTAACACGAGACTTCAGTTGATCACCTTGGAAGAATATTATAAACACTGATTTGTGCACTTGATCTCCCTACAGAACACATGAAATTAATTAAATTAACTATATAGTCCAAATAATACAAATATAAACAAGTACTAACTGTAGATGGATCTTCTAATGGTGTTTCTATTTCTGCTTGCCTCAAAAAAACATTACCCCGACAAGCTCGCCACAACATTCGCTCAAACGCCGGAATCCTTTCACGCAATATAACTCCAGCAACAAATCTTCAGTTGTTTAAAAAACAAAAATAATATATTTTTATTAGGCAACAACATAATTTATATGAATCATCATCATAAAAAGTTTTTTGCCATAAAAGCGAATAAGACACTCAAGTCAAAACCATATTAGTCAAACTACCTAATATTAAGATTATATATATATATATATTAAGATTGTGGAAGGATAATCAATGTCATATTATCAATTTACCTTAGTCTGAACTGGACCTGAAATAAGTTTATTTTTTCCATACACCAACTCAAAAATGATGTAGTATTATAGCGATTATGAGGTAAATTAAATAGTCATAATAAAACAGAAAACTTTCACAGCAAAACATAAAAAGATGCCCATATTATTAGCATGAAAAAAAGAATAAAGAAGTATAATTGATTATAATATATATTTTTTTTAATTAACTAACTAACAAACATAATACAGTAAAATAAAACTATTATTGTTGTAATGTTTTGTAATTGTCCAATATGTTCAATTGTAGTTAAATTAATATCAATATAAATACATACCCCAATTGTACTGGGCCAGCGTTGATTTGACGTGCAATCGAGTCATCACTAATAAGAGCTCGCGTCATCGATTCTGTTGGGTGCAAACCACCCTCTTGCTATAGTACACCAAACGCACACGCACACACACAAGGTCGAAAAATGTTGATCAGTAATTTATTATTTATCTTAATTATAATTAAAGAATACATTTTAAAAATGTATTTAGTTATAATAAGATGACTAGATGTAATTTGTATTCGATATATTAACAGTTTATATGAGTTTAAATAATTAGAACAATTATCTACTCCTATTTTAAACTTTGAAAAGATTATTATATTTTGATAACTTTTAAAATTTTACTTTATACTTAAAAAGATTTAATAAAGTTAAATATTATTTCTGTTTTTAGTAAAAAGTGAAGTAATTATTATAATTTATAATTTTAATAAAATCCTATCTTATTTAAATCATATATTGTGTTTTATAATGCAACCAGTTTATAAAAGCAAAGCAGTGAAATTAAAGCATTAATTCCTAAAACATTTTATTATTTTGCACATTCCAAAATAATTAAACCACAGACCAACATAGTTATTCACATTATTAAATAAAAGTGAATTACATCACAAGCAAGTATGAACTTATTTTATAAGTAACTACAAAACTGTTGTGTATGAATACTTTAATTAAATTTATTAATATCAAAAATAACTAAATATCTGCTTACTACAGATTTTTAATAGTCACAATATAAAATAAAACAAATATACAACAGTTTAGTATTAAAAATAAACCCAGGTCCAGTTTAAACATTCTATACATAATTTTCATAAAAAGGTACTAAAATGGCTTTGTGTATTGTATATCATTCATGTATGTATACATATTGAGATATCACAAAGTCGTTTTAAGTACCTCCACCACAATCTTAATTTTCAAATTACCACAATGCAATATTTAAGTATATGTTATTTGCTTTAATGTGTTGATTAGTACAAAACATTCACAAATGCAAACCGACATAATTTTGTCATTAATTGTGATGTACAATATGTAAGTTTATTCTATAAAAACCTTTTGTGCAAGTATTTAAGTCACACAAATAATTTATTTTTAATTGCAGCAAATAATCACTGCAAAAAATGTCTAATGCTTCCTTTACACTCCCCTTCCCCCCCCCCCAAAAAAAAAAGTAATATAGTTTGATGAAAAATTAATATTTTTTAGTATAATGCTAATTGCTAAGTATCCAAGAGTCAGCATCCGATTAAAAATAATTTGTTTTTTACTTATCTAAGTTAGGTTTAACAAATTAAAAATAAACAGGACGTAATTGAGTGCAGAGTTTACTTTTTAGTTAATTGTTTTTATGTTGTCCTTCTTACATGTGATTATTTGCTGAAGAAAATATTATAGTAATAGTATAGTTCTACCTCTATTGATTATTATTTTAAAAAAAGGTTTCCTATACAAACTATCAACAAAAAAAAAATGTTTTCATTAAAAATTAAAGCATTTAAAGAGAATTATAATTACTTGTTTGATTTTTTTAAAGGGTAAACAAGATTACAAGGGTAACAAGGTATTTGCATAACTCTATAGAAAAATGTATTAAAAACATCAAAATAAAAAAACGTTTCCATTTTTAGAACAGATTGACACAATTTATATTAGTACAAACACACTTGTATATCAATCAAAAAGAATCTACCTAAAATAGCAGTTCCCAACCTTTTCCAGTTCAAATTTTGTTTCTGAACGTTTCAATAATTTTGAACCCCATAAAAGCAACCGAGTTGAATACCTAAATTTATATCACATTAAAAATAGTCCCATTTTTTTGCAGTAATAAAGGATGTTTTGTTTTGTTGGGGGGGGGGGGGAATAAAAGCAAATAGCATTTTGTTTACTAAGTAGTAGTACATAGTATATAATAAAAATAAATTTAAAATGTTGTAATCGTACCCTAATTTGAGGGCTTGACCGCCAGCACGAAGTCCTTCCTCGCCTAGCAGTGTAACTTGCTCGTCCTCCCGATTTGGGTCAGCCATCTGCGAAGCAACCGCGGTACCCATTTGCTGTTCAGTCTGGCAACACATACATACACACACACACGCAGGCAGATATACAAACATACGCACAGGGACAACACACAGACATCACCACCCCACCAGACAAATGTTTTTATTTTAGAAATGTTTATGACAAAAGTTGTTGAATGAACAAACGAGTATCAAAAATATTAATACGTAAAATTATATTTGTGTAATAACTTTTCAAAGAAGAATTATTTTAAACACAAGACTTTTGTAAAATACACTGTGATATTATATTTGAATTAAAATAATTTTAATGAAGTAAAACATTTTTGATACTCGCCAATACATTAAGCAAATAAATAAAGAAGCTTCAATAAGTAATACTACTCTATAAGAAAAAACCAAAACCAGGAAGTTTTGTAAATATTTAAAAAGAAGTCATTAGCAAAAAATATTAAGAACTTATCATTTAATAAAAAATTAACCTAAAATAAACTAAATTTCTACTTTTATGAAACTGCAATTAATACAGCTTGATAAAAAGATAAAACATAAAATTATATTGGTTTAAAATCTACTCTTTTTCACTATGACTCAAATTTTTAACTAGAATACCTATTGGCTATACTTACATATTATTATTATTTAATAACTACCCAATACCAAAAGTGCATGCTGACCACAATTGTTTGTCTATGATGACTAGGATTAAATATAATATAACTAAATCATTATCATCAATACTATTTTAATTGAAATTCTTCAACAATATTAAATAGTTAATTATGATCTACTTAAAACTTTTTCAAATAATACTTGTATACAAATATTAAAACATTAAATTATATTTATTACTTAGATTTTACAACGGTTATATCATCATAATTAAACAACAGCTTTCTTTTCATACCATTCAGGCAATGCAACATTAGTCTAGTAATAAGTGTTTTACCTTCACCTTTGCTAATACTTACAATACTTGATAATTATATCACCTTTAATTACTTATTTAGTTTACAGAAAAATATAATAATATTCAATTAGCGACTAGTATGAGAATAAGTGCAAGTTATGATTGCTAGAATAAACTGTTCAGCTAATATTCACATGCGCATGATAAGCAAGACATAAATTCCTAAAGTTTTAATGTTACATACAAATTTTTAAAATCATGAATGGATAAATGTGGAATTATGTTTGTACATAAAAAGTTAATTTACCTAATATAATACCTATAATGATGTAATGGATCTAACAAAGTATGAGATAACACACAAAGTAGCTTGTAAAATAATAAATACATTTTGGTTTGGAAAAAATTGAAATTATTATATAGTATTTTAAAATATAGCTTGTTAATGTCTATATTTGTTATAATTCTATTACTTAGCTTGACTATGAATACAAGTAATGTAACTTAATTTTTTCAAATAGTGTTTGAATTTATTAGATTTTTAAAAGTAATAATTTTACCATAATGTACATAATTATTATAAATAAATAAATGATTACCTATAATATAGAAAATAATGATCAAATGTATTAATTTAGTAAACTATAATAGAAACAAATAAATGAAGATGATTGAAGAAAATGATAAACTACCGCATTAATCTACTTAATGTGCATTTTTAAAGAAGGCACAAGATAATGTTTTAAATTTTAAAAGCAAATTACAATACTCAATAAATAAGAATAATTTAAGTATGTAAGTAATAAAACTAAGACAATTCTAAGAAATCAAAACAATAAAATAAAATATGCAAAGCAAAATAATGATAATAACCCCAATGAATAGTTTTTTATCCAGCTAGTAATTGGTGAGGTGGTCTTTGTTAAATATGACGCTGCCAGATACTGAAACTCTTGATATTATAATAATAATAATATTAAACTACAATTTTTTTTTAAAAATAAAATCTCAAATATTTAAACTAAATATAATTTTATAACATATTTAATTAAACTACAAAAATCATAGTTTCATATTTATTTTCCATAACAAAATATTCACTTAAATTTAATAAAATGTTCATAATACCTTGTTTCATTTTTATTTTATATTAATTTGATTGAAGTAAAGTATCTTATTTATTTATACTTAAATTTAAATTTATTAATACAAAAAAATTTACCTCATCAAAGAATACTTGTGTCTTCCGTAAGATATGTTTAAGCTCAGTTAGTTCAAGAAAATTACGTTTTAATGCTTCAGCATTATGGTTGACTTCTCTCAACTCATTTTCCAACTTTTCAAATGTAGCCTATAAATAATAAACAGTTTTAAATGCAATTAATAAATATCTAAAATTTGAAATGCATTAATTAAATGAGAAAAAGGGTTGTATCAATTACACATAAAATGAGTCAAATATTATGTATGTTAAGTTTAAAGATTTAATAATAAATAAGTAGCTATAATAAGAGTTTAGGGGACTGGGAGAGGCAGAGTTTCTGTTTTTTTGATCATTTAAAAAAATATTGATACCCAAACAATTTTTTAGCTAAAATCAAAACAAACCTATGTTCGGTACATATCCTACTTTAAGTCTATAGATCAAAGTTGTGAAAACAATGATCCATGAGATTTTTAGCACTAATTTTTAAGCTTCGACATTAATGTAAACATCATTTTTCGAAGCCATGTAATTTATTTACATTTATTCTATGGTTATATTAATATCTTATGAGGAGGAGTGGCCGAGTGGGTAAGGCGGCAGTGTGCTGTGTGTTAGCGCTCACTGTTGCCGGTTCGACACTTGGTCACAGGTTTGCTGGGCGAGCAATCATCCGGTGAAAAGGAACCGCCATCACCCTCTCCGGCGACGGATTGACGACCCGTCCCGGAAGCGAATTTGTCAAGAAACCATCTCATGATGGCAGCGTTGGGCCTTCATGGCCCGTTAAGCTACATGATGATTATATTAATATCTTAGAAGACAAACGAAATATTTTACTTCAAGATCAATCATTTCTCGAGGTTGTGGAGCTTCTGGATTTTCACCTGTGTCCATCATCGGAATACCGTCCTTTTTAATTTCTTTTTCTAAGTAACGGAGTTTTCTTTCCATTTCATCGCAGCGGCGCACTTCACTAACAAATTTGCGTTGGAATGCATTAACGTCAGGATTCAACTATTACACAAAACGACCAAAATCAAAAGTTAACATTTCTATTAAGAAAGTAAATGCAGAATAAAAATATTATCGAACTCACGTCTCTAAATTGCACCAATCCCAATTCGCCCAGTTCGGAAACACAAGCATACGCCGCTTCACTTTGTAAAAACAATTGGCATAAAGCCATTTCCTCGCTGCGAAACAGCGAGCCCATGATGAAATTTTAGTCACGACTAAACACCTATTAAAATTGAACTTGTTAAATAAACAGAACTCTAAAAACGTTTTGGATCATCAGAAATCAGAATAACATAACGCAGATGAACGCTTTCTGGGGTGTGTCCAGTATTGAGCGGCAGGAGACCTCAGAAATAGGGATGGGCAATGGCAGTCGCTGCAAAAGCGTTTCTGAATCTTATCTGCAATATGATTACAAAAACCAGCTGACTATCTGCCACAGACTATCTATATCATTTTTGTGGGAAATTTCAATTCTTTACTTTGACCACACTGTGCTTGATTTGTAATCGCGATTCATGAATATTGCCAATGAATTTAAGTCGTAAATCGTAATGTAAATAAACAAAATATTATAAAGAATTACTAAGCTGCATTTGTAGACAATACATAACTCATTTACCATCTCCGAATATTGTAAACGGTATAACGGCCGTTAGCCGTATATTATACACTTTCTTGCTATGTAATGTATTATTTAGCCTGTCCAATGGAATGAAAATGATGTGTTTTGACTGAAAAAATGGTCTGTATGGAGCCCCCTCTACTAATTTTATGTATGATAAAAAATTGTTTAGAAACTTCGAGTCATACACGTTTGTTGTAGGAAAGGGTAGGGGTATCCGGGAACCGGGAACATCAGGTAACATAGGGATTATGGACTATGGAGATTCTTACTCGGTTTTTAGGGTTAACACGCCGTGCCCTAAAACCCCAAGTCTTTTTAACCGTAACTGACTAGTGAGAGGTACGGTCGACCGCCTCGGTACGCTGCACCATTTGGCGAGCCCCTGATCAGTTACTTATCCGGAAATTTCATCCGGGACTGCTAGTATGCGGTACTGATGTCTTTCAAGCTGCTAAAGACAAAATATGCTTACGCACAGTTTTAGGTTGAGATAATGAAACTTGTTAGCAGACACATGCTTTTAGGGGGAGGGGGGGCACTAGCATTTATTAATGCTCGCTGTGACGACATTTTTCAATAAAATATAACAATAAGCTAACATTTATACTCATATATCTCATATACCATATACTCATTACTCATATATCACCACAGAAAAGATTTACTTTTAATTTTTCTTTTAACTGTTATAACGTCTACTTCGAACAGTACGTCACTTCATTCTATAATATTTAATTAACTATTGTAGTATAGTTCTTAAGGAGTAAAATGTGTATTAGAAAAATAAGCAATAAAAATATTATAATCGTAGGCCTGTCGTTGGATGGAACGCACCTGAGGCAGAATATCAGTGGCGGCTCGTGCGTAGGTGCGCAGGTGCAAGCGCACCACATGTCATTTTATCAAAATAATATTTTTTATTTTTTTAAAACTTAACCGTTGTAAATTGTTTTTTAAAAATATCGGTGTGCTATTAAAAAAAAATTATTCAACAATATTTTTCGGTAAAGAACTATTATGTCGTTAACATATTATTGCTCCTAAAGTAAAAACAGTTATGCAAAATGTACATACCAATCGGTGCGCAACACTGTGACAGCCCCGCACGCCTGTATTAAAATACGTATGGTTGACGAGTGGGGGGATCGCGAAATACAATGCAATTCGGTGCGCAGTTACTACTGCGAACTGATTTAAAAAAAAACGTTATCTACGATTAATTTTGAGGTATTTTAATTTGTATTCTGATTTCTGTATCGAATGGTCGATATTATTTCATAATATATGTATACGAGTATATTTTACCCGTCATAGAGAATTCTTTCCTCTTAGAATTAACACGTAATTTTTTCTTTAAAATTGAATTCAGTAGAAAATCTTTTGAAAAAAAAATTCTCTCTTTATACAAATGAGGAAAAAATAAAAATTAAAACATTGGGAAGACCTGTGCCGGATTTAAATTTAATAAAAGTTAAAAAACAAAAATCTCGGCAATATACTCGGCATTTTACCAATGACTATTATTCTAAAAATTAAATATTATTAAATGACTTACATATTATTAATAATATACATTATTTTAAACCAGTAAAAACATGTTACATCATAGTAAATGCTTGTTAGTTATTATTTTGTGCACCACCTATTTTTAACACCACGAGCCGCCACTGCAGAATATACCTGAAAGGGGCGACTAAAACTCTGCCCGCTTTCCGCATCACTTATTAAAGTACCATTTATTATTATGAGGTATCTATTGACATCCCACATATGGTTGACAGTTTGCTTAAATCAAGTTGTATATCTCTATAATATTACTCATGACAGTAATTATATTTTGCATACTGCATATGAGGATTACTTGAGCTATTATTTGTTTTTATATGACATACGAGGGCAGGCGGGTTACTAGTTGCACTTCTTATTTTATTTTAACGAAGTGCGTTTATGAATAATCAAAAATTAAATATTTACAATACTACATCCAAACCATTGTCCGCTGGCTGCCACAACTTATGCTTAATAATGCAGTGTAATCAGTAATGACATCATCAGAAAAACTTTTAAATGCAAATCTAGATACCAAGCAACGCCCCCCCCCCCCATTTCGACCACAGTTTTTATTATAATTTTGTAGTAGATAATTCGTATACAAAAATATTTACATAGTATAATTAATAATAATTTCTTTAGTATTTAAATTTTAACAAGGCCCAGGTAACTATATAGTAATTTGTATCATCTGTAACATAACAAAATAAAAAAAACACCATGTTAATCAAAAATGATGTACATGTTATATCATACCATCAATGTTGATTTATTTATGTATCAGTTATTTTAGTTATGTATTATTTTGATAAGACTATAAGAGGTATATTAACATAGTTGCTAGCCAGTAGTTTTATATCACAACGGTGGTAATATTATTATTAGAATGTTAATAGGACATTCCACGTGAAATCACCTTATGTGTGTGCGACTATAGTTCAAAAATGTTTGGAAATTGTATCATACATTCTTTAGAGGTCCTTAATAACAATAAAATAAAAAATAAAATTGTAAAAACACCTATGTTCTCGCTCTGTTATTGCATCGGTCATTTCAAAAATGACATACCTAAGTCACCGATTTTTCAAAAATTATTTTTTGTCGAATTTGATAATTATATACTTAGTTACGTATTCTGTGTAAAAACTAAATTTGTCAGACTCATATTTAATACAAATGCTGAGTACAAGAAATTAGAATCACTGCAAAAACTAGTTATGAAGTTTTTTGTGGCTATTGTAAAATTTAAATTTTGTGACTTGTGACGTTTTTGAAATAACTGATTCAATTTAAACACCGATAATGGTATGAACATGAAACCTACATAGTTGTATAAGTGTACTTAAACTATAGTTTGAAAAAAATATTTTATTTTTCAACTCTGGAAAGTTTTTAAAATGTTTGAATCTAAAAAAATATTTTGCTTATGTTCTTATGACCCATTTTATCTTTGAACATACAAATCTAAATATTGTTATTTGTTAATCATTTGTATGTTACTTTACTTACTTCTACCACCGCCCCCCACTTATACATAAAATCTGCTTAAAGGGGGAGGGCTTAAAATGAGGCAAGTAATACATGAAAATTAACACTAGTATAAAATATTTGACCATAACTATAACAGTGTTGATAGATTACTAATACAGGAATTTTATTTATTTCCATATTGGACGCTAACATTTTTTTGATCTTTTGTTGTCTGCTAAAAATATTAGATTCCTAGTATAAGGAAGCTACTAATGGACAACTTATTTACAGTCTACTAACAAGACAAAATTAAAAAATAAAAGTTTTATTTTTCTCTTTTTTTTAAATTTTAAATCTATAATAGTAATAATATAAATTACAGTTCAAATAGTAAATCAAGAAGAAGTTTATTAATGAAAACAATATATTTTTTGTTATGTCATATTATTTGTATATTATTCAAAAAGTTTAGTTGACGATTCCCTCAAATTTATAATAAATCGTTTACCAAGGTTATATTCTTGCAATAAATCCACCACGTTGTTCACAACATCTGTGAAGATTTCATTACTTGGAGTTGGGTAATGAGAGTTGGGTCTCCACTCGCCATTTTCCAAGTAAGCCGGCTGAGACATAAACGTTCCAAAAGGCAAATTAAATGTTCCTATAATTAAAAGCTGTGATAAAACGAGCACATTGTTTATTATTAATTGGAATATCAACATTTCAAACCATCAGAAAATATAGCAACACACATAGTTTTGTTGTTTTTTTGTTCAAACCACTCTGATATGAGACTAATGGCTGCTCGAGTTTCAGGCAAAACATTTAATGACCAATTAGTATTGGCCACTGACATCTAAAAAAACACCTCAGATTTAAATAATATCAATAAAAATATGTAAAATAATTAGCTTGTCAACCTTCTTATCTATGAAATCTGTATGGATGGAATGCAATACATTTCCCAAATATTTATGCGCTTTGTGATCTGTACAATCTACAAACGCTCTGTTACTGGTACCATTGTTGCTATCTTCAATTGTATGATATACGGTATGCTTTAAGTCGATGTGTTTTGTTAAACCAATAAACCCCCAAACAGGTGGACAATGTAGATCGGCCACTGGTTTGCCTAACGTCTAAGTATAATATTATATAACAAAAATATACGTATTACATTTAATAGGTAGCGCCACGAAAGTCGAAACTTATAGGAAGTTCCGATTATCTTACCGGAATCATACGGAAAGACAAAAGAATTACCGACAATTTAGACAAATTGAAGAAACTTGTTTAAACCTAACCTAACCTTGTTCTTTGATATGAGTTGCATAGGAACAGTCGACAGAAAAGCTTAACCCGCAAATTCGTTATTTCAAGAAAAAACAACTTCCTTGAAAATTCACTTTTTTTATTTGTATCACTATTATTGTGCACAACCGATATCTTATTATGAATATAAACATTTTTGTTACCCGAGAAATAGTTGGCAGCTGTTCCATACCATAGTGGCTAGTCACGCCGACAAAGTTGTATATGTGCACCGTTTCGGAATTTTCAGCCAATACATTTAAATTGAAACACAACAAGTCCATCCCCATTAACAAAATCTTGCACGATTTCGGGCAGTGTAAATTTAATATGCAAGACAAAAACATCATTTCATCGTAATTACGTTTAGTCCAATGCCGGTATTCTTCATTATCTTCCCTGTATTTTTTTGTTAACAAATAACAAACTTTGTTTTTAAACTGTTGGCAAATTTTACAACAAGCCCAACCTCTTTATACTACTCTGTACAATCAACAAGTCGCAACCTAACAAGCCTTCTTCAATGCTATTGACTACCACAATTGCGTTGTGGCCACGGACATTTCCTTCGATGTTACTCAGTTCTCTTTTTATTTTCATCAAATCTGTTACGAACCCATTACAATAACGTATACATACTTTATCCAGTGTAGAATATCAAATACAATTATTAGAATGAATTTTAATTTTTTGTTTGGGGAACGGATATAATGTATTGTATAAAATGTTAATATATATCAGGGGCGGATACAAGGGGGAGGGAAGGGTTAGAGGGACTGAAGCCCCCCTTAAAAACTTGATTTTTTTTTAAATTATGTTTTACGTTTATTATCTAATGTTACCTTAAACCATGGTTCAATCTATTAGCACAAACGACTAACGAAGTATCAGGACTTCGATGGTATTCACATGTAAAGTATAGTCATTGATGTTATTATGAACATTAGAGACAATTTGTATCCGAGTGAAAAATATTTAAAAAATGTTTTTGATAAGGCAGCTCTAGTTGATGAAGAAATAAGAATACCTCGTTTATGCGTCCGTTGAACAACAGTCAACAAGATCTAATATTAAAACAAATAGTCCAATCGAATGGTAAAAAAATAGATAGATGGTCTTACTAAAATGATTATGAGTATAGGGACACAATACATTTCTAGTTGGAATAACTAAATAAATAGTTGGCCCAACTAAACAGTTAGTTAGACGAACTAAATGTCTAGTTGGAATAACTAAATAAATAGTTGGCCCAACTAAACAGTTAGTTAGACGAACTAAATGTAAGGTTGCTTTAATTAATCATTTATTTGGCCCATATATTTATATAGTTACCTATTCCAAACTAGAAATATATTGTGTCGATTTTATATTATTGGACCAATAATGTATTTTTTTCTGTGTGTAGCGATTAGTTGATTTCTGTACTGAAAACAAGCGTTGAAAGAAGTTTTTCATCATCAAGATTCAAGGCACTTGAAAAATGATATGAGGTAAGAGCGCTTAAATGGTTTAGCAGTTTTAAATATCCATAATAAAATTCCTGTAAATATTAATGAAGTTATCGACATATTTGCTAGACCATCTAGGAGGATAAATTTGGATGATTGGTCCAAATAATATTATGTTATTTAACTATTATATGATGTATTACTTATTAACTATTTAAATTTTAACTCTTGCATATATTATGTATTTTAACTTAGAAATTTCTTTCTAGCTCTCCTCCTCATCTGTTTTCATTCCTATATCCGTCCCATATATATATATATATATATATATATATATATATATATATATATATACATAATAACGATAATTATTAATTAGTGGCCGAGCCCGTCATTAATTAGATAAAGAAGATATTTTTTTTCTTTGAAGTTTGATTATGTTCACTTACAATAAATTTAATTGTCAATGTAAGTGAGACTAGCTGGTAAAATCCAAGGTATTGATGTTAGATACCTTCATTTCGTAAATCAATTTTAAATATGCTAGGTGGCACGTTTAATTGAACACAGATGAAAGCTCTACATTCTTGCCTCGCCTCGTCTTTTTGACTCGCGCCAAAAGAATCGTCACGGGATGGAGCGACCGCGAAGCAAGTGCACCGACTACACCCTCGCCTAAGTGATTACCTTCACTACTATAATTATTGTAGGGGTGTCGTTCAGAATGTTGTAATCCCCAGGACTAAAACATTCTCCAATTTTCATATATTTAGTATTCTATGTATGTTTCCGACTGCTGTGGTGGTGAGGATATAATATCATATCATAATATGTAACAATTGAGGTTTTATACCAAAAATAAATATCAATAGTTAAACATTTTTCTTTTAAGAAACCATTGTTCCTTTCCTAAAACTTAGAGAAGAGGCGCTTACTGGTCAAAAAAAATAATATTTGTGTCAGGTACCATGAAGATATCTTTTAAAATTGGTGTGTTATGGTTTTATATACAAATTGTACTATTGTTTTTAATTAGGTACTTACTTGTTATGTGCACTACATAGTATACATATTACCTACCCTCATACTTTTTTACATCCTTATGATGCAAGCGTATTATGGTTCCTCTTTTAGTTTGTACCGATTTTAACTGCAAAAGTTCAGACACCAAATAACTAGTCGACGGATACGTTGCGCCGGTTATGCACACTTTCTTAGGAAGACTACGTTTCTCTGGCTTTTGCTCTGATAACATTAAAGGGAGTCTCTGAAAATATCAAATGCTATTGTTTTGAATACTTACCAATATACTATAATTCTAAGATGAAGAAACGGCTGAAAATATGCGTGTTGGTATAAAAAGTTCATGAAATATGCGATTTTGAAATTATATTCAACATAAAAACAATTAAAAGTACACATCAAGAATCACTATTGTATAAAGCATAATATGTTTTCAATTAATTTAATTTCGAAGGAATGGTAGATATATAAATGAGCAATTTTTCCTATTTCAGTTATAAATCCTGTACTTGGTGTACTTGTAATTTAGGTGTATACTAAAACCATAGACAAATTGTATGCCGCTGGAAACAATTATTTTTTTGTTCCCCAGTGTAATTTTTACAGTATCGAAGAAAAACAAAATTTGATTTTTATGGGCTGGTCAAATTTTTGATACATAAGGCCGTTAATTATCTGTTTCTTAACTACCTACCTTCACTTACCCTATAATGAACCGTCTGAACTGACTACCAAGTATAATAGGTATGAAAGTTTATAATATTTGTATTATTACTGTTTTGTATCCAATTGTTTTGGAAAAAATATTTATATTTGTAAATGAACAGTGGGCCGATAAAAATGTTGCCTCACCCTAAGAAAAACTGAAATGTCGCCCCTGAAATATATGCGTTATATCAGGCAGTAGTTTTAATAAAATAGTGGTGATACTTATAAATTATATTTTATATAACTATTAGGGTGTTATTTTTAAGTTTTGCGAGGCGGCTTGCGACAAATTATACTGTCTATATTTAGGACATATAAGTTGAAACACTATACAGTTGGATACCTCTAGATTGTCCATCGCTATGTGTTTTTTTACTCTTTTGTCCAGATGAGTATCCACATTGTAGTATTCGTTGAGAATATCAAAAAAATTACTTATATTTCCAATCATGTGACAAGGTCCTCTGACATTGCCAAAGCGTTTCCACACAAATGGATTGTCGTTACTTACCCATTTTTGTTTGTTACAAAAATTACGCAGCCAGTTCTAAAATAGAAATTCCAATTTATATTACCTATACACATATCTCACTTAGATTGTACTATGTAGATATTGTTAGATTATTTATAAAAATTATAATATTGTATAATTGATCAAATCACACTGTAGGGTATCAAATAACAAAAATAACGTTTGAATGCATTGCAATAACAGTGAGTAGACGTTTCCTCTTTTAGTGTTTGTTACTTACATAATATTCGTCTTTGTGTTTTACGACAACTCTGTATGAAAAAAATGGTAGAGTTTTTTTCAACTTTTCAGCTACCAATTTGGCATGTCCAAACTCGGCACAACTCGGGACTCCCGCAATGAAATAGGTAAACATTATTATGTTACTGACTACATACATAGGTAATGATCAAAGATTTGGGTAATTGTTTTGTTTACAAATCTTATCACTATGGCTACACATAAAGTAAGATTTTATTTAATAATTTTAAAACTGTCAAAAAAGCAATTTGTTAGGTTTACTCAGTCAAGACTCTAAGGCCGTTTGCACAAATTAAACTTAAAATTTATGTAGGATTTAACCTATAGTTTCAGAATAGTTAAACTATAGTTTGCATAAACGACCATAAGTTTATTTTAATTAATTCAGTGAAATAAGTAAATAACTATATTTGTTAACAGGTATTTATATAATGCTTTATAACAAATAAATAGGAGTAGGAGTTACGTTGTTTTAGGAAAATAATTTAGATAGTTATTTTACGAAATTATAATAGTTATTAATTACAAATGTATACATGACACATAATCTATATATACTTCATTAAATAAATTGTCTTAAAATACTCAGATGGTTGGACGATAGACATATAAATAATCGCATTAAGTAGGGTATCACATTTTGTTTAGTATGAAATATCTTAAAATAACATTATTAAATGAAAAATAATAATTGTAGGTACAATAAACAAATTAACAAATCACAATATTGCACAATACAATTGGTACGCGTCAAATGCAAAATAAAATTGATTCGTTAGTACTAGTAATTATAATAATATAATTTAAAAAAATCTAAAATTTTAACTCACGTGATCACACAAAATATCGCTTTTATGTATAATTTATCTATAATGAAAACCATAAAAATAAAAATTGTAATAATAAATAAATACAAAGGCAATGCACATAGGCTAAATATATTTAAACATGAATTATTATAATATTATTATATATACACAAACATACACACACTCTCGGTTGTTTTAACCGAATAAGTAACAGCAATTTGTTAGCTATCAGGAAATAAATTAATAAACATAGTAGCTACGAACCTTTAGGAATTTACAAGGGCTTCCATTGGTAATTTTACAATGTACATGACGTAGAAATTTAAGAAAAAAATATCTTTCAAAAGTGTGGTATATAGAATTAAACGTTAGGTTTCAACTAGATTAGTTAGTTCATGTTCCCCCTTTTTTAAAAAAAAATATCACTCCGTCTCTTAGAATTTTAAAAATGGGCTCCTTGTATAATACTTGGTAGGTACTTGACGAGTAAAATTGAATGTTAGTGATTAAAATTGGACACGATCACATTGTGAAACGGTCAGAACTACCAAATAGATACCTATACATACAGATTATAATAACCGCAAACGCTCTCTTAGTTTTTATCATTCTTCAAAAAATATTTACAAACAAAATAAATTATACATACTATGTTATATATGTAATGTTCACGACTTATTTTATATCATAATTTATAATACATAATATATTATATTAAGAACCAGATGTAGAATAAAAAGTTTAAGTACTGTGGTAAGCAATACAATTTTTATTTTGTCAAACTTGAAAAATTACTAAATGGGAGAAAAATAAAATACCATTATAAGTTACATATTGAGCTGATTTATATTTAAACTGAAAAGAGATAGAAGTTGTGTTAAATATCAATACACACTGATTGTTGTTAAAATCATAACTCTATTGTCTTATACATTATCGAAAAAAAATTATATATATTATGAAGATTCACAGCGAGACATTAACATAATTTATATATAATTGGTAAACTGGTTCATAGGGTTTATGTGAATCTTCCTGTTTACAATATAGAGTTAAACATGTAAAAGTTATTAGATAAATAGGTAGTTAAACACAGCCTTTGTTTTGTAAACTAAAATATTATAATTGTAATTAATACTGTATAATTGTAATTGTAATAATTTTGACAATATGTAAGCGGGCGTGTTCGCTAAAATAATATACATGAACATAATATTATTTTTTATTATGTCTATAGACAAAAAATGTAAGTAGAACTAAATTAAAAAATAATAATAAGGGTAAGATTAGATATATACTATAATAATTAAATTTTGGCCAATACTTTTTTAATGGAAGTACATTTTAACGTATCTTTAATTTTTGAAGTTCTAAAAAATATTATCAACGTCTAAGAAATTAAGTAAGTAAATAATATTCGAAAAATATAAATAGCCAATAGACAGATAATAATATTAATATACAGATAAGTCACGGTGTACTGAAAAGCCAGTTAAACCCATCAAACATATAGTCCTGAAATACTGATTTTTATTTAGTACTAGAAAACGTTATGAAAATGGACGTGGTTTCCGTACAAACGAGTTACTGAAAATTTATATTTACCCTAATCATAGATTTAATATACATAATGTATATGTATAAAACATATATTATTTACATACAGTGTTCTATACGATTATAGAATACTTTACAATAATATTAATAATAATAATATGAAATAAAATAGGCGAGGTTTGTTCCAGTTATGAGGGGCAAGAGCTTTGTTAAAAAATTACAAAATATTGCTCCCACACGAGTTAAAACTTAATATAAAAAATAAAAACAGAGATCTAATAAAAACAAATATATACGCCTCTATTTTATAATATAGGTACACCGAAATCAAATAATTGTCAACTGTTTTCTTCGTCACACAATTTCATTAGAAATTTGATAATTATCATACAATTAATTACTATTGGACGACTCGCGACTGTTCAATAATATACTGTTTTGATCAATTCACTCTTTGAATGCGCAAACAAGACAAAATATTTGAGCCGATAAAAACGAAATACAATGTTATTTTATTACAGTAGATTTATCAAAAATACGAAGAGGACCTATGTAGTTTTATGATGATTATATTGTTTCATACTTTTTTCCATAATATATCGAATGCAGTTTATTGTACTGGTAAGTTAACGGGACGGAAAAAAGGGAAAACGCATTTGTCAATATCCATACACTCCTCGTTGTGGTCCGTGTCAAAATGACTGTACACAGATCAAATAAAAAAAAAAGAGGTTGACAGAGTATAGTACACGGTCGTTTGATTAAATTACAAAAGAAACGACCTGAGTACAGCTACTGAAGCAAATAATAATGTGATGACGGCGATAATATTTGTTAATCTTTACCGTTTTAAATATAATTGTAAAAAGTTGAACATAAAATGACTAAAAATAGAAGGTAGAACAAATAGAAATCATTAAGATTCAGATTTCAGTCGCTATTAAAAATAATAGTAATAATTGATCAGACGTTTGTTTTTGGCGTTTGGAAGGTTTTTTTACGTATCGACGACGTCGAACCAAATTTAATCAGGTACACTGTTTTATGTTATTTATGTACGCGATTGTTCATTAACCATATATACCAGAAATATATGGATTTGAGTTTATATGGATTGGTTGTACATTTTCGAATACTCACAGTACATTATATTATCGGTCAATAACGTTGAAGTCTAAACAAATTTTAAATACAAATCAAGCGCAACAACCTATTTCGTATGTAATGTTTGAAAAAAGGGCCCTAGAGAAGTAGTAAGTATATAACAAATAAGGAAAAACGTTCGATTGAGATCAAATACGGCTTCAAAGAGAAAAACTTATTATTAATATAATCGTAGTCACTCCGCTTCAATCAAACATTACATTAAGTTTTTAACCACTAGGTATAACCCGTCCAGTAAATCTTGAATACGGACGGCCATGTAAACGTAACGACTGCCGGGCTCAAGATGTACTAGACGGATTATAATTCATATGTGTATTGAGGCACTGTGAAATATAGTTAATAATATTCTATAATATACAGGTTTTAAGGGTTATAGTTAATTAGTGGATAGTCGAGTATCATGATTTTCCATTGTCTTCCGTTTTGTTTACGTTCGCGTGTGTGAGATGTTGTTGTTGTCCTTTGTTTTCAGTGGACGGGAATCGCATGAGGTTGTTACTGCCACTGCCCGAGGAGCTAGGCTGCAAAAACTGCTGTGGAACGCTGTTCCTTTTCGATTTGGTCTCGTCCGGTTTGGCGTCCACACCGGCGTATGACTTGCGCTGCTTGTTAGGGGGCGATGCAGCCACCGGGAATATCGGTTGGTGTCCGTCGTGTTCCGTGGACGACATTCGCAGCAAATCGACGGCGGCGTTTTCGTAAATGGGTTCCTCCGTCGTCGGTTTGGGGGCGACAGAGTTTTTCGGCTCTTGCGCCGGCCTGCTGGCCGCCTTCTTCGCGTGTTTGGAGACACCGCCGCCATGCGCGCGGTTAGCTCGGATCAACAGAGCGGCACGCTGTTTAGTTCGGTCCGGCCGCTTGTCTTTGGTCAAGTCCGGTTTGGACTTGCTTAACTTAACGCTGAACTTGAACGGCGGTTTGTACACCACCTGCAGGCTCACCTGATTGTCTTTGGGTTTCTGTTGAGCAGTTTTGTTTGCAGCGGATTTGGGCGGTTCCGGAGGATTGGCGAAACCGGCCGGCGACGATTTGGATTTTCTCAACGTGCCCAACGCTTCGATGTGATGCGAGTTCAACAGCCAATTTCGCACTTTGCCCAGCGGGTCGTCTTCTTGGGGTTTCTTGTTAACCACCGCCGACGACGCCACTTGGTTCTGCGCAACGCTGTAGTCTATGACGCCTTTGACCTTCTTCTTTCTGAGTTTACGATCGTTGTTCTTTTGAATTTGACCTTGACCTACTTTTCTCGGCGAACACGTCTCCGCGGGCGACCCTTCTTCGGTTCCTCCTATTTTTTTCCGGCTCTTCTTGGCCGGACTGTTGTTGTTGTTGACGTTCCGCTTCTCCCTCACACGTTTGTTCAAAGGCAGCTTAGATCGCACCGCTGCCGGATGGACTGTCACGTTCTGGCCGTCACCGTCCGCGGGCAGCCGCACCGTCTCCGTGGTCGAGCTATGGATGATGGTCACTGATTTTAATTTTGGATCCGATTTTTTCCCAAACAAACGAGTACTCAAAACCTGAAAGTGTCAAAAAAACGAATAAAAGTAAGTAAAAATGTAAAGCCAAAGTAAAAAAACTGTTCGCTCAGAATTATGAGGGCAACAGAAAAAAAAACAAATGAGACATCATAACATCAAAGTAGGTTTTAGCATGTTACGAGAAATAAGGAGAAACGATACAACATTGGAGTAATAATAAAACAATTAATTAATAAGAATACAGAAAAAAATAGCAGTTTGTTGAGATTATTATGACAACGACGGTTATGTGCGTGGAGGCTGCTATAGGGTACAGTTTTAAGCAGAAAGTCAGGGTCTAAGTCTAGGTCGCAAGAAATTACAATATTAAATAGATTTTCCGATATAAGTATTTAGATTTGAGTATTATTTTAAAATTTATTTAATAAACTGAGTGAAAAAATCATCTGATTTGAATTAATTAACATCATATACAATTATTAGCGCTCAAGTTAAACATTTTAATTATGCTATGCAAGTTTAGAATTTAAAACAGGCGTTTAGTTGACTCTGAAAAGTTTAATTTGTTGAAGTATATTACACTGAACACTCTTTTCCGCACAGGTACTCGTTTACGGTTTACATAAGGTTTTATACCGGATTATACGCTAACTATATTGCACGGATATTAAAGGTACAATAAAAACTGGTTCTAAAAACCTATTCGTCATATACATAGTTTGACTTACAACTCAAGTTCCAAACCGCCTGAGCACGTTTATAAATAGATGCAATTGATCGGTTAAGAAACGAAAAAAAATCATAAAAAATGATAATTAGTTAACAATTACAACTACCAGGCATAGGCGCAATTTAGGTAGGGCTTAGCATCCTTGGTTAAATAATTAATAACTAATATTGCTATTATAAAACCCAAAGTGGGTCTTCATAATATTGTCAGTATTTAATCACCTCCGCTTTTTAAAATAAAATTGCGCCTCTGCCAACAGACACGGTAAAAAAGACCATTTGGTTCAGTAAATATTATATACATTCAACTTACCAGCATTAGTAAAAAAGTACCCGCGATCAGACTGGAGTAGTACCAATGGTCGACAGCCCATTTCTTAAATGAAGCAATACTTTCTTCGGATAGCAGGAGTTTACGTAGAGTTGCCAAAGGTCCTGAAGGATCCACCTGGAAAATATCAATTTCGTTTTATATTTCTTATAATACTAATTTTATTATTATGACCTGGGCACACACATATTGCTTTCAACATTCCAAATAGTCTTAAGAGTTAAAATTTTTTTTTTTTTTTACAATCAATAGCAAACACATTTCAATGTTGGGTATGAAAAGACCTGTTGGGTTCATCGTTCTTATGTCTTAAAGATGAATGATGAAAGTTTACATTATAATTATTTCCAAACATTAATTATTTAACATTTCATTATCTTGGAGGAATGAGGGTCGACCAATCTAGACGTTATATTCGCTCATACACCAGCCATCCTTATATCAATCGGTTCTAGCTAATTAATATTAGCTTTAATCTACTATTTTTTTCAATTTCGCTTTCATGGAAATTATCTTTTTTTTTTTATTAATTGCTTTTATAATTACACATTATAACACAAATCGAAATTATCACTTTTTGTCTTCCTTTTATCAGCTTAGCAAGCAGCTACCTTATATATTGATTACTTATCTTTCCTTTCACGACAACTTCACTCATCTTACACATGTAATTTTGGGTTTTCTTCACTTCATTTTAATCTTTAAGATTTTTGATAAATATGAATAATTTATTCTTATTTTGAGTTAAGTTATGATCTCAACTAATAATTAACTATGGTGTTGTTAACTGTGACAGTCGTGTCAGCCGGTAGCACGCCAACGTAAAAATATAATACTAATAAAACATCACCCATGTAAATTTGTTACACTTTCCTCAATTTCCCCGTGTAAGCTGAAATTACTCACCTCTCTGCATCGTTGGAAGACATCACAGTAGCCGTTATAGTCGTTGCACGGTGTCCCTGGTTTAGAATACATGTCGGGTATATCGTATGGCACATTGTTCCAAGAATAAGAAGATCTATCAGAAACAATCGATAGAGTAGATTAGATACGATCACTTTAGAGAGCATATAGTGTTGCGGAGGGGGTTTGAACGTTTTGAGAGAAGGAAGAAAAATCAAAGACATTTGGAAAACAGGACGACAGCCGGTGAAATTTTTGATCAAAGAAGAAACTTGAAACACATGGATGTCATAAACAGAGTCATTTTAGCAAGAATAATATGTGATTGATAATGGTTATACTCACAAGCAAGGTTGGTTTTCTCCGGGGAGCTTACAGCACAACTCGCACGCCTTGGTCGGAGAGTCTTTTGGACTAGGTATACACTGGCAGGATTCTAGACCGTAAGCCAGACAAATAGAACCGGTGCATTCCTAAATAAATACATAATTATTAAATCATTTGCTAAGAAAATCTAGAGAGGGGAAAAAATCGATGTACTTACTCCCATGTAACAGACGAATTCTTCGTTGCACACTGTCTTGTTAGGCTTGTTAATGGACGGGGGACAAGTGGGAGCTCGCCCATTGCAGAAACTGGCGTCTCTGCAACCGTTGTCGTTACGACACAGATCTCCAGTTTTCAAGTGGCACTCGTTGGTACAACAAGGTCCCTAAAAAGAATAGGCGTATAGCAAATCATATACATGCCAGGAAGATAATTGATGACCGTTTGTTATTATTTACTTGGGAAGGACTGCACACACTGTTGGGCGTCAGACGACAAGGTGGTTCTTCTGGTGGCGAATACCTCCTCTGAGGGAAACAGCAAGCGTCCTTGCAATCTTCTTCCCAACCGCAATCGCATTCTTCTCCTGGTTCCACCACACCGTTGCCACAAATCGATGTTTGAGGTTCTGCGATGTTAATATAAGTATAAGTATATTTTCTATGTTTATATTTATCATTGTAAGAAATTGCGTCAATTGTTTCAACAAAGTAAAAGACTTTTAAAAAAAAAGTTTAAAAAGATCCGTGTATGTCCAGATACGCATGAATGAGTATATATGCCAAAAAGGTCTTTGATACAAGAAGGCAAAAGAAGACCGAAGGGATGTGGATGTATGTTATTGATGGACGAGTGTGACGTGAATCGAGAGACAGCGAAGGAGGGAGAAGAGTGGATGGAAAAGGATAGGTTGAGTATCCGATGTCAATTGTGTGAGACTATCAGCTTACTAGTTTTTTCCTTCCGGTGGAAAAGGGTGGTTGATAAATAATAATATAACGTTAGCGTACGGACAGTTAGGTTTAGTTGTTTAATGTGCAGTTTAAACGCATACCGGTGAAACATCCCCTAGTGCTTCTGGCTTTTACGTTCAACACGGGGTTGATGGCGGACAAGCTGCAAGGCGAGAAACGGTTGTTGTTCTTCTTGTCACCCGAGGTGGCCCGGGCAAACATGATGTAATTGCCGTCATCGCCGCCGGGCGTACAGATTTCTGGATCGTGCTGTGGAGAAACACACAAATATCATTTTCAGTCAACATGATATAGTAAACAAACACTATTCACGTATTGCGGGTACAAACCGGAGAGCCAAAGTTGTGGCCGATTTCGTGTGCCAGAGTGACGTGGGATACGGCGGAAGGCACGTGTTTGCCGTAGTTCAAAAGCGTCACTATGCCGGTGTTTAGACTTTTTAGACTGCCTCGGTAATGCTGCAACAAGAAACAAATTGCTATTTATTTTTAGCGCCTAAACGACAGAAACGTGTTGCACTTACGCCATTTTTTTCGCACACTCCACCGGCGTTTTTTAAGTCACCAGTCCACGCCAACCCCAGAGTGCCCATTTCAAAGTCTCTATAAGTGAACATGTAGGCCAGACAAAACGCGTCATAGTCTTCTTCTGTAAAACGACAGTTATCTAATAAATTACACGTCAGTATTGTCGGGACCAAAATAAATCAATAATGCACATATCAACCGGACGAGTGGATAATATTAAGTCGATTCACACTTGGAATACTGCAGATATATATATATATATATATAAAGCGTTAAACACTAAAGGCGTGGCGGTCAACTCTTGTTAGAGTACTTGTGAGTGGGTATTGGTAAGGCAATAGGGTTTACAACGTGTTCGCCTCGTCATAGTTCAATACTCATGCTTGTAAACTGTAAATAATATAAATTATGTTTATGTGACTAGGATAAAGCGTTTACTGTCGTACTCGTGGACGACTAACTGTTACACATAAATCACGGCATAAGTCATTAGCTGTGCATTAATGATAAATCTCGAGAGAAAAATGCTTTTCTCAACTGTGTTAGTCTGGATTTGAGCCAAAAAGAAGAAACTCGTAAAACACTGACGAATTGAAATAAACAAAAAGGAAGAGTAAGGAATGAGAGAAAAAGTCAAATAAAATAGAAACTCTTGGACACGGTGCGCACATATCAAGATGGTGCCGGAAAACAATATAATTATAGAAAACCAATTAAATTGACTATAACGTTATGGGCCTCTGCGTAGAACTAAAGAGGTTTACATATAAACTAGAGCTGAGACCTCGAATCGAATTTTTCTATTATTCGAATTATTCGAATAATCGATAATACTATTCGTATGAAAATAATTCGAATATTTTGTCAAATTTATGTTTTTTTTGTAATTATATATCTGTATAAATTGTTAAAATCTTATTTAATAAGATTAAGAATTTATTTTATAAGTAATAATATTTATTTTGTCAAAAGAATAATTCGTTATAATTATATTTATTTTGTTAAAAAAAAAATTAAAAATAGATCAAGAACACCTTAGTTGTCTCTTAATTATTATTTTTTTTAATCTAATTAATCCTGCAAAGAAAATGATGAAATATTCGAAAAATCAGATCTAATATTCGAATATTCGTTATTCGAATAAAGTATTTGAATATTCGAATTTGTTTTATTCGAATAGCCCACCACTAATGTAAACTATTGTTGTTATATTTTGAAATTCAAAATACTCCACTAATAAGTATGGTTGTTATTTTAATTTGCACTCGACTATTTGATAAAAAGAAACATGGAATAGAAGCGAAAATAAATAGTGTCTGAGTACCGAAATTATGTATGGGAATATACCAAAAAACTGTATTTTTATTACGAATAAATTTTACTTAAAAAACACTTTTTTTGGGGAGTTATTGTATTAAAATATATAACGTTGGCACGTGGCAATTAAAAGGCGAGTGGACACAATGAATAAACAACAGCAGTCTAAATCATTATGCTAGACTACACGTGTACAAATTACTTGAGGACAAAAACAATGACACTTCGTTTTGAATTATAATAGGCGCGTACGCGGTACAATTGTTGAACTCGTGTTTCATTCTCTGTCTTGGACGGTAGCGCAAAATGACGATTTTTGTAATATCAAAAGAAGAAAAAATTAAACAAATGTAATTAGTTTAATTGTCCGGAATGCCTCTTGAACTTAAGCCAATTTAACGCTGTTCAATTGTGTACATGCTCTTGTGTCTCGTGTTCAGGGCAGTATATATTATTTTGAAGCCATGCAGCTTACCCCAAAATGACAGGTAACTGGTAAGTCAATGGCATACATAAGGTCAGCGGACTCCAGTAATTATTTACATTAACTGTGTACCTATTTGTACGACTCACAGAGAGTACATCACATTAAACGTATTATTTGATTGCCAATGCACAATCGATCAAAATTAATGTGCTTTAATTTAACATTTTTGCGCTGTATGGAAATAATCATATCGAATATTTTAGTTGGAAGAATCAGTGGAAGAGTTCACCAGCAAGACAGAGGATAACAAATATATCATTATATGAGTATGTTTGATGTTTTAATAAATTATTAAATGTATTGTTGTCATATTCCATAAGGCTCGTTTGCGAACAAACGACGGTGTTAATATAATATGACATCACATTTTATCTGTCACCCGAACAATAAAGCGAAAAAAGTTTTTGACTTTAGGAAAATGAAACTCGACGCCATTTATTAATATACTTTGCCTCGCGAGCAATTAACACCGAGATGCTAGGGTTTGTGCTTCCATTTATTTTGTGTCCATTGTAGGCGGTCGCGCTGTGGTGTCAGATAAACGAGGCACCAGATGAAACTTTTTTTTACGCTTCCGAAGTTATTAAGTGACTGTTGTGGTACTCTTTGAAGCAGCAGTTATAAATGGAATTTTAAACGAGTAAAAAAAAAAAGAAAATTGGAAAACCAAACGAGTATTTCCGTAGAAGATTTAAAAAAGTATGAATAAAAAATAACCACCCGTTGTTGTAAAAAGGTTTTTTGTGTTGACCTTTTGGAACGTTAAAATGCCGGTTCAGATGTAAAATCGTTATTTTTTGTCGATTATCTCTTTAACGCTTGTGAAATCGTTAAATGTGACAGACATCGTTTAATATTTAATCGATTTTCAACTTACCGGAAAAAATTTCCAAAAACTTCTCCACGCCGTAATTTCCCATGAACTTGTATGAAGGATCCGGGTTGGAGTGAACTTTTACCCTCTTAATCATAAAGCTTATGTTGTCTGGGCTGCCATCTTGATTAAAGTCTAAAAACAAAAATATGGGAAATTTTATATTATTAATCTATAAAGCAGCATCGTTATTATTCATGGTTTACACATCTTATTCAGGGCCAGTACTCGGTACAACAATCCTTATCAATCCCGTATAATAAAAATATCATGACGCGCAAATAATCACGGTATATTACGCATACAATAGTTAACAAATAAATCTGTTGCAATGTAATCGTTTAACGAAAACCAACAAACAACATATTATGTACATAAATATAAAGACATAACTTTCAGACTAGTCTATATTATTGTTTTTTTTTTCATATTGAATTTATAAAAATGTAATAATAAAATAAGCGTCAGTAAAAATAACTTAACTTCTCAACAGCGTATAGCCATAATACAGTTTAGAAATTTGATACTTAAGTCCAAAGTACACGGTTATAGAAGCTTTGCATAGTAATAACGCAACTCCTGTTATAAAATACATAAATGGTTTATTAAACATACTAAGAATATGAGGATATTGTTACATCAATTATGGTGGAATTTTGTTATCAATACTCAACTCTACATTGAAATATATAAAACTAAATTTGCATGTATACCGCAGTGTAAGGGTTCTATTACGTATAAAAAAAAATGTTGAATTGAAAAAAACAATAATTTGTTTAATTTTCTTTTAAACTATATTTATAATAATTAATATAACGTAATATATCCATTCCTAGTTAGACTTGACGCTTGTTTTCTTGTATAATACAATGTTAAGTAATCTAATTTCGTTGACATTTTTACAAATCTAATACACATAAAAGGTACATATATGTCGAACACATGGAATAGCGTCGTCAAGGACCGTCCTTATATTGTTACCGAAATCGGATCAATATCATTTTATAATAATTTACATAAGTATATTTATTACTTACATTGTATAAGGACATACAGAGTTTAACATGATTCAAATAAAACGTTATATAAACAATCATAATATTCCTGCCATCTTAATTTCATTTTATCATCCAACAATGTTCTTGTAATTAACTATGTTATCACTTTTATCTTTGGGCCTGGATGTGTAATTTAATCATTTTCTTGTAAATATGTTAGTTTTCACCTTATTTGTGTATATATAATAGTCGAGATAAATTTTAAATACAAAATTGCATTATAATAAAAAAAAATAAATAAAAAAATAATCATCTATGTAGATAACGCAATCAAGTAAAAGTTTATATGTATAGGAAGACATTTTTTTTATTCGAATAAGAATTTGTACAACTCTGAAGACATATTATCGGTTAGAAGGAAATGTGTTTTATTACATCAGGCTAACTTACAAATAAAAACACAATACACAAAGAATGCTCGGTTCGTTTAAGCTTCAATGCCGCGTCGTCGATGATTTTTTTATTCTATTTAAGATAATTTTATTTTATTTATAGACCGTAGGTATAACACGCAAGAGCTCTGTTAGCACCACGCTTTTTTATACAATACATGAAGTGCAATATCTGATAGTTAGAGAGGAGGACTACCTAATTCCTCCTTATATGCATGTAAAAATATATTTAATTAGCACTTCTGGAATCAGTCTTCAATTTTTTAGGATAAGATTGATAACCGGATAATGGGATGCTTATTTGTAAATATCCCAAACTCAAACTCACATACTATGTGTGGTTCGACGCTGGAACAAATAACGGTCGATCAGGGATTGAATACTCTAACTGAAAATTACTTATTCATTAGTAAGGGTATAACTATAAATTACAAATTACATACATGATACATTGTCATAGAAAATCTGGTAACTACTGTAATGTGTAATTCGATTTTACCGCCGGTAATCTCCTTTAGCTCAGAAAGTCATTAATAAATATATCAGCCAATTAGTAGTACTTGTTGAGTCGGATCTTAGTTATAAGCAATTTATAAGCAAAGTCTTTGCAGTCAATAATATAATAATACTATCAAGTTATCAAAAGAAAAGTTTTTTTTTTTATAAAAAAAATATATAAATCCACTCGAAAACAATATAATTAAAAAAGAAAATAAATGACTACAATGAATGCTATTTGACTGAGAGCGCCTCTGTTGTTTAAACAAAATCTGGTTACAAAAAGATGAAGCGTACCCGGAGAGGGTAGCCGGCCATTGACAGCACTCGGCAGATAACTATTTCATGACGACAACACAATAAGACAGTATAAAACAAACAAAAAACAAACAAAAAACGGATAGGAGGTTGTGTATCGTGTATAACTGACGACACGGAATAGGCTGAATTGCGTAATGCATTCAATCGGTTGACAAATAATTAAGCCGAAACCCTGTGAATAATATATTTCCAGACGACGACAAATAAAATAATTAAGCAGACGTTGTTGGGTTTAAGATCCCGAGTACTAAGGTATACCGAGAAAGCGCATAATAGGGTACTCGGACGCTTAGTTAATCATCACAAATCCGAGTAGAAAAGACGAAGAAAAAACTTGAAAGGAATCGAGCAAACTAATTAATTCTACTCTGAGGCAATCCACGAACAAATCTACTGCGACTTGAACGCGGTATTGTCTACTAGCTATGGGAATTCCATTAAATTTACCTTCTAACTGCATAGTAAATTCTGTGTTGTAAAAAATAATTTTTTAAATAATTTTACTACTCAAGTATTAGCGTGTATCAGTGTATAATACCATTAAGTGTAGAACAATCATTATTCAATCGTAATATATTTAAACATTTAAAAAATATAATTGAATTATGTGCTAGCGAATAATAACATGATATTAATAAATGACATACGATTATTCCAGTCATATGAAAAAAATGAAGTTCGTCCTTAATTAATGTAAAAACGTCTTGTTGCTGGTTACTAAAGCTGCTAATAACCTAACAGTTTAACTTTTGTCGTTCTACATAGTTAGGGCTCAGTAATCGATGGTCGCCTAATTATCGTTCCTTTGGCTAATGAGCATTTTTCTTTTTGTGTCGGTATCCATTAGAGAGAAAACGAGTGTTACATAATAAAGATATTTCTTTGGAAATATTCTTTTGCAAAGTGCAAACGCCTCGACTCAACGGGCGGTGGGAGTGGTGTCGTTATGGATATTGTGGAAATGACTTTTTCTCTCTCGCCAGCGTCCATTTTAACCTTGCGCTTTCGGTGAAGTTTAAAATGTATGACAACGTATCCCATCGTGCAAGAACAAAATAAAAATAAAAATCCTAAATACATAATGACCGTATACGATCAAGTGCACGTTTGGAGAAAACACAGTTCGCCTTTATTGACCCTCGGACGGCTCAATCGCACAAATAACAGACTTTTTCAAAACGTGTAACGACCTTTTAATATATTAATAAAGCCATGTGCACTCGTTAACACCACCGTGTAACAACTACGTACTATCTTCGGATGTATACAGCGTATAACTTTTGGCTTCATAAATCTCTCAACTAGTTGTCTTTGTAAAGGGCTTCTTCTTACTCGGTTAGAGCGCAAAGCACCGTATGCAATGTCAGAGGAGTCAATGATGAACGGCCGAAACGTGACCGCTCATTTAGAATAAAAACAAACGGGAAAATGTGTAAACGTTCTTGGAAATCAATAGCATTTTTGTCGTACCCAGCGTAGACTAGTCCTTCTTCACAAGACACGGTACCTACTTATTCACAATATCATGCGGAACTATTCATTAACAGTCAACCAATATTTACTTGCACAAACCACACCCACCCACTGTTGTTTGATTAATCTACTTTGCGCGCTTGCATGGCCAGAACCTGACATTGAAGTTACTACTCACATAAATAAGTCATGAAAAATTAACGTACCCCCAATTTCTCACTATGGTCATAAATAATAAAAGAGCTATCTAAATCATCTATAATTAAGAGCTATCTATACGGTGGTATCTTTGATTAATGTCTCAAACAATTCGAAGACTACGATTTATCGTAATGATATCAATGTGATAAACTCCTTAGGCCGGTACAAAATAATAAGATTATGACTTGGTGACTTGTACATTGTACAAAGGGTGATATCTGTTTGAATATTTTTTTTATTAAATTTTGGAATTCAAATTTCCAGTTAATCGGTAAAAGTATTAGTACAGTTCAAATATCAAAAGTGAAAAACAAATCGACTATAATTATACGTATATTGTAAACAAGGTTACAGTTCAGCATCTAATATTACAGAGCCCGCCGTTGTTCATTATGTCGAACGATTTTGAAAAAAAACACATAAGAATATTGTGCGCTTTGTAAACTATTGATATACAACACAATATTTTCTTACAGTGAGAATATCAATAATAGTGTGTAAAATTCTAAAGACATTGGTCAACCCCTTTCACCACATCGACAGATACCCATTGCTAGCCATTGTTTTTTGATATTGTCTAAGCTTTTTATTGTTATTTTTATTGCGTGAGCGCGAAACCAGCAACGACAATATTCGGCTACATACTTAACATGACGTGGTACTTGTGCACGAAAATAAAGTATTTAACGTTAAGCAATTTATTCACTATATATAGACGTTTAAATATAAAAAAACCCATCTCACACTTTAATCCGTCGAATTTTCTTTGCTCTCTTTTTTTTGACAATGGCAGCGTTACTGCGCCGTCAGTCATTTTAGGGTGAAATGTTAACGTTATAAAGGTTAGCGTCGCGCATATAATTTATATAATGGCTTTTCTCGGTGAACGCGTTTAATAAAATCTTGCTGCTTGCGCATTAATTATATTATCATGTTGGCTGAGAGGGGTTTTTCAACGTATAAATCTCAATTTTTGTCAATGTTCGTAACGGGTTTAAAAATTCATTTTTTTCATGATATAAGGAAATATATAAATAAAAAAAAGATTTTTTCTAGGCTTTGACCTTTCTTGAGTTAATAGAAAAGGTGTTAGAAATTGTTTTTCCTTATGCGCATACAATAATACCCTTGTTCTACGATCGGAAAACTTTAGACATTGTATAATAATATGTTGTTCAATGTCGATATATAC